ATTAATTTTTCAGTAATTAATCAAATGTAAATAAGGTCCTATTTAAAAAAAAAATGTTTGTTTACTTGGGGTTAATTTAATACATTCATTCAACATATTTATGATCAACAAAATTATCTGCCATTTGCTCAAAATAAGTTGTGCTCTAACTCATGACACACAGTGGTAGTTTTAGAGTACTTTGGAAAAAACAGAAACTTAAATTTTTTTATACATTACTTTCTATTTAAAAAAAAAAGTTCATTAAGGTATCGTATCTATTAGGTTTTGTTATCACTAATGAAATTTATGTCTCTCTATAAATACTAAACTGTAATAAGTGAGAATAAATTAATTTCTGGAGTACTTAAAAGTGATTTGTAAGATATCTGAGTAATATAAGTTGTGTTTCAGATGTTTGATGTGAAATTTCATAAATTGAAATTACTCATTGACTTTGTGAAATCAAATTCTGTATTGTTACAAATAGTATAACCATTAATAGTTGTAAGTAATAAAACTAGTATTAAAATATATTTGTTTGATTTTTTCCTATTATTTATTCCCATTATTTCTTCCATTATTCATGAACATAAGGAAACCATGTAGCACCTACTAATTACTAAAAATATTTTTATTCTAAGACATGCTCAACATAGTGAATAATCCAGTTATTCAGATTGGATGCAAAGCTAGTGAACTGTGCAGTAATAATTTGAATTTGGTTACTTCAGAATAATTCATTCTGTTTAAAAGGATTACCAATTAGATGCATAGTTATCTATCAGTTCCATGGTTGTTTTTCTCAACCATTAGCTTCTGTTTTTTATTTTTATTTTTTTGTAAATCCAGATTAGATAAGTGAGAAGATTATTAACTGTTTGGCATAACTGGATCTTAAGAGTATCTAGTATGTTCGCAAACCTATGGCCTCTGCACTTCTGCAGCACTATAGAGTCCAATTTTTTATTTTTTTGTAAGGTTTACTAATGATAATAAATTTAATTGATTGATGACTAATAATTAAGTTATTAATATAATGTTGATGAAATTAATTTATATTAATATTATTTACATTATTAATTTATGAACAATACATTTATGACAGTAAATATTAAGATGTATCAACATTTACTGAAATTTCGAATGAGGTGTAATATAAAACTTAGAAATTAATATATTTATTTTATTACTAATAAGAACTAATAGTAATTATAGAACTAATAGAACTAATTAATGATTACCAGGGGTGCCCAGAAGGGAGTTTCATGGAGCAAGTTTTGCCATAAAAATTTTTAGGGGGGCATATTTTGACAGGATTTTGAATTTTGAGAGGGAGCAAATTTTGAGGTGGCTATGAATTTTCGAACTAAGGGGTATGGGGAAAAACATGGAACATGCTGCAAGTGTAATTGTAAATTATCTAGGATTTCTTAAATTCTAACTTCGCTTGCTCTGTTTTTAAGAAAAGATGAGCAATACAATATCTTTGGAGGAGGGGAGAGGGTAGATTCTTGCGTCGTCGACCTTGGGGAAGATGGGCATCCCTGATTATTATTAATAATTACTTTTTTCTGTTCTTTTACCCTTCTTGATTTTTATTTTCTATCTGCGATATCCTCATAGAATAACTATCATAATATTTTTACAAACCTCAGCAGTTAATTGCATAGCACTTCCAATGTCCTTCCATGGATCTTTGAACTTTTTTAAAAATTATGTAATTTTTTTACAGACGATGTGATATGTATGATGACGATGTGATAAATATGATGTGATTACAGACAAGTATTCACAACTTACTGTAGCCGTTCCACTAACTTTGCTCCCCTTTGAGTTCGGGCGAAAACCGACAGCTATTGCAGCGCTCCAGTATGTTCGCAAACGGCTACACGCTTGGAGCACAGAATGTATCCACTTAACAGGAATGCGGAGCGCCGTAGGTGCGCGAAAATAGTGGATACCGGTTTTACACTATCTCACTACTTCCAATAAAAATATTTATATTTCTTCAATCAGCATTTGTTATACCCACCAATGAAGATGGGACGAAAATCTCTCAACCTTTTATCAGTGTTTTTTGGTATATTTTTATACGTAAAATACAGTATTCATAATTTGGTAAAAAAATTCTCATATTTTTTTAACATAGAGTTCATATAAAGTTAACTTGTTTGTATTTCTATTGTTACAGTTATAAATATATAAATTAATAAACAAATGAAGAGTGAAATTAATATGCCCAGAGTCAACATCAGAGACAATTCTCTTAACTGATAAATAATAATTTTTCATTAAAATACATACAATTCGATAAAAATCTCAAAGCTAAGTATTCCAGGTAACAAATATGGGCATGCAGAGCTTTTGAATGAAAAACCTAGAGATATCAATGTGAAAGATAATGTTTACAATGTATGGGGAGAAACTGAAGCATATATTTCGCAACAAAGCCGGATGCACGTGGAGGTTTAAGGCAAAATGGCAAAATGACTAAAATAAATGGTGGACAGATGGACCAAAATCTTCAATAGTTAGAAAGAAGGCAGCTTGGAAAGAGTACAAGAGTGCATCTAGCTCAGGGCTCAGAATCAGAAGAAGACAGGGCTTAAAATGGTTATTTTAAATGTAAAGAAGAATAGCTGAAAGAAGTTTAGTATTAAATAAAAAAATCAAACGTTTTTGAAAAAAAAATGAACTGAATAAAATGAATGAAGAGTAATCTTAACAGAAATTTGCAATATGAAGAGGACAAATAATTTTTAGAGATAAGAAAATATTGTAATTCCATGTAGTAGAATATTTTTGGTGGAGCTGAAGAGAAGACAAGCAGGGAAGAGGGGAGAAAGAATGACATGATCTGAGAGAAGGATGTTACATGTGCCATAGAGATTAGCAGTAAGTAGAGATAGTATTGCGCCCAATATTATAGTTTGGAGGCCCTGAGCTAAAGAAAGCTATAGTCCTATAAGGAATCAAGTTCAACTTCCTCTGGAAACAATAGGTTTGGGTGGAAACTACAAGTTGCTGAAGTCGTCATCTATGAAAAACGAATGAGAACAGAATCCATGGAAGTTTTTGCAAAGCCCAGAGGATGTTGCTTCATGGAAGGCCAAAACTGGTATATACTAATTGAACAAGTCTGAATTCCATATCACGCTGAAAGGCACAATTGAGGAAGATAAAGAAGAAAAATAATTTTTTTCACATATAAAATGTTAACATTCTGAGTTCTAAAATTTTATGTCGTAATTTTACTTTTTAAATTTGAACTATTAATTATGAAATCATTGTTGGACAAATAAGAATACTTTGAGATAATCGTGCATGAATTGCATTTGCAATATTTCGATAACGATAAAACTAAACATCGCTAATGATGGAAAAATAATTGACTGCAGATAATATGGTTGGGAGGTTGGTCAGTTATTGCAGCCGAAATAAAAAATTATTAAAAATTTTTCTTTAAGTTTTTATTTTTCTCTTTTACTTTGACTACATTCTCCCGGGGTGTCCGGAAGTGGATTTAATGGCTCAAGTTACGCCATCAAAAATTTTGAGGGAGCTTACTTTGACGTTTTTTTTTAATTTTTGAGAGGGCACATTTTGACAGTTTTATGTATTTTTGGAATGAAAAGTTTCAGACTAAGACACTAGGAGAAAACATGAAACAGACAGCAGCAAGTGTAATTGTGTATGATATACGATTATTCTAATTCTACCTTCCCTTGCTCTATTTTTAAGAAAATTCTAACCACCCCTGGCATTCTCAACCATAAAAATCACTACAGACGTTCAATCTATACATCAGAACAAAATAAACATCAGTAACAACTTTTCTCAAGTTATCGTTAAGGAATAGTCTCCACTTTGGAAAACTAAAATTATTATCAAAATACAGTGCCGACATAGACATTTCAGCCTCCAGACAATGGATGTAATCTCCCAAAATAATTTAATTTTTTTTAAGGTGTATATTCCACAATATTTGAATTATATTTTATTCAAAATGTCCCTAATTCAATTGCTTCATTAATAGACTGAAATACATTTATCTAAGCCGCTATATAATGCAATTTTTTATAATTCCCCGAAAACTCGAGTTGCACTGCCCTAAGGCGCTGTCTATACCTCTGGAATCTCTTTCATCAATGTGTGCTCTTAAAGAATATGAAAGTTAAGATTGAATAAAAAACTTTTAGGTTTTGACAAAGAGAGCAGGACTCAGGGCGGGGCAACCGAGGCAATCGCCTAGGGGCGCCAACCTGGATGGTCACTCTATGGGGGCGCTGGTCCGATCTTCAGGGGCGATCGTCTCTTGTTAGAAATTTAAAACAAATACAAAACGTATTAAAATAATTAATTTTAGACTATAATTAAAGCAACTGTATTGCAGGGATATCGAATGAAATAAAATTCAAGTATTACATAATATAAAACTTAGCTTAAGAAATAAACTTAATTTTTTTGGGTTGGGAGATGACGTCACTGCTCAGGGATGGGCCGCCTAATGTCTAAGGCCGGCACTGATGCCAAGCAATGCAGCGTTTGAAAATTGGGGATATTTTTTAAATAAATGATTTGTAGGAAACTCAATGTTTTATAAAGTTAATAAAAAAATATTTGACCTATTACCGCTGTTGTCCTACTTTTGGATCTCGTGGAAGTGAAAAACCATTCTGCTAATAATGAAGGTCATTTTCTATTTATTTTCTTGATAGATCTGTGAATAAACTATTGTCTGAAATATCATGATTAATAGGCAACCAGATGAGATGAATCGTTCCCACTTAATTGTATTCGGGCAAACTTTTTCTGTGATCTTCAATATGAGGGACAGATTTTAACCTTATCACTTTGGATTCATCACTAATTTTTATCTTTATCTTGGCCATTGTCTTCCCCAATGAGTACCAGTCTTCTGGGCTTATCCTCCCTCCAACTAGTACGGTGAAATCCCCTCCCTGTTATGGATCATTTCAGTCTTCAGAAGTGAATACTCCGTGGAATACGATGGTTCGATGGCTGCTCATCTTCTCACTTCTGCCGACTGGTTTATGTAAGTTTGCACGACATTAAAGAACAAAAATTTTCTTACGGTATTCTGAAAAGTAATGTAGCAGCAAAAGTTATCAGCAAACACTACCGCCTACAGCAAACACTACATTACACACTACAGCCTACAGCAAATACTACATTACACACTACAGCCTTTTCTCTCCGCATTTAACATATAATTATTAGACAGTTCATTGTTTCATTGTTAAATATTAAAGTAATTATTAGAAATAATTGTGTTCATATTGTCATCACATCGGTAAAATAGTTAATAATTTAAGATCCTTGGCATTGATGGTAGAATCTGCAATTGACCGGTTAGAGCAGAGGAACGTGGAAAAACGTTCTTTGTTATCATTTTAAAATCACATAAAAACATTTTTTTCGTTAATAATCTAAGAATTTAAAAAAATATAAACTGTTATAAACATCGTAAAATTAAAATAAACTTTTAAAAGTCTTAGTTTTTCATAATCAAAATATGATGTTCCGTATCCATCAATTCTAAACAAATCAATCAATGAATCAAATAAATTTAGGTACGATGATATATTGGAAATTTTATTTTTCTTAAAAGAAAAAAGATCCTATGCTCGATTTCTGGGGAACTTTAAATGTTTTCTACTTGGACAGCTGCTTTTCACCTCCCATGGAAACACCCATGGGTACTTAATTCTTCAGTGCTTTCTGTAATAAAGCTGGGTTGAGCGTGATTTAATTCATTGCAGCTCATTCCATAACCACCCATCAAAAAATACACGCCCTTGTCAAATAATGAATTCGGGAAAATTCTTCATGTAATGATTAAGTTGTTTTCTTTCATTTTTTTTTCTGGGAAATCCAAATAGAATATTTATACGTTCGACATCTACCATGCAGGTTCATCTGACTTCTTTAGGTCTCTTTGAAAGACCTACTGTTAGCTAGATAAAACACAAAAAATTGGCGCCTGAACAGAGATATGAACTGGTGGGGTTGAATTAGTGTTGCCCCAAATCGGGCAACACACAAATCTTGGCCTTGCACTAGACCAATGCCAAGACCGCCTGATTGTTGCAATACCAAGACAAAGACTGTTAAAAAAAAGAAGCATTTTTTTGAATAAATATAGGACAAATACTAAAAATAGTTACTAATACTAACAATTTTAGTTACTATATGTAAATAATTGGTAGAACCGATATACTTTTGCATTTAACTCTTCCAATTTTACATTCAGGGTTCAATTAGGTTTCCCTGTTCTGAAAAATTGATAGTAATATTTCTATAGTATGTAGTGGAAAATTTTTTAAAAAAGGCTGTCGAATTTCCCACAAAACAATTAAAAAATCGTCTAAATCGGACTAGTTCCAGCAACGTTACAGTGTATTTAATTTTATTCACTGATTTTAATAATTGATCACTTCCCTGTGTACATTACTTTAGTTCATCAAATAAATGGTACTCTGATGATTTCTCTGATCGATTATCAGAAAAAATGTTCTAAATCAATTGTTTTATTTTTAATGAACATATTAACAATTGAACTCGAAAGGAAAGTCATATGGGTGAACACACCAGATTTTGTATTTAAATAATTGGTGAAATTGTATAGATTGTCTTTATTATACAACTTTTCCATTCCAAGGTGAGGGCCTTTCATTATCTTTCTTGACAATGACTATAATGTATTGTAAAGTTATTTTATTAATTTGGTTGGACTTTACTATGTTTATGTCATTAAAACATCTAACTGTAGCCATTCTGTAGCGTTTTTCTACAATATAAAGTTACATGTTTGATAAATATCAATAATAAGGAACCAAGACTCTTCTTGGTCTTGCATTTGGGCAACACTCGGTTGAATTTATTCCCTCATCCATCCATTAAATACTTTGAAATTAAATGGATTTTTTCTGATCCATATTACATAACTGATTGCTTACAGTTCCCTTACCAGACCAAGAAGGGACTTAAGTAGAATTCAGAATCGAATTAATCAAAGGGAAATTAAAAATAAGCACGGTTGAAATAGTAAATACAAGCGAGCAACTCGACTATCTATTTTTATACGAAATCAAAGACGATAAAGGAACGTTATAGACTCTGGAAATAAATTAGTTTATGGCTGTGGTACAGTAGTTGTATTTTCATAATATTCGGTACCTAACTCGAAATTCTTGACTAACATAATATGTACAGAAACTATATGAGTTCTTACCAGGGATTTATTAAATCCATATAAAATTAGTGATATGTATGTGTGTGTAGCGATTGGTCCCTTGAAGTTAGATTGAATTTAATACATTTTCAAAATTTTTCTTGTTCTCCCTTCCTTCCCTTTAAGGCTATATGGGGTTTTCCCATGCCAGGGAGTGAGGGCGGAGGATTTATTTATCAGAGTTGAAAGCCCTCCTTGGCACCGAAAATTTTCTACATAATCACCTATGCCAATCATCATATCTGTATGATAGACAAGTATCTTAGCAGCCTATATGTATAGTTGGCGACAATTATGAAATATTGGGGAGGACAAAGATTAATATAATTTGGATAACAATATTCAATTTATGCGAGAGGGTAAGGGAATGTAAAGCCATAACATATAGTAGCAGCTCAGTGGTCAGTTTATTACCTCTAATGTATTATAATAATTGCCAAAGCAGTTTATTCATGAGTAGAGGCGGGGTTGCCGAGCGGGCTAACGCGATGTGTAAAACCTGATAAACGGAGCCTACTGACAATATCTTAAGATATTATATTTTGACGATCAGTGCTCATAATCTTTTTCATACGAATTCTATTCTTTCCATTACCATTATAAAACTCATTGGAATAATTTTGTACAAAACCTGAGTCAAGATCAAGGTATTGAGATGTATCTTGCTGTTTGAAGAGTTTCGGTTTGTTAATTGTTTTTACCAATTGGTCGAGTTAGAGAAGAGATTAATGGTGCAGAAGCTGTAAGCAGACATCTGATCCTCATAAGCAAACAAGCCTAGTAACGGAGCGAAGGGGGCAGACAAAGCAGATAACAAACAGCGACAATGGGGAGAGCCCAGCGCCCGTTAGCATTGTCCTGTTCTCGCCGCTAGATCAATCCATCATAGATTCATATCGTGCAATAACTATCGATATTGTCTTATCGATTCCTCCGGATAGTTACAATGAACCAATTAGCGGGTCTTCTCTTCAGATAGCACAGGCACGTGATATCTGATACGTGAAACCTGTCTAGACATTTCTTCTATGTGTTCCATCAATTTTTAAGAGATTCTAGTTCCAACAAAACTGTTGACCTATCGTTAAATCAAAATTAAACTTTTTCTAAAGTTATTACGAAACATCATGGTGTTTTTTCCCAACTCTTCTGTTGTGTGCTTCAACATTTAAAAATTAAAAGCTTTGTTGTTTTTTACAACCTGATTACCACAATACTTGACTTTCTGGAAATATGAAATTTCTAATGTCGGTATAACAAATATCATGTATTAGTAACATCATCTCTGTATCAGTTCAATTATCAATCATACAATATTGTAGTCAATGATTTTAGGAATTGTTCCACAGGCACCTACCCCCTAATATGTTCGCAATAGTAATTCTTCAAAACCTCTTCATTCTACCCTTACAAGTTGCTAATTAAGGGACTTGTAGGACTTGCACGCCTATCTCCTCACCTCTCCCATAAACCCTGGTCCTTCATCGTTATAAATACATTAAGTGAAGAATAATTCCTACTGCGGAAATTCAGTCAAATGATTTATCACAAATATTTTATATGCCTACCATGTGATGTGTATGCCCAAAACAGGCTTCAGATCAGCTAAAGTTCGACCAACGACTCAGTAGTTTTAAGCAATTTTCAGCTGGATGTATTTTTATTTAATAAGAAGAATTTTTTGGAACGATATAATAGGTCTGATAGTCTCCATAATCTGAAAGTGTCCTCCTAAAACTATAAGCAGAACTAAACCCTTGTCTACCGGACTATTAACCATGGATACTATTACATAACATTACTGTTATGTGACCATACCTGAGCACCAAAACTTCCTTTATTTTTTAATGTATATCAGAGTATTTTAACAATAACAACTTGGGCCGGTATCACTAACGGATCCAGGATTTACTTTTGGGGGGCTTCAGCCCGAAAGATTTTTTTTTTCATATATATATATAACGTATTAATTGAAAAAAAATAAGGAATTAATTACCTATATGAAATGGTGTTTAAGTGGTTCTTGAAGTCCTATTAAATAAAATTACACGAACAAGAATACTTTAAGAGATAGTTTTTATTATTTGTTTCTGTAAAACATAGTTATATTTTACCATTTGGAGGGAGGGGCTTCAACCCGAAAGTCCCCTCCCCTCCCTGTAGATCCGCCTGTGGCCGGAATAAATATGAAAAATATACAAATATCATTATCATCAATCATTATAGTATTGATGATTCAGTTCAATTTTCTAAAGATAACTTTATTATTGTAGATGGGCTAACATTCAGTTGCAGTGGATCTGAAGATTTCAATTCCTGTGTTAAGACTACTCTACAGTCCATCGTTCGTCAACTCAGTGCAAGTTAGTATTTCAACAGAGATAGTTTTCAAGATTTAGAGATACTTGAACTTCAGCCAATATATACAAACCGACAATTTGTTGGCTAGTTTATACTTAATAGTTGTTCTAGTCTACGTCATATTGAACTTTGTACTGACTTAGGTTTGCATTTAGGTGGGGCCCCAGAGCTCGGTATCAGCCGCTTAGACCCAGCCAAACTGCCCAACATGGACTTCGATGTGAAGAGGAAAGGTGCCATCGAGTTCAGCTCTCCATTCGGCAAAGTTTCGGAACTAGCAGCCAATATTCGGCTTTTTAACACGACAGCTATTGGTTTCTCTCGTCTCAAGATGCTATCCGTCAGGTCAGTACTTGTTTACTTCAATAGCACATTAATTATTACCATTCTGCTAACTCCAGGAATAGCAACAATTATGATAAAAGACTTTATTAAATGTATGGTTAATCCATAAGTGTAATGTATGAGGGGCATGTACCCTCTCTCCCCTCCTCCACGCTCTCCCTCCTCTCCCTCCCAAATTAGCTTAAAATAAATTAAACCTGCAATAAAAGCTCATTTACAATCGAAAAATTGGAGAAAACTTATAAAAATGTCAATTTTTTCAAATTGAAACTGAAGATTGCTATTATGTCCTTAAACTTAACATGGTTTTTAACGATGATATTATGATTCATAACGAAAATTCGATGCCTTTCGTTTTTCCTTAAAGTTAGAAACACGTTACAACACGTATGTTACCAATTAAAATATGTTAATCAGAATGGCTTAATGTTAATTTTGATAAATTAAAATATCTTTTTAACCAACAAAACTACAAGAGTAGCCCTCCCTACATGATAACCAAGTAACTGACATTTTAGCAACTTTTTTTTCAAACGTAAAAACTTCCTTTCTGGTAGCTCTTTGGCTTGAAAATTGGCAGAGATCGATTTGAATCCTTGATTCAGAAGACTTTTGTCAATATTCAGATAAGAGGTTTCCATTAAATTTAAAAAAATACAAATGAATCATGGAAGAAGTTAGTGCAAGGATATGTGAAACCACAAAGATTCTCGCACCAAAGAAATATATTTTTTTAGTAGCATCAATAAAACAAAAAAAAATTCTCATTTAAAAAATGATCAAGGGACCAAAAAATGAGAATATTTCAAGTATTACGAGCTCTCATTTTTGAAAAAATTTTCATCTTATTCTAATATTTATAAACTTATCAGGCAGTTTATTCATTTTTAAAATGACAGCCAAACTAGGTTCAAAATTTAAACTTAATTTTTATTTATTAATTCTCCCTTTCTTATCTTTCGGCAATGCGGTGCATGCAAATGATACTAATTAACATCTAGCAGTCATATAGGCCTTTCCATGCGTGCTCCGTCTTCTTCTTCGCCTCTGCAGGACAGATCCGACGGTCGTTCAGTAAATGTTCCGCTCTTGGAATATTAAAATGAGTAGGAACAACTTCGGTTTTCCGCCCGTAAATAAAGAACTAGAAGAACGGGTAGTTATCTTCAGTCACTAACTGAGGAAAATCGTTCTCAGACAGGACGTAGAACCCAGTTTCCCTTAGAAGTATAGCCCTAAGTGCCTCAAAGACGGTTCAGTTCACAATTAAATGTTCAGCTATATCCAGAAATCGAGTATAAGGGATCAATGCCATTCCCATTTGCGACCCAATAGTCAGATATAATCCATTTCGCTCCTAATCGTGGATGGTGGAGTCTCAAAAATTTAACTTAAAATAATATCACTTTAAACTCTATGAAACGTAGAGATAAAAACTAATATATCTAAAAAACGTAGAGATATAAAATAGTAAATGAAACATTGTTTAGGTAGAATAGAATGTATTGCCAAAGGACATTTAGTTACGTTTAGTTAGTCAATAAGATTCATTCTGACTGCTGTTACAGGCAGTCACTCCTACTTCAGAACTGAATCAAGCTTTGGTCAGCAGGTCGGAGGTGAAGAAGTCGGCAGTGAAAGCAGACATCCAGCTGATGGTACCGCAGGTTTTAATGCGAGGTCGGTTCTACATCAACGGCAGGTTCGGAGTTTGGCCGATCGCAGGAGGTGGTCCATACAACATCACTACAGGTCTGTAACTTCTGCCTTTATAGATCAAATCTATTCGTGTTAGCTTATCCAAAGGCTTAATGTTTACAGCAAAACTGACATTTTGCGAAAGTTGTTGAGTTTGAAAATGTGTAGGTGAGTTGCGAGGAGAATGGAGGCTACGGGGAAGGCAAATAAACCACGAAGGGACGACTCGGCTACAACTGGAGGAATGCAAGCTGACACCAAGGCTGTCCTATCTCCACCTCGAGGCTGACAACTTCTTGAGGTCCAACCCTGCCTTGAGTAAGTAGCCATTGGCTTAGGAGTAATGATGAAATAGGTATACTGTAAAAAAATACAAACAATTCATAAAACCTTTACACAAGTCAATTGATAATCTCAACGGCTTATGGAATAACGGCGTATAGTATACCCTAATTTATACTGTACCCTTCACCAGTAAATTGTATTCTGACCTAGAGTCTCCAAACCTCAAAGAAGTTGCTTTGATTGCACGGTAAAAATTATTTATAGTTTTAAAAATAATATTACATATTTACTAAATATGAAATTTAGTAAATAAATCAAGCATAAGGTTTAATTATCAATTAATAAATTTTATTGCATTAGTTGTTTTGTTTTTTTACTGTGGTTATTGACCATACCACACAACTAACGTATTGAGTAGTGGTATTAATTTAAAATAAAATTTCCTTAAAGCATTCTTTAATTTTTTAAGAAGTTACCCATTTCTCTGGGATGCCCTTTTCTGGAATTATGAAATGAAAAATGTCTTTATTATTCTTCTTTATCATAAGTCCGTTAAGAATAAAATTAATATTGCACAACATAGTAATCAGGGCAGTGTGCCCTGGCTCATTGACATTAGTACTAAAAAAGAAAGGAAAAATAGCAAATGAACATACATTTTTTACTTTAACCGAAATACCAAAACTGCATAAAAATAAATAACAGAAAGAAAAGAAAACAAGCCAAATGAAAATGATGGTAGGCAGGATAGAGTTCCAGAAGGAGGCATCTCGGGTGAGGAAGGGTTTGTCGAACGCCGCAGTTCGGTGAGGAGGACGATAGACGTCAGAAGGACGAGATCAAATGGATTTGATGGTTGATTTAAATTACAGGCTCTGTAATATGTAAGATGAGCGACATGTTTTAATTTCCTGATATAGCAAGGATGCAAGGAAATACTAAGATATAGATGGCTGAGAAAGATCTACTATTTATTGCACATTATTACCACCTTCTATCCTCAACTGTATAGACTAATATTTTTCAAGTAAGTGGCTTTGGAATAACTTACAAGCTTCACTTTACTTAAAATAACAAACACCTTCGTAATTAACCTCTAAACCTGTCCCTGCTATGAATGCCTAGTTTAAGAAAAAAGTTTTTTTTTTCCTATGGCATAGTCATTGGTCATTCGACCATCCGACATCTTGCTGCCCAATATAATTTTGATAAAAAGAAAGTTAAAAGCATACATAATATGAAATTTGTTAAATTAAAAAAATGTAATAAGGTTACTAGATGAACCAAAAACTATAGTGGTTCAATTTTGAAAAATTGGACCAACATAGTTCCAATTATAAAATGTTTCTAAATTACTATTATAAGAAATAAATAAAAATATCATGATTTTCATGTCAATATATCTGTAACATCGGTGAATGACTTTCAATGTTTTTGAACATATATATGGTATATCGAAATTTTTTGTCACCACAAATCACAACCTGCAGTCTTATTCTAGCCAAAGGCCAAACATTTTTGATACCTCTGCTTTAACCTATCTTTCTAATGGTATCTAAATTAATTATGTTTTATTTTAATTTCTTTGTTTATACCATCATCCTATGTATATTGCAAAGGTCTATCGCTTGTTTCTGTCCTGTCTAGGTTCGATATTTAATGGAGATTTTCATTTATTGGTTCATAACAAATAAATTTAATCCATTTAAAACAGTATTCACTTTATTACATATAAATAATACTTTGTTAAATATTTTGTTACAAAATCTCTTAATTAGTATATATTCCATTAATTACAGTTTTAAATGCCTTATATTTACAGGTAAAATGGTTGTCGGATTCACTAACAGATTTTGGCCTCTTCTTTATGAAGACTCATTACCTGATCTCGAACAAAATCTGGAAAGATTTGGATTAGATATCTTGAACAAGATTTTCATCAAGTTTCCATTTCATGAAATATTTCCGAATGTAACCACAACGACGACGACAACAACTACAACGACGCAGAGGCCAACGACAAGACCAACTTCAAGAAGGACAACTACTCAAAGAACAACACAAAGGCCTACAACAAGAAGGACACAGAGAACTTCTACACAAAGAACTACAACACGAAGAACAACGGTGAGGCAAACCACGAGGAGAACAACACCGAGGACTACAACAGCAATGACAACACCACGCAGCACACAGCCAACAACAAGGAAGATAATAAAATTTGAAGTTTTCTTATTAGGTTAGGGTTTAAAAAACAAATTATTGTTGATGTAAGTTACTTTTTTATTTAAATAAAATATATTAAAACTGGAAGTGTAAATTTACTTAGGCAACGACGTATTTATAGTTTATGATCTATTTAGTTGGTGCAATCATTTCACAGGAGGCGTTGAAATTTTTATAGATCTGATTTCAAAAGTCCACTTCAACAGTTTTAAAGAACTGTAGTTATTTATAAGAATTTTATTTATTTATGTCCTTAAACAAAAGTTGCGTTAAATGAGAAATAAACAATAATCGAGCTCAGATATGCCAATCCCTTCCTCCGGTTGAAAGCGCATGATTCTACCCCCCTTCCTCTTCCAAAGATATTCCATTGCTCCCCTTTTCTTAAAACAGAGCAAGCTAAGATAAAATTATAAAATTAGAAATCATATACAATTACACTTGCTGCGGTTTGTACCATGTCTTCCTCTTGTGGCTTAGTCCGAAAATTCATAACTCCATAGAAATTTGTCCCGCTCAAAAATTCAAAATATGCCACCCCCCCTCTCCCCTTCAACAATTTCGATTTCGCAACTTGTGCAATGAAGCCACCTTCTAGGCACACCTGATCGAACTTAGATTAGAATTGTAATTTATATAATTACTTGATGTAGTGTGCCCTTTGTTGTGAAGTGTTGTTAAAAGAGTTGCTAAGAATAAAAATCATTTTTAGAAAGGATTTTTGGCAAAATCAAGAGAACCCTTAAATGAATACATGCTTTTTTAGAAAACAAAATTTTGTAATTTCTTAACTTGAAAAGTTGTAAGGGAAAAGTTTCGGTACCGATATTTGATTATTTGATGTTTGATCACAGAACATCTCCTTTCTTTATAATTTTGTTGCATTAAGTGAACCATATAAGATAGTATTTAATATTTCATCTACACCTTTAATAGATTGCATAAAAGACACCAAGGCCCTATGTGGGTTTTTTAAATTTTATTTTATCTATTTATTTTATTTTTCAACGGTACCTAAACTGTAAAATAATATTTAAGTGGCCATTGAAGGAAAAAAAAAAATAATAATGCTGCTACTGATAAATTTGTTTATATCTTTTACTTTACACATGCTTATAATTGGTAGCTATATTTACATTATAATTAAAAAGGAGTGAAGATCACTTACAGAGACAAATATGGATCCTCCTTCACAAGGACCTACCAGTGCCAAGACCTCCATGATATAATGTAAAAAGACGCCAATTTCTTTGATATTTATTTAATATCTGTTATCCTCCTACAATTGACTTGCCTAAAGAGAATTGTGAGAAAGAGAATAAAATAAATATACGTTAAGAAATGAACAACTTGTTATAATTGGACTTCAAAAATCACTTAAACACTATTTCATATAGATGGTTGGTTTTTATGTTTCTTTCCAAATAATTAAGGTTTTATAAATGACCAATAAAGTATTACTTTCAGAGACTGGTCAATCAATATCCATGATATGAAGAGACAGAGGTTAAAATGGACAAGACATGTACCTCGTAGAAATCCATCTGGAAGCCTCTACAAAACAATGAAATCCTCAATAGAAGGTAGATGACCACGTGGAAGGTCAAAAAGCAGATGGATAGATAGAATCAACAAAGGTTTAATAGAGCTGCGTTCAGATAATTGTATAGAAATAGCCCACGACAGGCAGAGATGGAGCAGACTTGTTAAGGGGAGGGGGGAGATCTACTTGGTCTGTAATGCCAGCAGGAAAAAAAATAATAAAAATATATATATAAAATTAAATCGTGGATTCGCTACTGGTTCACAGACAGGAAATAATAGACCAACTCTGTAGTTAAACTAACTTTAACCAAGATCAATTAGGCTTTGATATCATTGCCAGGCCAACTGTGCGTAGCTTTCGCTAGCTCTTCTTTGATCCAATCGGGAACCTGAAACAAAGAAAGTAGTATTTGAGTAGTAAAATATTTCAAATATCTTTTATTTCAGTAAATATAAAAATTCACGATTTAATAACTGATTTTTGGCCTACACTGATAATTCTTCTTTATTAGTCTACTTATAGAACATAATTAAATCAAAAGCACGAGCAGATAAAATTGCAAATGGCCTAAGTGGCCGCGTATGAATGCTGATAGCACATAGCAAATGGCCACAAAGGGGTTCTGAGGTTTTAAAAAAATTAAAAATATCCAACATAATTAATAATAATATATTTATGATAATAAAATAATTATTTATGTGGATTGTTTTATAGCTTTAAGACCTCTGCTGTTGAAGTTTGTTGTCTTAAGGCAAACTATGGCCGGCGGAATTTTCTTTGACTATCTGTTAAAATTTAAAAATATCAAATTACTCAAACTACATCAAAGCTAACTACATTTATTGCGTGTATTTTCTCTTAGAAAGCTCATTTCAGAGCTGAATTCTCATTTATATAACAAGATTTGTTGATCTTATTGGCTGAAGGGATGGACAACCCTTTAAACAGAGTCATCATTTTAGTTTGTGTAACGTGAAATAGAACAAAATATAAAGCTTAAATAAGGGAATAAGGGAACAGATGATCCAAGATGGCGGTCATAAATAATATAAAACGATGTCAACTTCCTTACACCTTGCCTAGAGGTCTAATTTAATAAAACTGACACTTATAATTCCTAGTATTTTTTTTTATTTTTAGTTGGACATTTCGGAGATGCATCGTCCCTTCTTCAGCATATAATATGCTCCAATATTGGATTAGTCTCAGAATAAATTTGTTCAATGGTTATTCATCCAATGCAGCATATTATATGCTGAAGAGCGGGACAAAGAAACGTCCAAAACTCCCTGAAACGTCCAAGCAGAAAAAAGAAAAATACTACAAACTACAGATGTTTATTTCAATTAAGTTAGACCTAAAGGTAAGCAGTGAAAAGGAAAATGAAGAAAGGTCGAAAATTATTTTATTACTACACTTTGCAGGTCTTCATCATTTCTTCAATGTCTGTGTATAATGGGAGAAGGGAAATCATATTCACGGTCAACCATTAAATACCCCATAAGTTTAAATTAGTTTGTTTAAATATTTGAGTTAATTCACTAAGATACTTACAGGCCCAAGGGTGTCGAAGTCTTCTCCTTGCTCTTCCTCTTTGGCTACTTCTTTTGTACTTTCTTCAGACTTCTTGTACGGAGCAGTTGTGTCAACAAGGAGAAAGACGCAATGCCACTGAGTGTAGATCGAGTTTACAGTGACAGTAAGACCGTCGGAAATCTGTTTTTCAGAACAGTACAACCTGTTTGGAAATAGAAAAACTTGCAATATATCCTATTTGTAAAGAAGATCTTATATATTAAGGAAGGGGAGCTTTTGCCATTTAATTACTTACGCCAACACCTCTTGCGGTTCCACTACGACTTGGGTTTCAAGAGTTGACATAGAAATTCTTGAATTTTCGATAATTTCATTACCCTGTTAATCAAACATGACTTAATTTTTTTTAAAATGCTGATTACCTTTAACATAGTAATGGTAACGATAATTTAAAATAATATCATTTAGGAAACTTAGTAATTATTATATTTAATCTATATATATGATTATGTATTTAACAAAACCCCTTTTTAATCTTTCAACCTTTTATTTTACCTCTTTATATGCATTTAAAAATTATTATTTAATGTTTCGGATTCAAGAACCATTTTCAATTTTTTTTCTCTCTTTTATAAACAAAACATTATATTAGTCATATAAAAACATTATTTCTAAAACAATTCTTATAATATATATATATATATATATATATATATATATATATATATATATATATATATAAATATATATATAGAATGCTACTCAATGATATTAATCGTTTTATTAAATGTAAAATGTTTTGTTTTATTTCCTTTTTCCTCCAAATCTCCACAAAAATTGCCATTCTTGTTATTTTATCAAAACATTCATGCTGCAAATTAACAACTCATTTATAATGTAATTATTTAAAACAAACTTTTATAAATCCTAAATACCGTATTTTTTATTTCGAGAAATTTTTTTTTTCTTTCATAACCCCTTTTTATTTATTATTGTCTTGAATCCTTGGATTTTCATTGTCTTCATAACAGTACTTTTAATGCTTAAAAGCATTGTAAGGTGTATTTTTTGATTATTTATTTTTGTCATTTCTGACTATTTTGTTTTTCATCTGGAATTTTGGCTGGTTAGTATTATGTTGTTGAAAAGGGGGTTTACCAATTGTGGGGATTTTTCGAAAAATGATTTTTTTCGTTTTACGAGAAATTATTTTATTGTTGACAAATTTAGTGTTGCTTGTATATTCAATGTCTTCTTTCTCTGCTGCGTGGTTCCTCTTACAATTTTTCTAATTATTCCGTTTTGGAAATATTGAATTTGAGAAAAAAAAATTTTTAATTTTATATTTAATAAAATAATTACTATCATTGTGAAGTATTATATACATATATATATTATATATACATATATATATTAAGATTTATTTCAGAAATAATGTTTTTATGTGGCTGTTTTGTTTTTTAAAAGAGAAAAAACTTTTGAAAATGGCTCTAAAAATGTTTTAAATGTAAAATAAAAAGATGTGACATTAAAAAGAAGTTTTTATAAATGCATAATCGTATATATAGATTAAACATAATAATTATTATAAAATCTCCCAAAAAAATATGAATAACCTAAATAAGGTTATTTTTCATAAAACTTAGTAGGTTTTAATTCTGAGATTGGAAAAAAAGTAGCCGGTATATATTACAGTATATAGTAGTATATATTACAGTTATCTTAAGATGAAAGAGTAATTTTTATCACGTTTTATAATAGTTAGAAATAAATCCACACCTGAGTGAATCTCGTTCCCCAGAAGTAAAGGGCGTTTTCCTCGCTGCTAACTAAAGTGAACGTAGGGCCGCACTCCACCATCTGGACATAACCATGTTTTGAAAAAATGGAAAAATATCTTATAAATAACACTTGTAAATTTTTGTGAGCCAGTTATGCTTTTTGGTCTCTTTCTTTTTCTTTTTTTTTTTTTGTAAGAGAAGACTTCTAAACTTTACGTATAGACAAAGGTTTCAACCGATAATAAACTGCCTTCCACCACCTTAAAACTCAAAATACCTTAGAATCGAAACCTTAGGTATTTTGACCACTTTTCACTGAAAACAGTCAAAACAATTTATAACGAAATTCAAATTGTAGTTGTTTAATGAAGTGTATAGGTCTGTATCAAGAGTAAAACTGATAAATACCATCTTAAAACAAACTTGGGAAAACACTAAAATATGATTTGATTATTACTTTTTTTATGAAAAACTTGGATCAGTAGGCCTAATACCAATTGAGTCTGTCGTAAACAGTTACAATTTTCTTCAGCTTTTCGCAGCAGGTCATAGGTTGAACCTAGTGCCTTTATGGCAGAGCAAACCGGGCATATAAAAAAATACAAAACGTAGTAAAAATAATTAATTTTAGTCCATTAATTAAGCAACTGAATTAGAGACGTATTGAATGAAATACCATTCAAATATTACTTATTATAAAACCGCTTAAGAAACAAATTTAATTTTTTGGGGAGGGAGAGTAGAGTAATTGCTCGGAGCGCCAAATGTATAACAACGGCACTGATTGAACCTTTCATGGAGACTTGCTATCATATACATGACCTTTTAGACGATTTTGATTAACACTTTACAGACTTAGAATCAGGTAATTTTACTTAATTATATTTCGTACATAACGCTTCTGCTATGCAAAGACTGATGGTGAGTGGTCAGTGGATTCAACAGTTTGTTTCTCAACAGCCCAGAGGAAGAAGGAGTAGCCTTTCTGTATTTTTTAAACTCTTAAATGTGTTTCTGGAAACTAAAAGATTACTTACAGTTATGACCCTGAGAGCCATCTTGTCGACTGGAGCGGGCCAGCGGTCGCAGTTGTGACCCAGCTGGCAGTCAGTCCTACTGCCCATCGTCACGACTCGGCCATCGCAAGTCAACGCTGCGCTATGGCTGCGACCGAAACTAACGCTCTTTAGTTTCCATTTCTTTAGCGAGCGTACCAACGTGAGCCGTGGAGCATGATTTGTTCTCCGCTGGCAAAAATAACAGTACTTAAAATTGTATTAATTCACTTACCAATCGTTAATTTAAATCGTTCATTACTCTTCCTAATAGAGTCCAAGTGTCCAGGCCCAACCTGTTGCTGTCGTTGCTTCCAGCTACCAGAAGCCTTCCGCAAGCGGTTAGCACTGCGGTGACGTTCGGTCCACACTTTACAGCGGCGGCCGTGAATTCCGGAGGCATATCTTCCAGTTCTGGAGAGCATCTAAATGAAAATAGATCCAAGATATGTCGGAATATAGAGGGATCTTATCTGTTAGTGGAGAAAAATAATATGTAAGAGTAATCTTCGTTGATTTTTTTTTACAAATTTTATTATAAGTTGTAGTAGATATGAACAAATATTGATGAAACTCACACTGTTGTTCCAGAAGGGAGAATACCCCAGCTGTAGACCTTGCCATCTCTTGTGAGGCATGCCACGTGATCATCTCCACAGCTTAAATCAGTAACATCCACGTTTAGGAGCTTATCTGTAGGTGGTATATGATTGATTTTCAATAATCAAAAAGTAGGTTGAAATTATTTCATTAAATTAATAGTCTGTTAATTATCTTTATATATTAAGGGAATTATTAAGACAAGACAAACCTATAATCTTGGGGCAGGAGTGGTCCTCAAAGTCTCCATGACCCAGGCAGCCACGACTTCCATTGCCGCACGTGAGAACGAGTCCGGAATCTGTCACAAAAGCGCTGAAGCCGTTTCCTGCACTCACGCTATAATCGTCGCCATTATTATTTAGCAATTTGCTAACTTATATATGCAGTGACAATTATTGATTAAAGAATTTAAGAAATAATTTTAAATATTATTGTGTAAAAGAAGGATGTAAATTAGTCACTCACAGGGCAATAGATTTGCTGAGGAGAGCCTCCACCAATTTGGGCTCCTCTTGCCAATCAGTGGGTTGGTAGCCCAGCTCCCCCCTCTTTCCTTCGCCCCAAGTGTACACCAGAGTATCTGTCCAACAATCGCGCTTTTGGAATAATATGCAATAACCATTATGTATAATAACAATGAAAACAAGTAGCTTTTGTAACAGAAAAATAAGTTATAATCTAACAAATGCCGTCCCTCGTAGCAACTATATATATATATAATATTGGTAGGTTTTGCTGTAAACTTCTACAGCAAACACCATTTTTTAAGAGGTTTATAGAAAACCTGTTTACTTCGTTCTACACAAAATATTGTTTACGTCGAAGAATTGAAAATGACGAAATGTTGCCCCGTATATTATTAATTAGAATGATATTTATGTATAGTTAATCTGTGATGAGACCTGATGTGAGAGCGATGTAGTGGGTAGTTCCAACGCCTACCCTTAGTATCTTTGCCTTCGGGGGGAGGCGAACCGGACACAGCTGGAAGGAAGGTCCTTCTCCGCTCAGCTGGAACAGCACAGACCTAGGCACATCATATTGCGTTGTCCTTCTTCCTTTATGGAATCCTATATGGTACCATAACAACTACTTACCGGGTTTTCTGCGCCCTGCAACAAAGTAACAATATTTACTTATTTAATTCAGTAGATGTTATCTTCTAAATTAAAATTTTGAAATATAATTTTTAATGCTACTCGAGATTACTACACAGATTTTAATGCAAATTATGGTGCTTGTGAGCGACGCGGCCTCTATGGACTGCTATCTGCAGTTATCTTGTTATTTAAAGTGTTGTTGTTATTCATATTTCTTATTATTAAATGTCAATAACCTGATAATTGTTATAAGGCACTGATAATCCCTATCTTCATATGAAATTAGACTCTCCTATAATAAGAAATGTAAATATATTTGGTTTTACCTCTTTTTTGCCTGTTTCTTATTAATGTATATATTAATAAGAAATATAAATATTATAATAATATAGTAATTTAATAATAAGAAATATAAATAACAACAACAACACTTTAAATAATAATATAACTGCAGATAGCAGTCCATAGAGGCCGCGTCACTCACAAGTACCCAAATTCTTTTTTCTTTTTTTTTCTGTTCTTCCCTACCTCGCCTTTTAGGCTATACGGGATTTTCCCAGGCCGAAGGGTGAGGGCGGGGAATTTAAAATCCCCTCCGACACCGGAACGCTAACTCGTACTTTTATTAATCTTCTCAAATGTGTTATCCGGTTGCCAGGCAACTGTGCACACGCTTTAGCCCATTCGGCCACCCAGCCCAAATTATTATTTAAACTTTAGTTTCAAGCTTGATTGGAATATTCAGAAAAGAATGGAAAATACACACATATGAAAATAGAGAAATCCAAACAATTTCCCACTTTGCCAATATTGATTGGACTAACGATATATAATAAAATGTAAGGAAAATTGTCCACGTACTTGTAGTTTAAGCGATGGCCTTTTGACCTCGCAGCAATCTTCTCGTAGAGTCTGGACACCCTTCGAGAGACGACGGAAGCTGGTGGCCTCAGGCTCGGTTCTTTTTGAAGCAAATCACTCACGAGAAGCTTCAGTCCCGAAGAGTATATCGAAGGAAGAGGTTCATAGGCGCCCTGTTCTTGATGGGACCATCGTTATATTACACATAACTAAAAGGCTAACACATCAAGAAGAAGAGATTAAGTTTTACTTCAACCAAAGCTCCTCCTCTCGTCTAAAAATAAAAAATATCTTGACAACAAAAATATTTGCAATAAATAATTTAGTAACTAAGAAATAAATTTTAATAGCTCAAAATTATGGATAATTGGCACTCCGAGCGAACACAAAAAGGTGAAAGGATTTACTTTACCTCGAGAGTTCAGATTTAGTAACTAAGAGACAAATTATAATAGCTCAAAGTTATTAAACATTGTCTCCTCTGAACAAATACAAAAATTAACATGGTATTCTTTACCTCAGGAATATGGATAAATGTTCTGAGAAGGAGTGAGAGCTCAAAAAGAACATTATTACTTTTTAATAAATCAGATATTTGTACCTTCATGATTTTGTTGACCAGCGCTGGGAGGTTGGAACCCTGAAAGGTCTTCTCCCTGCAGGCCAGCTCGTACAGGATGCAGCCAAGGGCCCACATATCTGACTTTTCATCGTATTGTTTTCCCTCACACTGAAAATATTTAATTAATTATCTTAAAACATTATGATACCGTCAGTGCTACGGAATAGACAATAGGTGAGATTGTTTACATTCAAAATAGCTCCAATAAGATATAAAAAGGTGTTAGGATTAATTAATTGATGTTATTTGTTATTGTATATTCTACCTACAACACTGTTACTGGCAACACTGTCAGATGTGACGTCAGTGATCACAACAAAGAGCATTATTAACAAAAGGAACAAAGTATTTATAATTTGGATGAGTTATAAATCAATTTAGGAAAAATAAAAGAACCAAAATAATAATAATAATAACAAAAAAATACAGTAAGTACTTTTTGTACTGAGCGGTTTCTTTAGAGACCGACGACATTCTATCGGCGTATTTATATATCTAAATAAGGAACAGAGGCATAAACAAATTAATTTCATATTTTTCCTGGACGATCAGTGGTTGAACTTTCCGAGGATTTAAAAACTAACAAACATCAATAATCCTATTTCACAAATTGTTTTATTTAGACTTTGAAACCTATAAAATTTGTTTCATCAAAATCTGGATTTTAATTTTTTATTATTGAAATACTTTTCTCAAGATACAACTCTAAGGAGGAAGTAAAAATATTATATAATAAGATATTTACCATTTCAGGGCTGATGTAATAAGGTGTCCCGAGGACAGTTTGAGCTTGAGACTTTGTGTTCATCACTTTAGAAATGCCGAAATCTCCAACCTTTATCATTTGATCCTTAGTTAGGAAGATATTTACTGTCTTCAGATCTCTTCTCAACAGACACGAAGACAAATGCATTAATTTAAACAGGATATTGTACCATCGCTATGTAGTAGACTAAGATGTACCTGTGGAGGATACTGTGCTGATGCATGTACTCGATGGCCGCTACCACTTGGCGGAAGATGTCCAAGATCTGCTGTTCTGGAAGAGGTCCACTCGACCCGGACAGCAGCTGGGATAGGGTCCCTCCTTCCGCGTACTCCATTTCGATCACCAATAGACCGTTGTTCTCGAAGCTGCCCAAGTAACTAAAAATTACTTAGAATTAATAAACTTCTATAATTGATTAAATTTTATTATGGAGTATTTTTAATTTAATTTTCAACAATATAAGAGGAAACATTGTGCAAAGAGTTTTTATAATTCATCTTTTATTCTCCAAAATTTAGAACATTAATGTACTTTAAGTCTACCTGTCATACTGATTGCTAGCTTTTCTTTTTTAACCTACACAATATATTCAAATATTACAATTACAACGATGAAGTTCAAAGAGAAAAGGGAGTACCTGATGATATTGGGGTGATGAAGAACCGAGAGCACTTGAACTTCGTTGAGAGCCATTTGCCTTTCGGGCGCGCTCAGCTCTGTCAGACCTATCTCCTTCAGCACCACCAGCTTTCCGTCCGACAGCCGTTTGTGGAGTACCGCCGTCCCGAAAGCACCTAACACAATCATATTCTCATTATTGTACGTCCATCGATACATGAGTATTGTTCCTTAAATATATTATACTACATACTTATATATTAATATTTACAGTCGTTATTATAACATAAAACGTTCATTCTTTAATTATTCTCAAGTCGAACCAATTTGGTCCTTATTTACAGATGTTCATAATCAGGATTCATAATAATGTTTTACTGATTATTATGGCAGCGTAATTTTTATAATCGCCTTGAAAGCATATTGAACCACATAATTACTACTCTTTAATTAGGTATGTGCACCTTAATAATTCCATCTAACATTCTTCGGATTGTTTGGAGAGAAACCAGGGATCCTAGTTATAAATTTTACAACTGAAACCCAACCAATGTATGCAAAAAAAGTATTATATAAAGACACTATACGATTATTATACAATACATGCAACGTTTCGTTAAAAAAAATTAGAAGGGAGCCTTAAAAAATAGAGCGGAGACCTTAAACAACTACCTTTTAACATAATGAATCTCTAACAATCAAATTCTGTAGAAATTTCTAAATTAAATCCAAAAATATATATTGCAAATGTGTAAGTTTTATACATACAGGTCATCTGATTGTAAATATAGTTTATTCATTAATATAGCTAAAATGGCAAATTACTATCAATACCTTTTCCAACAACTCGAATCTTTTCATAATTTTCTAGACCGTTGATCTTGTTACTGGACACCGAATCGGTTGGTGTAAGTTCCGCCATCGAAATACCGACACTGTTGCTCTACTTGGATGTTCCTGGTCGATATGAACTGTCTCTATGGGAGCGCTTGGACAACATTGTACAATTAGAAACAGTACATCAAACGTAACCGATATTGACCACCAAAGATTTTCTAAATACTAAAACTATTATATTTTCTAAAGCACGGGCGGATCTACGGGGGAGGAGGGGGGCTTTCGGGCTGAAGCCTCCCCCCCCCCAAAAATGGTAAAATATAACCCTGTTTTATCGAGAAAAATATAACCACCCCTAACCATCCCCCAAAATGGTAAAATATAATCCCGTTTTATCGAGAAAAATATAAAAAAAAGTATCTCTTAAAGTATTATTGTTCGTGTAATTACATTTAAAAGGACTTTAGAATCACTTAAACACCATTTCATACAGGTAGTCAGTTTCTTTATTTTTTTCCAAAGTAATTATCGTTATTTTAATGAAAAAAATACTTTTGGGCTGAAGTCTCCCCCCCCCCCCCAAAATTAAATCCTGGATCCGCTAGTGTTCTAAAGGAAGGAGATGGTACGGGGTTGCGGTCATAAATAGGCTAAATAGTGGTAAAACTTTTTATTGAAAGCCGACGTTTCGACCCGACTTTGCAGTTCTTCATCAGGGAGGTGTGTTCATCTAGGAGTTTCACTTAGAACTCAAGTTCTAAATGAAACTTTCAGAAAACTAAATGAAACTAAATTCTCAGTTCTAAGTGAAACTCGTAGATGAACACACCTCCCTGATGAAGACCTGCAAAGTCGGGTCGAAACGTCGGCTTTCAATAAAATAGTTTTACCACTATTTAGCCTATTTATGACCGCGACCCCGGACCATATCCTTCCTTTATAATGCAACGGTCAACTATTAAATATTCAATATTATATTTTCTATTTTATCATTTTTAAGTGTAGGACCTTAATAACTTATGTTAGTATTTTTATTTTATTTGAAAGGAAAAAGAACTAAAAAAGAGATAGTAAGCAATAAGATTCTTCATTTGTGTATACGACCTTTACAATTATGAGAACAATAAAATGGGTATAAACTATGGTGTTGTCCTGTGAATGGGACTTGCACAAGCCAACATTTTTCATTTTCCTCGTCTTTCTTCCTTCTTATCCTGGGCCACCATTAATATCACATTCTCTGTCTTCAACAAAACGGTTGAGGTTCTTCCCTTCTTCCCAGGAAGTGGGAGGGAAAGTGGAGTATGGACTCAGCGGTCTCCGGGACGTAGCAACTAGGATATAAAGGATTAATATTCTCCCCTTCTTGACAGATTTTCGCTCGAAAGCATCCATATTTCATGCAAATGTTACCAGAAAGATATCGTGGACAGGGACATCAGTAGTAAAAAGGAAATAAAGGACGCTATCTTCAGGAAAACCGGCCTCATGTGGATAGCAATTCGAAAATTCTGTACCATAGCAAACTCGAAAGATGCCGTCAGAGAGGTAAAAACGGCGGTAGGAAGTGCACCCGAGCATTTTTGCTGAAACCAGGCTTTCTAAGGCTGATAAAATATGATCAACAACTGGGAGTCCTTGTTGGACTGTGGAGTGTTGCAAACGAAATCCAAGCTAATGGGAATGAAGATTTTGGGATTATATAAAGGAAGGATAAAAAGGATCTTTTCAAAGATTTTAAAAAGAATTGGGAATAGTTTAATTGGTTCTGGGTGTTAAGCTGTTGGAGGTTTGCCTGGTTTTAAAAATAGGATAATAGTGAACTGTTTCAATAGAAGAGGGAAGTGGGTGGTTCGTAGGCTGTATTATTGTATATGTAAGTGAGAAATATGATAGCTTTGGGAGGAAGTTTTCCAATGGAGAGTTAAGATCTGAGAGTTAAGAAGATCGTACTCAGGAGATTTACGGGAAGATAGTGCTGTAAATAAAGAAGAAGAATTAACTGCTTTAGAGGATATGGATAGTGGAATATGTGAAATAAGAAATTCTACTGTTGTGGGGGTGGGACAGAATTCCGGATGAATGTTGAATGGACAGGAAACGAGCGAATTTTCTGCTATGGCGAATTTCTTATCTTTATTTTCATCAGATGCTGCCCAGAAACCATCACCTCAACAGATTCTGGTTCACGAGAAACCATCATCACAGATTCACGAGATTTCTGGTTTATTGCCATAATAACCTGTCAGGATTTTGATATAGATTAGGTCAAGGATTTCTAGAGGTAAATAATTTTTTTAGGGATTGCTGAATATTGTTAATTTGGAAGCCAGATTTCTTTTTGAATTGTAGTGATGAAGGAATTCACAAAATGTATTATGCATTAAATTTCTTTAAATGAAGATGTTATTTAGATAAAGTTCCTCCAGTACTCCCTATTCTATTAAATTTATTTCAATAGCTAAATAGAACATTTTACGCAAAATCTATTGGCTTTCAATGCAAAATCTATTTTTGCAAGTATTCAATAGAAAACTCAAGTATACAAATTCATTGATAACATATTTCTTCCAGGATATCATACAGTAAATAAAGGGGTCTTCATGACCACTGACCTGCTAGTTTGAAGAACTAGCCACCATTTTTATTAAACCAATCACCAAGCAATAGTAGAAGGATTACTACTAAAACCACTGTGCAGCTCTGAGGTTAACATCAATTAGATTCCTTAATAATTCAAATAATCTTCAACAAATCAGCCACTCCAGTCCCCTCCCACTTAATATTAATTTAATATAATAATTAAGTTTCATTACTTAATATATAAATTTAATTATTGTATCCCTTATACAAGTATTTTCTTTATGAATCTTTGTTGATCAAACTGTGCAGCTCTTAAAAGGATGATTGAGGCATTAAGATATTTTGTGAGATGACATCCATGTTTCATGGTTTTCTAAAATAGCTTTCCATAAGGTTTTTTATTATGGTTATCATCAATAAGAAAACATAATTGAGAATCTTAATTTAGAGAAAATTAGCTTCATGAAAAGTATTCATATATATTAGATTTTTTTAATTAACACCAAACTTTTAAATAGAAATGCTTCTTGTAATACTGATTACAATTAAACTAAATAATAATTATTTTTGTTTAAAAGAAAGAAATAATCGTTAGTAAAATTACAAATAAATAACAATAATTTTGGTATGATAAGGTTAAAATTAAAACACTAAATGCAAACGTTTCAAAAACTAGATGTCCAAAAAACATTAATAATAATTTGAACTTATTTATCACTTACAGTCTTCATGCTTTGTCATATTTTTATTTAGTTTTTTCCTATCACTTATAAGAATGAATCAAAACTTATATAAAAACAGATCATTTTTAAAAGGATAAAAAAAAGATTAAACAAAACTTTTTATTAATAGTTGTCATTTTTTTTTTTTTAAATTTACATTATACTTTTAAAAAGCAATAGTAGAACAGTTCATAATTTATATAAATATCTTCAAATATAAATATACAATAGAAAAGAATGAAGATACAGCACCTAAAAGCAGGCATGGTCCCAAATACAAAATGTGATAGATAAAATAAATAGTTTGCTCTTTTGGTTAGTAAAATAATTTTTATGAAAAAATCAAAATGGTATCTGTAGGAATTTACTAGCAGTAGCTGTGAAATAAACCCATAAAAAGGTTCCTAATCAAAGAAAACAGAACAACCTGTGAATTCAAAGAAGGCAACAATGTCAAATTAAAAAAAAAAAAAAAACTATAAAATTTAATATATAGACATTATTAATAATAACTATGCCAACCAGTTTCTTCTAATTCACATAAATCATTTCCTTTTTTATATAACTTTTTAATAAATAAAGTTGATAATTCAAACTAACACATATCACTTGAATTTATAGTTATGATAATTCATTGTACTTTGTCCTATAAATACTTTATCATACATAAGCTCATTAACTAAAACCTATTAACAATTTATTTCAATTCAGTTTTCAAAGATTTTTGCCCAAGTTTCTATTTTCTTCTTTTTCCTAAATTAAATAAATATATCATTTCCATAGCCCACTCCTCTCCACACCCTCAAAATTTATTGAGACAGAAATATCTTTAAAAAAAAAACTAAATTATTGCATATTTGACCATTAATAAATATTAGCAAGCAAAGAAGCCAAAGGTGCTCTGCTCATAAAATAATGGAATATCCTAATTTTAAAAAGCAGATACTATTACAAACAAAGTAATATTTTTTATATATTATACTTTAAATTATATGATTTTTATAAGAATAGCAATTTGATCATTGATTTTAATCATTGGCTTTAATCATCTAATGAAATAAAATTAAAATGCTTGCATAACTCCTGTTTTAATATATCTTTTACTTCTCAACTAAATAAACTGCTGATCTTGCATTAGAAGAAACTTAGTTTAAATAATCTTTATACAACCATAAATGAAAAGAATTTAAGCTAGAAAAAAATTAATATGGATTTAAATTTTTATTAAAATAAAAATAAATTTAGTTCGTATAAACACCTTGGGTTTATATCAATTTATATAACACCTATGGTTAACATTTGACTTAGCTCAACTTGTGTTACTACTCTAGTATTGTTCTCAAAAATATTATTGTCACTCATAGGATAAAAATTGTGAATGCTTGCAAGAAATATTTCATTACTTAAAGGAGGAGTAAATATGGAGAAAGTAACCCAAAAAGAAAAAGTTAAGCAAAAAGGTGGGGCTTTACGTCTCCAATGATGTGTCATAGATTAGGCTGCTTCTTCCGTTTTTCTTTGTTTATTGACAAAATCTCAATGTTTCATTAGATGTTATCTTTTTCATATTCATATGTTAATTTTCAAACCAATGATTGTTATGAACATACCTATGTCCATGTGTTATAAATTTATTGTAATTTAGAATAATAAATTAATTGAATTAAATTGAATAACACAAACTTCAGTATAATAAAAGCTTAGAATTTTATTAGAAGCTTAGAATAAAAACTTTTTTATTCATTAATTTTTTGCACTAAAAAAAAAATAAAAAATATTTATTATGGTATTACATCTCAGTATTGCTTCAACGTTTTATTAAATTTTAAGGATTAAAATATGTTCACTTTCAAATTTTTTGAACACTGAAATGATGATTTTTGTAAACAGTGAAATGGTTTCTTTTTTTTTTTGTTTCTTCTTTAATTGCCACCAATTCTTATGAAAGTTGCCTGTGGGGGGAGACAACTTTTAGAGGGACAATTACGTGATATATTCATTAAATATGATTTTATGTTTGAAATATATAAATTTTATGTGATGTACAAATTATTTATTCAAATATAAATTGAAGGTTCCTAAAATACATTTGATATGAGGTGTGATATGAGGTAACCCCATTGTTTTCATTTTATTTTATTTTTATTCAACTTAATAATTAAATGTTTTAAAAATAAAATTCACCAAACGGTCAGATCAAATCTGTAAAATCTATCAAGCTGTTAACAATTTACTTTTTAAATTTTACATTAAATCCGCTTTTGATAAATTTTAATGTATATTAGAATTCTTACGAGTTATATAAAAATGTATCAGTTTAAAAATAAAGAGATCCAGTTTGAATTTCTTTAGAATAGATTCATGGATTTTCATTGTTGTTGAACCAAATTATTAAAAATTGCATTTGATATTCTATTTAAATTTGCTAGGAAAAGAAAATTTTTTAAGTTAATTTCAAAAAAGGAGGGAATCTACTACATATTTGAATATGTCCAGATCTCCAGAGGTACAGTTAACTCCCTACTTTTTGGCTTCACTTTTTCTTAGAGATAAAGTGAGACATCCCCTTTCCCTCTCCTCAAATCATAAATAGCGAAGGATAGGCTTGTTAACTTGTTTTATCACCAGGTGGCACTGCTTATAATTAGTTTCCTTTTGATATGGACATAGAAGTGGCATGATATCCATTTTTTTGCCTGCTGGGGGAAAAGATTATTTATGGATGTAATGTAAATATTTTTATTATTCCTAATAAATTTTCTGAGGTGAAGTCGGCACTCAATGATATTGACAATTCAGACCTAAAGGAACAGGCTTAGGCGATTAGTGGGAAGACGAATCTATTCTTAGCTTGGATTACACTGAACTTGGACAATCTCAAGTCATGGTAAATAAAACCTTGAATTCAGATAAGATAAGTAAGAAGAAAACCTAGATAAAATAGCTGGTATAAATGATAATTAAAATTATTTTTAAGTGGGACTTACTTTTGATAAAAACGTGTACAATTACGGAACATGGTTTATGCCACAATATTTTTCACAGCTTAATGCGGACACCATTTGAACCAAAGGCAAAGGCAAACCCAAGATACAGTCTGATGTCACAGTTTAATACTAATATTTATAATAATGGATGAATTTCAACTAAAAAATAAAATAACAAGAAGCTCATGAACTACAGAAAGAAAAAAAAAAAGAGGATTAGCTATCACAATTTATTCATTAAGCAGCTTGGCTACTCAGTTCAATTCTGTACAATTCAATAACAATAAAACAATGTAATAACAATTTCAATGATTTTTTTTTTCTGAAATTGAATCTCAGTAACATATTCCCTCAAAATGACCAGACAGGCGGGGCAATGTAATTATTTTCTGATAAAAAGATATTGTTAACTTTTCAAGTTCTAATGAACATTTAACAAAGAGAAGAGCTACTATTCGCACAATTTTACTATGAACGTTAAACATTAAAGCCATAATAACCAAAATTTATGTGTTTAGGAGCAAGCTATATATATATTACAATATATGTATACAAAACAGTCGACAACAGCTCATACTACTGACCACCTTGCCACTCTTGCATACTAAGGTGGGAGCTAAGAATACATTGTGAGCAGTAGGGCCACTCCAACTGACCCAAGCATTGTAGTCGTTGATCAGTAACAGTTAGCAAGTACATTTCCAGGGTTCCTTTAGAGATGTATGTTCTAGAATACGAGACTTCAGATCTAGGGTGATGTTCCCATTTTGGCCACTGTCGTAATGTTCCCTCTGCAATTCAACATGTTAATAAATAAATTAGAGACTAATTTTAAACTTTAGTAAAACATCTTATCAACAATTATAATATTTATAGATATACAAATTAATTTGTAAATAATTATTTATAGAAACCTCTGTCAATTGCTGGTATGATCTCTGCTCCCTAATATGGCGTGCTAAGGTAAGGAATATTTTGTCAATATTGATATTCTGCTTACAAGAAACTTCATAGAATGGTATATCATAATTTTCAGCCAACTGGAACAAACAAGAGGAATATATACTGTTAATAATTCAAATCAGTGCTTTACTGTGTTAATTCTGGCAAGAGTAAATAATTTAAATTTAATTAGTTAATAAATAAGGAATAGGCCTTAGTATTTTCTGTCATAAAATTCTATTGATTCTTAATTGAGCCAAATTTTTGCCGATTCAGGCATCTAGGTAATAAAGTATATTCAAGTTTTTTTATATACTTCTGTCTATATGTCTATATTAGTCTATATTATTATTAATTATTCATTAATCCATACCATATTATTTTTAAAAATATGGTATGGATTCCAGATAAATACTTCACTGAGGCTACAGATTTTAATTCTAAGATTTATTAAAAAATTAATATAAAATTTTTCAATAAGTTCACCAGCCTTAGGATAAGTTGGTCAGAGGTCAAAAAGTCCTACTTATATAGTGTATTAATTTCTCCCCCAACCGACTTCTTAAATTAGGACTAAAGTCAGCAATATCCATACTATTATTTCCGATATCTTACATTATATCACTACAGTAGTGGTACAGCAGTATAAGAAAATATTGTACTATTGCTAAAACGAGAGAAAAATAATAACATTGACACTATTCCTTTATTGGAGCACAGTAATAGAAATCATAGGAATGGAATAAAGATAAGCTAACATAAAAAAGAAATGTACTCCACACTACCATTCAAGTTATTTCATCATCTCCACAATGTAACTTCTTTTTAGAACCTAAACACCTCCATTAAGTCAACAATTCGAGAGAAAATCAAAGTAAATGTAACCACATTAAATAAAAGTTGGGTAAATTTTTTTCTCATACAATGAGCTATTGACTCCCTATTGAATGGAGTTGAGTAAAAATAATAAACATTTTAATTATTAAAAAAAATACTATTTATTTATTTTAAATTAAAAGTTTTTATTTAGTATTTCAAAGTAATGCTCCATGTTTTAATAATCTATATTTAAATAAAAGTCTTATAAGCAACAATCAGTAAACCAAAAATGAGAAATATGCATGAAGAGAAACAATGGCATGCGCTGAAAGACTAAGGACCAAACTTGTGGATGAGTAAAACAAGATAATGAAAAATATAAAACTAAAGTGTTTGATATTTTTTAGTTTCACAATATTGTAAACTGTATTGTTGTTTTAATATTACTTTTAAATTGTTGTGCGAATGAGTTAAATAAGGATGAATACTACATTTAGCATTATCATTATAAATAAAATGTTATTTGAGATCTCTTTAATAATTTTCTACTTGTGATGATATTTTAAAATAATCTAATGTGTTACCTTTTGTCCCATATCTTGTTCTACCATTCTCTGCGAGACAGCATCACACTTGTTACCCGCCAAAACTTTTATGACATCGGGAGATGCATTCTGTAATATATAATATTTATAGTAGCTGAAGTTGTTCATAATGAAGGCATCATATTCAACATTTGTATAATATTACAAAACTTATAAATAAAATTAATGTACACCCTACTGGTAGTTTTACTTAACACTAAAAAAAAAAGTTAAAACAGTAATACATCACCTCTTCGATATTCTTGAGCCAATATGTGAGGTTATTAAATGATTCTTGGTTAGTGACATCATACATGAGGAGGATTCCCATTGCTCCTCGGTAGTAAGCAGTCGTTAGGGTGCGGAATCTTTCCTGACCAGCAGTATCCCTGTAACAGGACAAATATTCATAGACCTATCATAAATGGGATAAAATAGATCATATAAATAAGATTGATTAAGAAGTTTTTTTCTCTTTTTAAAGCCACTGAAGACCAATAAAAATAATTTATTTGTACTAGGGTACACAACTTAACGATAATTCTTCTGCATTTCCAAAAATGGTTAGATTGGTTGTATTGTTTTTTAAGTGATATCATTACTACATTTTCAAAGGTATTATGAATTACAATAAAATAAAATAAATGTTTAACTTAAAAGCAGCGATGGTAAAAGGGACAACATACCAGGAAATAAATAATTATTAATACTCTTGATCAACCCTAAAATATTTATTGATAGTTACTTGAATTAATAAGCAAACCACTTGTAATGTAAATATTTATTTTTTCTTTACTATACTAAGCACAATTAATAAAGAATCAAGAAAGTTTTTAAAAAAGTGCCGTACATACAGATTCGTGGTTTGAAAATTATAGATAATTTAAATTCAGAATTCTGAGGTGGAAAAATATGGGGTTATACAACTCTGGAGAGTCAACTGGCACCCCCAAATTAAGTGTGTGTTTCTGAAAAACTATTTTCAGTTTTATTAATTATAGCTGAATTGAAATATAGGGGAATTGCAATTTCAATATTAAATATCCATCTATTGCCTAAACTATTAAAATTAATTTCTCTCGAATTTCCTAATTATAACATAAACATTTTATGATAAACAGAAGGTAAAAAACAAATAAAAACAAAAAGTAGTACATTTTTTCCATTCAGTGTTAGTAATATATTAACGTTATACAGTAGAATTTTCGTCAAAGTCTCATTATATAGAGTATATTTAGTGTTCTATAAAAATATATTTCTTGAAAACTCATATTTGTTACTAATTTTTTTCTTTTATAAATCTCAAAATTATAAAATTCTTCATGTTTTGTCCACATCTTTTTATTTATATCATTAAATCATAGGGATGGAATAAAAATAAGCTAATGTAAAAAAGAAATGTACTATTTAAACCAAAATTCAATAAAAATAAATAAGTAGACAGTCCTTAAATATTTACTAGAATGAAAAATAGTTGCTTACCATATCTGCATTTTAATTGGAGTGCCATCTAGGGAAATTATTTTCTGCTTGAAATCTATACCTAAAAACATCAAAGTGGATTTTTATTAAGTTTAATTTTAATGTTCTAGTCAATGGATCAACAATTTCCACACATCCATATTGCCTGAACAACCAATGTAACAAAATAAAATATTGTTTCATGTATAAGTACAATTACTAAATGGTTTTAATATGCGCTAAGGAAGGATAATGTTGGATTTATGATTAAAGATTAACTCCTCCATTTAAACCCCAGGACAATTAATTTCAATAAAATCTACATAATATGTGTGCATATTAAAAACAAGATGTATTTTGAGGATATAAACATATCAGTTTTTCACAGAAATAATTTTTTTAATACTGGTAATCTGAAATAAACAAATAATATCATTGTGAGCCAAAGACATTAAATCTTCAAAGACAATTTTTCCCAAATAAAAGTTATAATTAAATCTAATTTTAAACAATTCTAACACTATTTTGATAATTAAAATTCATATCATATTATGTTTATATAATGATACAATATATTATACAATTTATATGTAATTTTAACAATTGAGGTTAATTCTATTTCTTGAGGAGTGCAATTTGATCAATACAATAAGAATGAAAACAGTTAATGTCATAATACTATTTATAATTAAATGATTCATTGATGTTATATTTATTTTCAGCATTGTATCATTATAATTTATTTTTCTAATAAAAAATGAAAATTTATAACAATTCTTTTTCAATTTACTACTGTCAATTGGGAATTCATGCTGGATTGTCATTTTTATTTTTTCAATGTTACTAATAATTGACTACGTTTTCAATAGTGCTATTGAGGATGATTAATAATAAAATAATTTTTTCAAGACAGATAAGTAACAATTGTTTGTATGGAAAAAGTGACACAACATTCACTAGAAGGGGTTTCAGTAGGGCTGTGCCAAAGACAGTGAAATTTATTAGTACATTCAATAATGTTAATGAAGTCTAAACAAGTTTTAGTTATTGGATTAAGCTCAAAATCAAACAGTTCATATCAAAATAAAATTATCAGTTGTTTGTTTAGATTAATATTGGATTGTTAGTTACTGTTCATAATTAATAAGAAATATATCTATATTAATTAACTTTCAAATTATCAATAAATTCCATAGCAAAAAGATGTAGAAACGGAAAATGACCCAGTAAAGTGAAAACATAATGGACATAAATAGGAAATTGGTTAGGTAATATTGCTTAATGTAAATATAAAGAATAATTTTGCCAACCTATAGTTGATATGTAGGTGTCATAGTAAGTTTGGTCGCAGTACCTGTGGACTATACACGTCTTACCAACATTGGAATCGCCTAGAACCAGTACTTTGTAAGTTGCCTCGCATTCAGCGGGGGCCATTTTCCGATCGATCTCCTTTCTACTTTAAACTGAGCGCCAAACTGGAATCAACTCACCCAGTTCAGCCTCTGAAAACATTTTAAGCATTGTGGTTTTTAATTTAATAGTTTTAATGAACATGCGCTTATTGAGAATTTAATTTTATAATGTTTAAGTTGTCATCAACAATACTAAACATCGTAATAGTCAGCTCAATTTCCGGAAACATTCGGGGTTTTTTCTGATTCATCATCAACTAATTTTATAAAAATACTGACAATGTGTATGAATATGAAATTTTCACGTCAACGACTTGTTCAAGTAATTATTTGTAATGATATTTTTTATCTTTATAAAAAAGCACTGGGCGTATAAGATATTCATTTTTTTAACTGCCATCTCTGCTGATTATTAGTTATTATTTTTTAGTTTAATTTAATTTGTAACCTCTTCATCTGAATATTGTTACAAATAAATACATATTATTACCAATCCAAAAGCTGAGAGTACAAGATACCAATTTATAAGAAGGCTGACACAAACACAATAAAAATAATTATAAATGACTCAAATATAAATTAAATTAAAACGTCATTTATTCAGCTTTTTTAAACTTTCCATAATATTTAAAGATATTTTTTTAAACCACTTTGAAATGTATTACATATTCTGTAATTTACATTGCCAATGTTCTATTTTTAAAAGTTCTCAATTTGACTTGTTTTTTATTAACGTTCAGTAATAGTTTCCGTATTTCTGAACTGATTTCTGTGATTTTAATCAAAGCCATAAAGCTCCAAGGTGTACCATGATCTCTTTCATCTGTGCCAAAACGTCTGCAAGCAGGTATGGATGACAATGGATTTAACACAAAACTCTGGTTGCTAAGAAAAGTTTTTTTATTGTTAAAAGAAAAGCTTTTGAAACGTACTTGTTTCTTTTATGTTTATTTATGATGAGAATTAGTTTTTTTAATTGTTAATTTTTAGTTTAATAGCAGTCTAAATAAAAGAAGTTTTCATTAATTAGTTAAATTTTGTTATTATATTTCATTACAATTTGAATTCTAGGCAAATATTTGGATAGTGCAATTACTTTTGACTGCCACTTTTAAACTATTATACTTAAGAAAGTGAACAGCTGTTAATTGAAGTGTTTCTCTTATGATTTTCATTAAATTTACAAGAGACCACCCAGGAGTTATATCTTTTTGATTGGGAGGGAGAGGGGGAGGAGGGAGCATTTTCTGGCTGAAAATGCTACCTCCCCAAATGGTAAAATATAACCATGTCTTATGAAAAAAATTATGTCTAAAATATTATTGCTCCTGTTATTATATTTAATAGGACTATAAGAATCACATCAAACACCATTTCATGAATGTGGTTAAGATCTTTATTCTTTAATCTTACACACTTGAGGGCCCCTTACATGGTCAATATTATTGAAGCAATATAGGGGTACCTCACATGGTCAATTTTATTAGTCAATATATATCAGTTAAGATCTTGCTTCCAGCAAAGAAAGGAGGTTTCCAAAGAAGTAATCTTCCTTTTTGTGGAAATGAATAATAATGAATTTCCTGTAACTTTAATTTCCTTACCATTAGCATTAAAAAATATGTGTTCTTGCCAATGTTTATTTTGTTCCTAGACATTAAAATATTTCTTGTTTCAAAAAGGTTCTGTTCTTGTTTCCTTATAATTTAATATTTGAAGTGGTTATGTAATCTAAAAAAAAATGTTATTAAATTTTAGATTCAAATCAATTTTTGAACAAAAAAAAAGAAACTATGAAACAGTTAAATGACCTTAAATACTGCCATTTTATATTTTTAAAAACTTAAGGGGGGTTCTTCCTCCCTCCTCCCAAAAAAGTATCCTCCACCTACACAAACATATAATATATAACATTGCCAATTTATATTTTTTTTTTTTAATTTCGGAGAGTCCTCCCTCTACCCCTCCCCCCCAAAAAAAATGTATCACACACTTACACAAACATATTACCATATTCTGTAGCGCTCTTACTCATCCTCCGCTGGTTTAAAATACCAGTGAAGTGGCTGAGGGAGAAGCGTAGGGATCTCCTAAGCCTCCCTTTTCCCTCCACATGTGGAGGGGAAAGGATTGGTTCGGAGATCACCTGGCAAATTGTAAATAATGTATGTTTTATATAAGGTGTTTGTTTTACTTTTATTTCTATTTTTATTTACTTATGTGTATATATATATTTTTTTTTTCTTTACTCTTTTGTTCTTTCTTCTTATTCTTTTGTTATTACTTTATTTATTTATATTTTTGTATATACGGTATGAATGCAATCTCTGAACTCTATTATAAGTGTCCTTACCTGTGACAAATTGTAATATTTCTGAATAAAGTATTTTTTTAATAATAATTACCATATTATCTTTAAAAAGAAATTGTAATTGACATTTTAAGAGGGGTTAACCCTTAAATTTAATAACCCTTTTCCCCCAAAAAATATTATCTACCCAAATATATATAGTCTCCCCCCCTACCCGCTCTCTGAGAACGGCAACAGAAATTTGCTATTGCCAAGGGCTTCTCAATCTCCGTACATATGGTTTAAAATTGCTCAATACAGAACTTACACATGCAAGTATATTGACACTGTTTCAATAATATCGGAGCTTCAATAAAAAAAAAAAAAAATTATCTATCGACCAGTTTGATTGAAGTCAATATAACTGATGTCAATACATTGACGAAACTCGATATTGACTGTGTAAGAAGCCCTTTAGGGACATCATTCAATTTATATCACTGACATCATAACTAAAAAGGTCAAAATTGTCAGTCCCATTAATGTATGGTCAATATCTTACTCCAGTCAAATATGGTTAATTCTCCTATTCAACCTAGCCAGCATTTTTTCAGAAACCGATATTTATTTCAAAACACATCAATGAACACCACCCTTTTTAGAGAATCGCATATATTTTTCTTTAAATATCAGTATTATTCCAACATCCCTTTTCATATTACCAGTATTAAATTATTATTTTGTCTGTAATCAGTTGTGATTCACTCAGTGAAAATTCAAAGATCAGTAAGTTTGGAAGACTTTGAAGTTTGAAATTTATATTTTCTCTGAAAAAAAGTCACTGAGTACATTTTTGATGGAGCTGAACTTTTAGAACATTTTCCTAAAATTCAAATTCATTAATACAAACAAAACTAAGAGCATCAAAATAAAAACTTTTGAATAGAAAATATAGTTTGATTTGTCACTAATTGACAATTTGCAATAAACCGACTATATGTAACAGCCTAAATACCTGACCTATAATTTTTATTAATTTCATACTAACAACAAGAAAGGGAAAATTAGATAGATTGATTAATTACAAAAATGTCAACTACACTGATTTTGAGGAATAGAAGGAAAAAGAAATAAAGAGACAGTTATTAGCATTTTATTTTTTAAACATTATGTTAGGATGTATTACACAATTTTTACTTACCAACATACTTTCAGTAGACTTTTTTTTTAATTAATGAATCTTGAGAATATTACTTTAATTATAAATTCAAACTTATAACAGTTTATATAAATTTTGATACCTCTTTGTATAAAATATATTTGGTTTATCAAGAAAAACAAATTTAGTTTTCCACATATTTTCTATGAAAATATCATTTATTTTTAATTGAAACTTCTATTTCTCATTCAATAATATAACGTTAGGCATTGCTAACTGCAACAATTAAAAGTCGTTAGCTTTCCATCACTTATAAGTTAGATATTTATTTTTCTAAATCTCTAGATTTCCAACGATTCATCATACTTCTATATTACTATTCTTATTGCCAGAAATTTATTTTCAGCCAGCAATATTTTATCCACTATTTTTCTTTGGTTAATTATCACATTCTTCCATAGTTAATATTATTAATTAAAAGTACTTTAGATATAAAAATTTAGCCTTTAGGCCCAGTATGATTATTTCAATAAGGATAAGACCTGATATTGATAAATATATATAAATATTTACCATGTTTATTATTAATTTGCTCAATAGTCCTTAATTAAAAATACATGGAGCTAAGAAACAAGTTCCTGCCGGGCTTCACTATCCACAACAGTTCTTCTAATACCCATATACTTCTTATTCTTTCTATAAGAATAAAGAAGATATAATTTCAGAGTTGTATATGTTTTCTTTTTTGAGCAATGCTGTTCTCTCACACACGCATCACACACACACACACAACTTTTTATACTCATTATCGTTATTCGGGCTAAGGAGAGCTTAAAAGATGTATTTCTGTTGAAAAAAAAGAAATTGGGTAAGTGAAAATAATAATTACACTTAAACAAGATAATTATTACTAATGAAATAATAGGAACATTAAAATGAAACATATATATTAAAAGTTGGTATAAAAATTAGTCTAGCTGATTTTATATACATAAATGGACATGATTTATCGATTATTGCAATAAATCTTTACATCTTATCAGTTGATGAGAATCTTTAGCTCCTTCGCAGTTTCCTAAAACAAAATTTCAATTAATTTAGATTAAAAACTAACAATGAAAAGAGAAACAACTTGACATAAAACAGATATAATTGATTCTTTCAACTATAAATATATTCGATTATTATTGATTGATTACTAATTAGAATCTATTCATTTTAACTGATTACACGTGTAACCATTTACAACAAATCATAAAATATTTTTTTTAATAAAATAGTAAAACAAAATAATACTCAGCAACTCAGGTAATTTTTTTAACAAATGACATAAAAGTAAACAAATTACTTTAAACCAATTAGATTGATTAAGAATGAAATAATTAATAATGATTGGGTATTTTAATACACCAATAAAATAGAAGGTGCCATGAATTAATGGCTGATAGAAGTCTAACTCCAAATAATCTATAGTATATGATTGTAATGTATGATATATATACACACACTAGGGGATATCCCCTGTCCTAACGGTGGAACAGTCTCCATTTTACAAATTATATGACTGTTCATTTAATGGTACTTTGCCCAGGAAAACCCCTGCATACAGATCCATATCTGAATTAGTGCTTTTAGCTACAATTAACATATTTCTATTTTGCAAATTTTTATATAGATTTAAATATAAAATAAAAAATAAAATAGAAACAGATCTAAAGGAAAATAAAAAGTATTCCTTTGATAATTTCTTAGAAAATGCATGTTTATATTAATTCTTGTATCATTAGATCAAAAATTTAATGCTTGACTTCCATTTGAACACATATAAAAAGATTTTACACTAAATTTACTTCCTCCTTAACTTAATAACTTATTTATTCTATAAAAGAATTATTTTTAATTTTATTTATTTTGCTATTAAAATTTCTCCTAATAGCCATGCTTATTAGATAATTTAAAATATACAAATTATACTAACATAACTACTAATTATGAAATAAATATTAAAAGGATAGTTTACATTTTTAAAGGTTTCTCCTTGTAACTGACTGCATTCCGTGCTCTCCTCGGTAAACGCACTGAAACATAATTTCTTATTTAGTAATAACTATGAAATTTCCATCATAATCATAACAAAAAAATCTGGTGTGTCCACTCACACAACTTTCCTACATATTTCAGAAAAAGTTTTTACATCTTTAAATATGTCCATTAAGAACTAAAAAAAATTGGATTAGTTATAAAGTTTTGTAATTATAGTTTGGATTAGAGATAAAACGGAATTTTCCTGAAAATTGATCAAAGAAAAGATTTAAGTACGATTTCTTAGATAAACTAAAGCAATGTGAACCGGCTTGTGGAAGATCAACATAAAAAATTCAATACACCCTAATATTGTTAATCAAAAACTTTTTTACTTTAGCCCAATTTTGTCAAACAATAATTTCAGTTAAAAGTCGAGAGATAACTTGTGTGATGTGGGCAACTGATTTTTTTACTTTCACTTACTTTTCTTTTTTTTCTCTCATTCACCGCTTACACCCGTATTCTTACATACGAAACTGAATAGCTGTAACTTCATTAATAGTTGTCCAAAATGAACGATTTTTATATAGTTTTGTAGGGAATTTTGTTACATTAAAAAAACAAAAAAACAGTAATTTTCAGACTCATGGGATTCTGAAATGTATAGATCTGTCGAAAACCGTATGTCGGAAATTTGACCCGATCGCAATACTTTCCTTACCTAGTATAGATAGGAAAGTAAAAAATAAAAAAAAATAAAAAATAAACTTCCATTTGAGGAAAAGCAAAATACTTTTAATTTCACACTAATATCGAGAGAAATCGCTTAAAATAAAATTGATAAAATATTATTAAACACCTGTATTTTAAATGTACAATTGTTAAAATAAAAAAACCTGTTCCGATAAGATACTATCTCACATTTTATTTGGATAACTCTTATCATACATCAAGCATGAAAGCTAGATATGCCGTATGCCTTATCTGGTGAAGATTGTTTTAAGGCTGTTAAACATATCAATAAAGTTCTCAGGAATACAAAAATAACATAAGATTAAAAACTTTGATATTAGTTTATAATATTTTAATTTCTCAATTGTTATTTCAATTTTTCTTTAGCTAAGTTCTTTTGTTGATAGTTCAATCCATAAATTCGTGTAAATAAGTATTCAAAATATTATCACAATAATCTTTAATAGTATTATTTGATATTTTGTTATATTTAAAAACTTAATTAAATTTAACTCACCATTATTTGAGGATTCTGAAGCGGAGTCAGGTGTTGCATCCCTAAAACGAATAGAAAAATAAATAAATGTTTCAATATATTAATTTTCAGATAAATGATCTCTGAACCAATCCTACTAACATATTATTTCCGAATAATAGCAAGCCTTTAAATCTTGAATAAATATTGATGAATGAAATTTGAAATCAATGTAATCTGAGAAATTAACCTTAAACTCTGAATTGGCTATGAGATCATTTGGTAAAATCTAACAAAATGACTAACCTCTTATTTCTATCTTCATCCTGATTGCTTTTCATGCTTTTTCTTCTTCTAGATACATCCTTTTTTGGAATCTCAATGGTGCTATTCAAAGAGGGATATGCCGACAAGTCTAGCCTGGGAATAGATACTTCTAATTGTTGAATCTTGTAGTATTTCGACAAATCTACTTCTAATGTGGAAGTGATCACAGCCTCCTTAGTTGTGATCTCAGGATTGGATTCAAACTGAGGAAAAAAGTTGACTAAAATGAAACTTTACATTTCAAACTAAGATCAGTGTAGCTAGTAAGAAAGAGTTAAAATTTGATCTGATACTTAGAGGAGTGGTTAGGGGTCTTACTTTTAGTTAGCTAATAGAAATTATTTTATAAAATTCTAGATTAATAATTACTAGAATGGTATAATTTCAGTATGCAGTTATAATCACAACACAGATTCGATAAAATAAAAATCTGATACCATAAACTCAGAGTAAAAAATGAATAGATTCGAAAACAGAATAAGATTGGTTAAAAAATTTTCTTTCTGTCCAATAAGGCTTGAATACAAACCATAAATCATGTAACAAGAGACACTAATAAATTTGAAAGCTAATCACAAAAAACACAATCTCAAGGGCTTAATAAAATTTCTTAAAATATATCATTATAATATAATATATAATCTAAAAGTTATAAATAAATAATTAAAATACAATGTTAAGATTTTTGAGAAAAGAAACCTCCTTAGTAGAAGATATTAAATGTGTTCTTCATTTATAACGCATTCAAACAAGACTGGATTTATTTAGTATACAATACAATTGAAGTACTAGTTCACAACTACAAATTTAAAGGTTTGATTAAAGTTACTAATTTACAAACTTTTTTTTTTTTTATTCCTGATTACGACCACCAAGAAACTTCTACAGTCAGAATCCCTCCACCATTACAATACTTTCTGGCCATATTTAATTTTAAATACAAGAACACTAGAAAATTTATACTAACAACTGTGAGAGATTGAGCAATCTCATAATTTCTTAAAGATTCAAGACTGTCATGCTTTGCAGAAAGCCTCGCAATCATTTCCTAAAAAAAAGCTCCATCATTAACAAAAAAATAAATAAACAAAAGATGAATAATCATGAATATGTTTATATCTGCAAACATAATATTATATCTCATTATAATGATCATTAACAATACTAAGATCCCTGAAAATGATTAATCAAGATATATATATATATATTAATACTCATCAAACAAAACCAAAAGAACAGTAGGTAAAATTTTAGAGATTACTGATATGCCATTTCAACGATTACAACCATTGAATCAAGATTTTCAATTCAAATGCAGATTTTCCTAAGGAATTAGCCAACAAAATCAAGAACAAAAGGAAAGAGTAAAATACAAGAAACATTATAACTTGAACAAGTCCATACAACTATATATAAAGTGGATTCTGCAATATTCAGTTTTTAAACGTTTGACTGAAATTTTTGTGATGAAATAAATATCTTTCAGATTTAATCCATATATTTATGTATATTGAATGACGTTTAAAGCCTATAGGCTCATTTATCAGTTACCTATTATTTAAATTTACACAGTTAAGAATTATTTACTATTTCATAATTTTATAGCATAAAAATTAAGTTAAGCAGTGTGGTTAGAACTTGGATGGGTGACCATCTACCAAGGAAAACCACGCTGCCCGAGACCCTCCCTCCCGGGTTTGTGAGGCCCATCAGCTTACTAGAGGCAACTCACACCGACCGGGAGCAGGACTGATGACCCTATCCCCGTGTACTTAAATCAGGAATCGGGATGTGGTATAGAAGACCACATCTCACGGTCAAAGATCTACAAGGTCTGTAGCATCCACCCAAAAAAAAAAAAAAAAAAAAAAAGTAACATAAAATTAGTTGAGAAATTACCAAATATTTTAAAAGATGATCTTGGTATATATTTTAACTATGTGAATTTGTAAATTTTCCTATATACTTTTATTTTTATTCTTCCTTCCTTTTTGTTTTCATACATCACACCTTTGTTAATAATGATTTTCAAGATAATATATTGGTAAATTTCATTATTAATTTTTTTAAATGCTGGCAATATTTTTAAAAGATAAAATTAAAACCTTTGAAGGGTCACTTGTGGCCCATGGGTCACTCATCTCAGATCTGTATAAATCAAATTGTACCGTGTTACCTCTTTTCTTTTGAAAAATAAATTATGTGGGGAATATGTAGCTCTCTGTTAATTTTATTATCCTATTTGTTCTGTTATTCAAAAATCTTACAACCCATACAATAAGTAATGTTTGTTTTTTAATAATTTTAATAGAGTTGTCTGTCTACTGAATGAATATTTTTTCTCTTTATTTACATATTTTCGAGTTGTCTATTCTTCTATCTTTTAATTTTAATGTTTTTTTATTAAAAACTTACAAGCAATCAAGTCAAAACTAATCTTAATCTGATGCTGATACAAATAGATTTATTCATTTCTTCAACTTTTACAGAAGTAAAATTATAATACACAAACATTAATGAAAAACCAATTACTTCCGGAATTATCTAATAAATCCTGTTAGCATTTTCAGTTTAAAATACAAACAATAAATAGTAGAGCATAATGAAATATAATAATTTTAGGAATAAATAATTATAATTAAAACATAAATTACTGTAAATTTTGCTTTTTCATTTGAATCTTCTTGAAATCCATGGAATGGCTCCTCTTCTATAGGCCTGATTGTCTGAACTTCCTTGAAAATTAAAACTCAAATTAATTATACTATATTTTATTAAGATTTAAATTGAATTAAAATAATAAGAATCTTACCTACATTAACCCTACAAAGATTCAGAAACCGTGTATACCTTAAACACTAAAGACCAAAAAAATTAGACTTTGAGAGGGAAGTTCTGCGATCAAACTTTGATCCTGTTAATAACAGAGGAGAACGGTGGCAAAAAACAAATAATCAAATTTATTACCTGTCCAACGATACAGAAATCAGAGATAAAAAATAGCAGATCATGAGACCATAACATATAACCATCCATTTCCTGGAGTTCTATTGAAAAAACCCTTGCGCAAAAGTTGAGGGTGAGGAGACCAATATGAATTAGAAGGCAATAGCTAACAACAGAAAAACGTGACTATCGATGCTGGAAGTTACATAAAATATTTCTAAGCAAGTAGGTATTATACCTAAACAGTTGTCTCAATTTTTTTTTAAACTATATTTAAATAAATAGAGGAAGGAAGTACATATAACACAAATTCCTCAAATAACAATGAATTTATAAGAAAGAAAGAAACCATGAAGGGGCTTGGGTTCAGTACTATGAAGGGAAGATACTGTTTCTTGGTCAATAGTTGCGCAAGGAGGTGATTTGACGGAGATCACTCTCAACTGCCAGCTTTTCCCCTATAATTATAGAGGCAGGGTATTCTCCAGGGGGGTCTCCCAAATTTATGAAAATACAAAATTATAAACAACTATCTTTTTAAATCTACCAGCCCTCCTTATACTACAGGTCTTCCTATATCAAATATTGAATATTTCAAAATTTAACACATAATTGAGAACATAACTCTTTAACTAGCTTACAGCTGTCTGATGTTCAGTAATAACTAATGGTATATATATATAAATAATATATATATGGGTGTATATATATATATATATGGGTGTATCAAAACATATGACTGCTGCAAAATTTTGCAAACCAACACCGCGCAGTGCGCTGGTCAAGGACACCTCCCCCTTCATATTTAATAATTCCATGAGATGCTTCAGCGGCTGTGATTTTTTTTTTTTCCAGCAATACCTTAAAATTAAATGAACTCACTGAGGACTCTTCACAAGGATTAATTTTTTTACATAATATAAATTTTACAAGAACTTTACTCTCAAGAATAAAACCCACTCAATAAGGTCTTACATTTGATTCTAGATTAATAAAATTGGGATAACAATCCAAGACTAGCCTCATTTAAGATTAATTAATAACATACTTGGACCATTAACAGACCAAAGACAAAAATGAATGAATGAGAGGTATTAGTCAAGAGGATATTTAATAAACATGACCCTACAAGGAAGATCCAGTATGTTTTAATCAGCTTTCAATTTACTATAAGTGTATAGTGGCATTTTCTATTTCTACAATGTAAAACAATTAAAAATGAGATTGAATAAATAATATGAGTAGATATTATTTTAAAAAAAAACCTAAATGTCTCTATCTCGGTCGGGAAGTTGGTCTCAAATAATAAATATAACACGAGTATTTTCTGCTATATTAACAATCCGTACATATATTATTACAGTAAGGCTCAAAATCGGTTTTGTACCAAATATAAGCTCCTGTCATGCTCAAATACCATGAATGGGGTACCGTTGGATTCAGAATTTCACGGGAGGTTAGCGAATCGTATTCTCCACTTTTGTTTTTGTTTCTAAAATAAATAAAGTCGATACAAACGGTGGTAGGTCTGTAGATCGATACGGGACAAATTGGATCTTGAAGATTTTGATGCGTACAGCAGGACCCGAATAGTTCCTCCGGAACTATCGGATCTTGCATTTTTAAAGCCCAAAAACGTACTATTTTCGAGATGACGCAAGGCATAGAGTTCGCATCCACACAACCTTACATTAACTGTAGTACTGTCATTGAATACATGTCTCATTTCGTCGACTTGAGGTCTCTATGATCGAAACAATAGGAGTTTATATTATTTACCGATGGTGTTTTTGATCGGCAAGCCATATCATCGTCAATTTTTCACCAAATCTCAAGATTGAGCCACCAATTTTGAAGGCTTCCTTCTCCTTCAGGCGGGCAAAATAGTCCAATCACCCCGAAAATTCAGGCAAACAAGTTATGAAAGAAAACAAACTTTATCTGCGAATAACTAAAAAATTACACACTTTTCCCTTGGTTACACCCATGATTATATAAAAGATTACTAAATTCTCTACAAAAGGAAAAAAAAAAAATCAATCAAATCGGACAATTTTTAGCAAAGATACAGCTTACTGAAAATTGTGAACATGTTGGTTCCAAACAAAAATGAAGATTTAAATTAATTTTTGTTTTATTTGTCGATTATATTTATCGATAAAATAACATTTGATTTCTTTATCTTTTGATACGTTACATTATTTTATTTTATTATTAATCAAGCATCTGATACCAATATGCTGTGCGAATTTTTCACACAGGCCTACTAGTTATATATTAACTGTTAAAAGGGCCAAGTCCATTATCAGTTAGCATCAATAAGTAATTGAGGAAGAAAATTGCATCTTTTAACAATTATTATATGCACTATCATAATTTCTAAATATTTCATAAAAACATAAATGTTGGCTTCACTAAATTAAGAAGAAAATTGAAGGAGACACCTCAATGACCAGATAATATTAAAGTAAAATAAAAGATGTAGTTTTGAAGATTGGAATAACTGAAAATGGCATGAGTGCTTGGACAGGATGGTTGAACCAATAATTTAAAAAAAAACTAAGAACGTTGCAATATAGATGAATATACCTGTACCAGTATTATGAAAGAAGAAGTAAATAAGTATAAATCACACACAAAATAACGGTGGAAAATGTTATCTGATGATTGTATAACATTACATCACCCAGACTTCTCTAGAAAAATGTTATAGAAACATTGAAATTTTAATGTTTTTAAAAGAACTTTGAAATAATAGTCCGAGGTACAGACCTCTTTTTATCAAATTAGTAAGATCCTCTTCAAACTTAGTAAATCGCTTCATCTTGTCGTAAGCTACAAAAATTTTAATTGTGAAAATTGTCGGAATCTGTAGATCAGCAAACTTTGTCTATTTAATTAGGTACTAAAAACTCATGAATACCCATTTGCTCTCCACTTGAATCGTAAGATAATATCATCAAAAAATCGAAAAAAACCGTGACCTACAAAGATATTGAGCCGTTTGGTCTATAAAATCTCGTTATCTTGACATTTTGGGGATGGAGATCACACCAAAAGGCTCAATATTTTTGTAGGCTACTTTTTTTTTTGTTGCAGTTTTGGGGTGATATTATCTTATGATTCAAGTGGAAAGCAAATGGGTATTTATGCCGATCTTCAGATTGAAAACGCTCAAATTCCGAGAATTTTTGCAAATAAAATATTTGTATAAGATAAATTTATGATGTTTCAGGTGGATGTTAATAATTTGATAAAAAGGTGCCTGTACCATGGACTATAATAATTTTAAGAAGAAAATTTAGTGCGATTCATTGGTGGTGTGAAAAATGTACACACGTGGTCACAAAGCAAATATCTGGACTGCCAAGAAGTAGAAGTGTACAAGAAGTAGAAAAGTGGTGAAGATATAAGAATAAAAAGTATAACAACACTTATATAAAACCTATACGTCAGGTTATGAAGGAGAAGAATGATAATTATTTTTATTTAATCAGAATACTCACATTTTTGGATTTTTGATAATTGCAAGCTCTCTCAAGTAATACATTCTCAGATTCTTGATGGTCTGGTTCACAGGTTACCTCGAGCGACACGTTTGCAGATTCTTGATGGTCAAGTTCACAGGTTCTTTCAAGTGACAAATTTGGAGATTTATGGAAATCTGTTTCGCAAGTTTCCTCAAGTGAGACATTTTCAGATTCTTGAAACTCTGGCTCAGAATTACTTATTCTCTCAAGTAATACTTTTTGAGGTTCTTGTAAGTCTGGTTTAATAGTTTTCTCAACTGACACGTTTTCAGGTTCTTGATATTCTGGTTCACAAGTTCTCTCAAGTGATACATTTTCAGATACTTGGAAGTCTGGTTTGCAAGTTTTATCAAGCTGCATATTTTCATACTCTTGATAAACTGGTCCAGTAGGTTTGTCAATTGGCACTGTATCTCTTCTGCAGAACGAGCTCAACAGCAATGTCAATTCCTGCAATCAAAGAGATAAGCACTTTTAGCAGACATTTCGCAATAGGGAAATTTCAATTTTCACTCAAACAGGGAATGGACATAATTAGTACAAACAAAAGGAACCATGTACAGACAGAGGGACACTAAGTATGGTTGCAAGCTGACCTGGGATGGCTTACCAAATATTTTATATTTGGATAGTAAAGATTAGTTTTTAAGCAACTACAATCTTATTAAGATTTAATAATCATAGGAGACAAGTAGTCAGATGGGCAAATGCTACTCTGAGCACAGAGTACCAAGTATTTTACTCAAATTGAATCACTATTGGGAATTCGATAACTACTTCAGTTAATCATTAGATATCAAATGAAGTAGTAATTAAATTCTTTAGTACTCAAAAAAGGTCAGTATTTGAGTAAAATACTTGGTACTCAGAACTCAGAGTAGCATTTGCCCATCTCTGCAAGGAGTTTGCGTGTGTGTATAGGACGGAGATGAAGGAATATTAGAGCTTCTTATTCATACTACAATATAAATCAGTAATTTCATCTTCAATAACCCATTTTAGTTCTTTATTTCTATTTTTTACTCAAGAGAAAGTATCAAAATATATATGTGTATGCATTATCACCAAATATGTAAAATAAAATTTTATAATTTGCATCTGAGCACAGTGGTCTATAAAAGTATTTGGTCAACAATGTACAATAAAAACAATGTGTATTTCTAGAAAAATAATTCATTATATAGAACAAAATACAATTATTAAATACTACTGTGCGCAATAAAATTTAAATGATGCTAAATGAAGTTTCCAAAAATATGAAATGACAAAATTACTTCACAAATGATCCTATATATATTAATCAAGAGGATATTTAATAAACATAACCCTACAAAGAAGATGCAGTATGTTTTAATCAGTTTTCAACTTACTACAAGAGAATTTTGTTTTCTATTTCTAAATGTAAAACAATTAGAAATGGGATAAAATAAATAATATCAGTAAATATTATTTTTAAAAAACCTAAATGTCTTTATCTTGGTCGGGAAGTTGGTCTCAAATAATAAATATGACAGAGTATTTTCTGCTATTATATTAACAATTATATATTAACTGTCAAAAGGGCCAAGTCCACTGCCAGTTAGCATCAATAACTAATGGTATAGATATATATATATATGGGTGTATCAAAACATATGACTGCTGCCAAATTTTGCAAACCAACACCGCGCAGTGCGCTGGTCAAGGACACCTCCCCCTTCATATTTAATAATTCCACGAGATGCTTCAGCGGCTGTGATTTTTTTTTTTCCAGCAATACCTTAAAATTACGAGAATTTGGTAGGACAGGGTCATGTTTCTTCTTTGAAACAAATAACTAAACTGAGGCTTCTTTTTAAGAAGTCGAGTGGGATTAAACAAGCTTAGAGAATGCTCTAAAGGGATTATTAAGTATTGGTAAGTATTAAATAGAATTAAAATATTTACAGTCCTTTGAAATATTAAGTTTGATAAAACGGTAATTTTTTTTTATACACCCTATTATATATAAATAAATACCAATCAGAGCCAGTAGCCAGCAGGATTAATTTTTAAATGAGTATTCAAGGCATACCTCTTTGCTTTCTGAAAGATCACAGTGGTTGGTCAACACTGGTTCAACTTCATGTCCATTAAGAGCTTCAATTTTGCAGACCATTATCTAAAACAAAAGGATTATATATGGATTGAGAATAAGTATTGGCAAGTTCAAAATAAGATCTTGAATTAAATAAATATATATCAAATATGAAATGAAGAAAAGTAAAATTACAACTACAAATGTATAATTGGACTAAATCTACAAAACAAATAATTTCAAGAAAATGACACCGATAATGAAAGACCTGGATCCCAAACCGATTAGCACAAATAATGACAACGTAAGTGCACTCCATTACATTAAGAACCAATGCGGGTAAATAGACATTTGTTCACCTTGATCAAGCTTACTATATTAATTGTATATGAGCTAAATGATTAACATGGTTCTTTGATAAGGTCTTTCTTAGTAGCTACAAATAAGCAGCTGCAGCTGCAAGCAGTTAATAATTCAATTATAAGGTCACTGTATTTTAATCATAATTAAATTAAATACAATAAATTAACAACTAAGTTAAACTTACGCCATTCTGTGAATTAGACACTTCCTTCAGAGGAGAAGAGCCTCGACTTTGACTACCAAGATCCTCAGATAACGTCTGCTGTTCCTAATTAATTTAAATATGATAGTTATATTTTTTTAGAGATTTAGCCTATCAATAACAAATAATATGAAGGGATGCTTTAAAAGTATATTCAAATTTTAATTTGAATAATAAATGACAATTATTCACATTGATGAAAATATGATTTTCTGATTTCTTAACTGATTTGAAAGTTCAGGAGGCATGTGATTAAAATATTACTTTTATAATAACAAAAACCACAAATTCTTTTCGAATCACAGTTAAATTGAACAAAATATCTTAAAATATCTGGTGTACTAACTCACACGACTTTCCTAACCACTTCGGGTGCTATGTCCAATACAACTATTATCTTCTATAACACCAGCTTTATTAAGATTTTCTTAATTTATTTTTTTCTTTTCTTTTTAACCTCGTTATTACTTTAAAGTTGGATTTGATTCTAGAATGTTCAGGATATGATAAGAAAAAAAATTATTTAAAATGATTACCACTGATTCCTGTGGACAGCTTTCTGCAGGTTTCTTAGATGAATGCCTATTCCCTACGAGACCTAATTAAATTATGGTTTATGTAGAAAAACAGAATTAAAAATAATTTTAAAACATTATTAGTAACTTACTCACAACAAAACAAAAATAATCCACCCAATGAATAATACAAAAGAAACAACCACAAGAGGCAGCTCACTTGAGAACAGTCTTTGACAATTGTGTATTTTGTCTTATATTTATTTATTTCTAAGCCATTTTTTTCCTGTAGGGTCAATCTATTTGAAATCACCCAGACTGTGTTGCTCGACATTTTTAATTTTTATATTTTTTTTTTTTTTTACCATTTATTCAATATTTATTTTAGAGTTCAAAAAAATTTTAAGTTTCCTAGATTTTCCTCGACAGCCATTTTTAATTTGCTTTTTGACTGAAAACATGTTTTGGGAAAATGTCTATACCTCTGGTAATTTTGTAGATATTGAACCAAAATATGAACTCGAACAATGAGTATTTTTTCTACATTTCTGTTCACCAAACAGTAAAGAAAAGTGGTTTAAAAAATTATGAAAATTGACATAAAATGAGACATTTAGTGCGGCAAAAGTAGAAAAAATACCCACCATTATTCCAGTTTTCATTTTGGTTCGATATCTACAAAATTTCTTAAATTAAATATAACGATAATTACTTAAACTAAATATTTCTTTAGTCATCTCTTCCTATTCAACAAAAAACATGACTCCCTAATAAAAACACAAAATTTGGATTTGCTACTTTTATGCTGAAAATTGACCCATTGTTTATATTAACTTTTTTGTAGCTCTTTAGGTCTGTTATCACTCTTATCAAAATTTCTCTACTTACGGGCTCCCTCCCCCATATAGCATTTTGGATGTTTCCATTCTGATGATGTATCAATCGGTTAAGTGTTGAGGGGTTAATTGTTTACCTGCACTTTAGAAACTAAAAACTTAGTGTTTAGAAGTTTCTAATTAAATCCTGATAATAAATTTCCTAAACTAATAAAAATACTTTTGTTTTTATTTTTTTTTATGAAAAATGAAATTTGTAGACTAAGAGTAGAATTATTCTTAACATTAATTAATAGACAACATAAATTTAAAAAATCTGGTGGGGGCGCGCATCACACAAATTTCATTTACCACCCTCTTCTTAGCAGAAATAAGTATTTTCAGACAAAGGGGAATTTATTTATATTTCATTGTGGTTATTTTAATTTTTGTTTAAGTATCCTTAAATATACAAATTTTAATAATTATATCATTGTAATTTATACAATTAAATATTAAATAATACTAACGATAGCATGTATGAAAACCACATCTGTAAATGTACATAAAATTGTCGGAGTCCATATAATATCGAGAAAATCGTAACAATGTGTTAAACCAATGATATAAACTGCCACTTCCGAATAGCTGATTTTGAAGAAAAAGTTGCTGTAACATCCCAGGCATATAAAAACCTTAAATATGCAATTTCACTTTCATACAACTTTTCGTTTTGAACTAGACTGTTAACACACATACAAATCATTTTAGCGGGACTTGGTTATTTGGATTTAGAGGACCTCAAAACGTGTGTTTCCATTAAAAATTGAGATTCGATGATTTTCACGATCGCAATATTTGCTCTTACTATATATTACAAATATAGGTAAGTGAAAGTAAAAACAGAAAACATTATCTATATAAATAAAATTATCCTGGTGAAAAAGGCACTTACTTTCTTTTTGATTCTCTTTCCAACTATTTATGACTTTGGTTTGCAAAGCATGCAAATCATTTAAAAAAGATGATAAACTATTCTTCAATGCAATATTGCTACCCTGAAAAAAAAAAAAATTTCTGGGAATTAACTTCCACTTGTCAACAGTTAATAACTGTATTCCATCTAATCACACTAAATCAGTCCTTTTCAAATAGAGAACAGCCTTAAACTCGGTTAAGTGTTTTTCTGGTTTCGTCTTAAAAGCATGTAATTTAAAGTCAACTTTGATCAATTCTTATTGCATTAGTAAAGTGAGCTATTTTAAAAAAATTTCTCTACGGATTTTATCAGTGTAGTCATACATTCATATTCTCTGTAATTTCTGTTATATTATAATAATAAAAGGCTTAGCAAACCCGAAGGTTCGATGCCGACACCACCAATCCCTTATTACATACCTCCCTCCACCGTTCGCCGTCCAAACCCAGTCCCTTTAGATCGGCTTTAATGCAATCTTCCCACCTTCGCTTCGGTCTACCCCTCGGACGCTTACCATTCGGCACAGCAAATATTAATCTTTTAGGAATTCTCTCGTTACTAAGTCCAACAACTTTACAAGCCCATTTTATTCGCCGGGACGAAATTACCTCAATTATATTACCAGGATAGAGTTCATGCAATTCGGCGTTGTGTAACCGTCTGAACTCTCTGGTTAACTCATCCTTCTTTGGTCCGAATATTCTACGCAATACTTTATTTTCAAAAACCTTAAGACGCTGCTCATCCCTTAATGTAAGCGGCCAAGTTTTGCATCCATAAAGAACTGTAGGCAAGATAATTGTTTTACAGATTCTAATTTTTAAGTTCCGGGACAAGAGGCGCGAACTGAGTAGTTTTGTCACTGAAAAATAACAAGCATTTCCCGCCTTCAGCCTAACCTTAATCTCTTCTTCAATTTCGTTTTTTCTAGTTATCGTAGAACCTAGATACCTAAATTTATCTACCTGTTCAAACATATTACCATCTATATCGATATCACCAGTAGTATCGCCATTTTTGCAGCTAACCATATATTTTGTTTTATCCACGTTTATTTCGAGTCCTAGTTTTTTACCGGCTTTCATTAACGTTGTCGTATTTAGTTTTATAGTTTCAACGTCTTCGCTTAACAGTATCAGATCATCCGCTTAGCCCAGCACAGATGTTGTCCCACCCAGATCCAACCCTTTCTCGGTTCGCATTACCTCCCTAATGGCATGTTCTAATGCCAAATTGAACACTACAGGCGAAAGGGAATCCCCCTGTTTTAAACCCGAGCAAAACAGTTATATTATATGATGCATAATTTTATTATACAATAATTTGGTCAAAATAAAATTATGTTGAAATCAATATACACTGACAGGCAAAAAATTCCACCCACTTCTTACCCATTAAGGAACCATGTTGGAAAGGTTGGCTCTGGGAAAAATTACAGGCTGCATATCTTTCATTTCTTCTTCTCCACACCCTTTCACGCCCGTCTGAAGATCAAAGAGCGAATCTTGACTCATCTGTAAAAAGTACAGCACTCCATTCGTCCATAGTCCAATGGCTGTGTTCTCGAGCAAAAGCCAGCCGTGTTACTCTGTGAGCTCTGGTCAACTCTGGTCCTCTTACTGGACGAAAAGCCATTAATCCATACTCATTTAATCTTCTCCGTGCGGTACGTTCAGAAATTTGCACACCTCGAACTTCTTCGAGCTGATGAATCGCTTGAATAACGGTAAGTTGCCGGTTTAGTAAAATTTTCAAAGTCAAAAACCGGTCATCCCGTGGTTCTGTTACCCTAGGCCGTCCAGAACCGGGCCTTCTATTGTAAGAACCATTTTCCCGAAAACACCTGACGGCGTCTCGTAAAGTTTCATATGGAACTCCGATGGTATTAGCTGCATATCTAATGGAACGTCCATCATCAATAAGTGCCACACCACGCGCAACATCCTCAGCACTAAGAGGCATTTTTAAACTTAGTATTGAAAAAATTAAAAGCCGGAGACTAAGAAATGTGCTGTAAGAAACGGGACTGAACTAATGATACTGAATAAACATTTTGATTCCATAGAAAGTAAACATTGGAATCTAGAATCATTTCATTGAATTAAGGATTAAGGGTTATTGTCCACTATATTGACATTCCTAATTGAAAACAAACTAAAAGATTACCTATTTATTCATTAAAAACAACAGACCAATCCAAAGCAGAAATATTTTTAGATGAAAACATGAAAAAATCAAGTGGGTGGAATTTTTTGCCTGTCAGTGTATATATATTAGTAATATATATATAATACATTTTGTATATATATATATATACAAACTGTAATACTAAACATTTACTTCACCATTAACTACTTAAGTAAGAATAATTCTTCTACTTATCTTTTTTATTAATAACAACAAAACAATTAATAACAATGTTCTTTAATGTTTAATGATAAGTATACTTAATCATAATAATTAAATAACAAAAATATATAGTTTAAATGGAAATATTTAATTGATTGATTTTTCAATAAAAATGATAAATATTTTTTAATTAACTAGATAATTACCTCACTACCAGCCTTAGCATATTTTTTGTCATAGACATCTTTTTGTAGCGTCAATCTTTCATCATTCAAACTCTTTGACCTTTCTTTGAGGTACTGGATCTCTTTAACTAGTTTCTTATTTCTTTTCATAAAAATTCGCTCTTCTGAAATCATACAAAAATATTTGGCATTATTCTAATGAATTATACTAGTTGAAATAAAAGAATAATTATAGCACTATGGTACTTTTTTCAACCACCAAAAGTGAAATAATGGAGAAATAAACAGTAGTATTTCCTGGAGTTAGATTTGGGCCTGGACGCGAATGGTGAACACCATAAATGAATAATTCTGACAATATAATTAACTGATATACTACAGTAGCACTATCATGTCTCATGGCAGGTTGGAATTTCCTTATTTATACAGAATGATTTTGTTGAGTTAGGTTATAATACCAACCGTTTAAGGAGGGAAAATGTTAGTCAGCTGTACCTACCACCTTTCCTATTCATTTTATTTATTAAAAAAAATACAGACTTTCCCCACCTTCAACTTCGTTTCTATCCATATAACTCAAAAATATTAAATAGAAAGACAAATTGTGTTGTCTTCATAAGGTTTAGTCCGATTCATGTGTGCCCAGAGCCAATATAACTATATAAGTGGGCGAACCACATAATCACCTAAAAACATATATTATATTTCTACAGAGGCATGGTGTCATGAAAACTTCAATAAACTTCTCTCAGTGCATGGCAGTTTGCAAACAATTACCGAAACCATTGCCCTTTTTCGAGCAATAAAAAATTATTTTACAATTTATTAACATAAATTATTACATTTAAAAATGTATTGAATCTCTAGTGATTTTTAGATGATAAATCAAGCATAATCAATAGACTGGATGTTAACAGTAAATTCACCGCTTTTATAAAAACAAACACGCTGGTGAAGCAATACAACAGCTAAAAAGATTGACAAATTTGACTGTTGCTAAATATTTTTATTACAATCCTCATTGTTGGAAATTACTTAAGACTTTCAATCCTCTCTAGACAAACAGAAAATTACTATCCTGGTTCACATAGATTTTTATCTGACTCCCATTCAGTCAGTTATTAAATGCTCTTGCCCAAACCAAAACCTCTCCATATCAAACAGTGTCTTAAAGTGGTTCCAATCTTCTTTTGGTATAGATCCGTAGCAATTATCAATTCAAATAAACCCTCCTCCTACCTTCTTCTATTAACATACCATCCACCTCACTACCCAAACCCTTACTCTGTCTATATTGACAATCTTCTAAATTCCCTTCATCAAATTTACTAATACTGCCTTCCTACTGAAATGATTGAAGTGTTCCAAAAGCTACAAAAAGGTGAAAATATTATCAACAAATGGACAATAAAAAAAACTAATGTTTCTAGTTTGTACAATAGTATTATTCAAAAGGGGACTGGGTGTCCCAGCATAAAATTTACTTTTCATTTATTATTTTAATTGAATCCCAAGCTTCATAAATATTGTTATTCATAGTTATTATACTCAATAATTTAAAAAAGTGAATATTATGATTATCCACAGGTATATTAAAAAAAATAAAGGGCTACGCCAACCAACAGTATTCTGTATATTATCCTAATATGATAACTTTTAAGAGCCATGGTTTTTAAAATTAAATCTATACTATTTCATTACACTAAATCAAGCTTTATAAAATACTAATAATATTTTAAATTTATAGGTATGTATTTTTAAATATGTTAAGTAAAAACAAACCTTTATTTTGTTGTTTATATTTCTGTCTTAATAGGAGTATTTTTTTAACAAGGACTGCTTCAGATGGTTTCCTTTTGTCCTACAAATATAAACATACTAGCATAAATTTAAATAAAAGTTTAAAATCCTCAATGACAAAATTGTATGAAAATTAAAACTAAATTTAATTGTTTTTCACAGTTCTCTATAATTCCATTATTGTAGGCACCAGCCATTTCACTATTATCACTTACCATTGTATTACAAAATTATTTCTAACACAAAATAAAAAATTTACACCACGGAATTCGCCTGGTTGATCAAAAAACTAAAATACATTTTAATATTTACAAGACAAAACCCACTAACGAGTTATTGTAATGACAGAATTTAAAGAAGTTTTAACGTATCCCAAAGAACAACGAGATTCATATTCGCAATGTCCCCGCTAAAAAAAGTAACTAAGTAACCAACAGTTATATCAGAAAAATTCAAGTTTTTTACAGAAGGGTCACAAATTTATAATTAGGTATCGGGTCAAGAGTATTATTTTCCAAGGTAAATAAGTAGTTTCATATTAATAACTTAAATAAAAGAAAGATATATAATTTTCTAATTAACAAAACAAAATTTTGAAAAAACAGACAAACAAATAAACAATAGAGATTTTCAGAAAGATATTGTTAAAATTTTACGATAGAACTATTTTCAAACAAATGTTTTTATTCTTCTGACTGGTTGATCACCCTTCCTATGTATTAGGGCAGCACTTAGCGCCGATCTTACCATTATCAGAGAAACACCCAATGATTTCACCATTCTTCGTTTCCTTCTTTCTTTATTTTTTTATTAAAATGAATAATCTAAAAAACAGTGTAAGAGCTTTGAGGCTCCTGCACACAAAACGCGATATGTCCCGGCTATACGATATCTCTTTGTGTGTATCCCTGCGGCATATCGCACTCTGTGTGACTGGTATAATGCAATAGATTATTAAAACAACGAGGCTGTATACAACTTTGAAGCAATCAATTCGTACTAGAGCATTCCGAGAGATCTAACCTTTAATTGTGAGTTTGTGGGAAAGTAATTTGGGAGCCGCAACAGAGTTCAGAAATCGTACTGAATGTCGAACAAAGGAAAACAGCCTTGATTGAGAACGCTGTTCAGTGAGGAGTACGCCCTGTATTTATTATCTGTACTGGTAGGCCATGACCTCATTTATATCGGTTGTATTGCCAACTGAGGGCATGATCGCTGATCCTAATATAAGAAACATGTTTACGATAAGTAATTATTTGTTTTTCCAAAGATACTCCCACTAATTCTCATAAGAAGGTCAGAAAAGTACCTCTCACTGACGTTATGTGGCTTATCTTTGAACGTTCATTTAATCATAATGTAGTGTAATGCTATAAAAGAAACAAAATCCCTATCTTCATGAAAAACTGAAATAAATTTTAATACGCTCCAAATTTATTCTTAGGATCTCGGCTACTAATTTATGTAACTAGAAAATTAAGAAGTTTGGTTAAAAAATGTGAAGCAACTTTTCTATTTCAATAATTCCATACCTCCACCTTACTTCAATTCATTTCTTTCCTCTTGTAACATGGTATGTTATTTATCTTAAAGATGTAGAGTTGGTTGACCGTTGATATGATATGAGAAGGAATTAGTCGAGGGTGCGGTCAAAAAAAATAAAAAAATTAAAATATATAAATAATTTTAATTTTTGCCGACGTTTCGACCCACTTTGCAGGTCGTCTTCAGGGCGTTGGATGTGGCACTGCGGGAGGCGGTTGAAACACTCAGTTGAGTGTTTCAACCGCCTCCCGCAGTGCCACATCCAACGCCCTGAAGACGACCTGCAAAGTGGGTCGAAACGTCGGCAAAAATTAAAATTATTTATATATTTTAATTTTTTTATTTTTTTTGACCGCACCCTCGACTAATTCCTTCTCATATTTATCTTAAACATTAGCTGATAGGTTTAATTTTTTTAAATAGGCTGTTAATTTGTATTCAGAAATTCTCCCTTTTATTATATAATACCCTTTTATTCTCCCTTGTCCGTCTTCAAATTCATTAATATAAGAATATGTTTTTTTTGTATTCTTGATTTAATAAAATGATACCCCCCATACCGGACTGAAACGACTAGAAACCGCCCGACGTTTTCGACTACTGCAGCCCTTACTAGACATTACTCTAAACTTCCAACTATTTACAAAAGACTCATATATATTACTATAATAAGGCCTATTTGGACTTACGGGATCGAGCTTTGGGGCTCTACTAAACCATCGAATTCCTCTCGTATCCAATCCCTACAATCCAAAATCCTTCGTAAAATCCTCAATGCTCCCTACTTTGTCACAAATAAAATCATCCATAACGACCTTGATGTAATATATGTTTCCGATTTAGCTCAATCCAGATACCTACTATCCTTTCATAATAAACTTCTGAACCATCCGAACCCTCTTGTTTCCAACCTTGCTTCCTCTTCTATTCCTGATAACCCTCCGAGGCGTCTGAAAAGAAGATGGCCTCGGGACCTTCTAATATAGAAATGTAATTGGAGTGCTACCAATGGGTAGTTTCTCTTCATGTTGTATATGTTATATTACTTGTTTCATATTTACTTGTATTTATTATTTAATGCAGTTGTAAATTTCAATAATAAAAAAAAATTAAATGATCTTTTTTTTCTGCTCGCTGTCTTGCCTTACAGGCAATACGAGTTGTAGCAGCAGTACGCGTATGCCACTGCTGGCAGTATAATTCTATTTAATTAAAATTTTGTTAATATTATTATTTATGAGGTGTAGACTTGTTTGTGTGCACAAGCCCACACTTTTCTTTTTCTCCATTCTTCCATCTGAAGCCGGTCCTCGAAGCAGTTGCAGCTTGTCTTAACTTTCTTCTCTTCTTCCCAGATTAAAATGTGTAAAGCCTACAGCATCATTCCACCCATATACAAATTCCCAATAATGTGGGCAATTCTCTCTGCTCATTAGCTGGGGAAACATGCTGTCCGTCAGCGTATATATAGCCGTCTCTCTCAGGAGCTTAGCCCTTAGTGCCTCATAGGCAGTACATTCGACGACCACATGTTTGGCGGTCTCCGGAATGTTGCGATTGGGGCATAACGGATCAATATTCTACCCGTGTTTAAGGAGTTGTATAGGCTCTAATAACCCGAAGTAAAGCCAATCTCTGAATCGATGCTAGCCAACTCTTCTGGCGGTACGAGAGGTTTAGGTTCCAGGCTGGGGACGCATATCTCAGAATACCGGAAACTACTCCTTTGTATATAGTCATTGTAGCTGGGTATCTGAGGCCCCAGAAGGCGCCTCCGACGCGACTGAGTCGATTTAGGGCCACTATGACTCTAGTTCTCATATAATCCAGGTGAGGAGTCGCGTTGAACTTTCGACTAATTTTTATGCCAAGGAAGATGACAACCTCACTTGGACATATCCTATATTATTCTATATTCAACATGATATGATGTGCCCTGTCAGTCGTGCCTCTCAAGAAAATTGCCTGGGTCTTTGTTGCATCCATATTTAACTTCTTCCTCTCGCACCATCTTCCTACCAAACTGGCGCATCGTTCAGCTTCTGCTTTCAAACCAGCTAAGCTGTTTGAGATAACCACAGTGGCCAAATCATCAACAAAGGCCGTGGCAGGAAACCGCTCCTCTTCGAGCTTCTCCAGCAACTCATCAAAGACTAGCTTCCAGAAAGCAGGACCCAGAACTGATCCCTGCGGGCAGCCCTTCTTGACGGTGTCTTGTACTTCAAAGAATCTGCTCCTAATTTTCAATGTCCGGTCCTGGAGGTAACTTCTCACTAGGTTATACAGGTTACTGGGAGTTACTTCTCATATTTCTGGAGTTGCTGGAGAACAGTCGGCTACCACACGCTGTCAAATGCAGAGGATCTCCTGGAGGATCCTCAAAAGCTGAGGATCTATGTCGAACAGGAGAAGCATAACATACCTCTCCGCTCTTTCTTCTACGTCACGACTCATTTGCAGTATGGAATCTGAGGTTCGCTTGTCTTTAGTTGGTCCATATTGCCGTGGATGGCTCGATCTTGATAAGACTGGCCGAAGGTTCAAGACCACCAGGTTTTCCAATACCTCGCTCATTCAGGAAGGAGACAAATGGGCCTGTACGATTTGGCAAGTTGCTTGTACTTGTATCTTCCTTTGTAAAAGAGTATGACATCAGCAATTTTCCGGCTTCTTGGAAAGTATCCCCTATCGAGGCAGTCGTTGAGAAATGATCAACTTACAAATATTTGGATCGCTTTAAAAAAATTATGCTATGCTGTTGTAAGTATATGTTAAATGTTTTAAGGTATTATTATTATGAACAGAAGAGGTCTACAAACTACGGCCAGCAAGCGCCCCCACTCCAATCTGACCCGGAGAAAGAAAGGTCTTTGAATACATGACAAAATTTAAAAAAATATAAAACTTTGTAAATCACCCAAAATACAAGGTTTTTACAACATTTATTTTATGCAGTATTTCTCTTATAAAGCTATTTTCACAACTGAAGTGTCATTTATTAATCAAATTTTTTTTTCATCATAAACAATGGCATGTGGGACTTAGTAAATATCTCAACGCGGTACGCAGGATTTAGTGAAGATCTAATAAACGTTTCTAGACCCCTTATTAAGGAGATACATTAGTTATTGCTATCAACTTATCGATCATTGAGTTACATAAGTTTAACATAGTCGTAAGTGATTGATCAATGGCGCTCTTCAGACAAAAAGTTCTATAGTGTTGGTTTTGAGTTTATTATAATGGAAGATAAATTTAATTTTAAAGAGTTGATTCAACAAGCCAAGGATATTGACGATGGTGTAGAATCCCTCAGAGACAAAATTATTAATTGTGATATAGGGAATGGTGATGCCACAAATGCTTTATCAACTTTAGACAATGATTTATCTGAAATTGAGGTTTAATTTTTTTATTTGATAAAAATTAAACTTATTCTCTTGTATTATATAAAATAAAATGTATCATATTTTCGTTTAGGGTGTACTGGATTTCTTGTGCAGTGATCTCAGACAAGAAGTTGAAGAAATAGTTAAAAGGAATACTGAAATTAGAAACTTTATTGTCGATTTGGACTCAAAAATAGAAAGATTAGAAGCGTGTGCCAGAGAATTCAAGTATTATTTATTATTCATTTAATTATATTTGTTACAGGTTCACCTTATTTCTCTTAAAGTTATAAACATTTTTTTCTTTATTTGATTTAATATTATATTTATCGGGAAGCTGTGTATCACCGTGAATAAGGCACTACTTCTTTACTGTTGGTCTCAGGTTCGAATCCAGCTGTGGCAAGTAATTATTTGTTTAGTTAATTTGTCATGGATCAGCCTTTGGGTCAGGGTACACTCGTGATGCGCACCCAGCCCCTATGAATTGAGTACTCATAATTAATTAAGAAAAAAAATATGGTTGAATGTGATGTTCGCCAATCCCTTGTAAAAAATTTGGCCTGTTAATGAACCCAAGACCTTTCATGGATTTTACTGGTACAGGTTCTTTTACAATGGTGATTTGTTCTAAAATGCAATGAAAATAATTATTTATGGTAGTTAGCCTCTTTTTTTTCTGCTGTTTTTATTATGCAGTCGATTTTATATTCATAAGACTTTAAGGTGTAAGAAATGGTGTATTTTCCTAAAACATTTGTAACTCAAAGCATCTGATTAGAGAGATATCTATTTAACAGTTAATTGTTCAATTTGCCTATCTGATTTGCTTCACTCATTTTTCAGTCAGCTGATCTAATGGATTAAGATGAGTGAATAGTGAAGGGTGGTCAAAATTATGCGCCAATTTCTTGTGACAAATTTCCTATGGCCCTCAGGGGGGACGTTCTTTTTTATAGAATAAATTAATTGATGATACAGTGACCTGTTTAATTTTTTTACCCTTTTCTATTATGTTGAAGAAACAGTAGCTTTCATTTACTTTTGGGTGCATGACTATTGTTATACATTCCTAGTAAGTTTAGCCTATCATTTATTAAATAAGGTTCTTTTATAAATATGCCATTATATTTACCTATTATATGCTATCCACCTATCCTGATATCTTTAAATATATACCTTTCACCAGTTGTTCCTGGTGACATTCCTTTATCTAGTGGGCTATACTGATCACTCTCATTTGTTGCCTGAAGACCACATTGAGCAACCCTAGACACTCAATATATATCTTAATAATATAGATAGGCCAATTCACATGAGGCAATAAGTACACAATCCTTTATCTTTTTCTTTTTAAATTATGCGCTCAAGTGAAATGTTTTACTCAATTGTGATGTAATTTTTACTTCTTATATTCTCAGAAATTATTCATTATTTGTCTACCGACTAAACAATATTACAATTTAAAATATAAATCTTACATTTATGACTAATTTAATACATTAAATAATTGTACAATATCAATTATTGTATCAGATATTCACAATATTGATCATCTAGAGCCAATTTTTGAAAATCCTTATGCTACAAACATATGTTGTAGCTTTGTTAGAGCACTTAAAACTGTTTTTTTTTTTATTGAAGTTGTAATAAGATCCTTAAATAAGAGTTTAAATAACCCTATTTCCTTGTAACATAACCCTATTCCTTTAGCTGGGATGTCAGCTTCCTGAATTCCAAGTTTCCTCAAATGAAGGTGTGTTTTCATACTCATGCCAGGAGAAACTTTTACTCTGGAAGGTTTTTTTGAAATTCTGTTAATCATTTTAGCACCCTTCCCCTGACTTGGGTGGTTGTAGGACTACCTGTTTTTGGTTTAAGAGTCCCTACCTCTTCTGTTGTAGTTGTATTTTAGCTCTCCAGGTGGGCATGACAAGGAGTTGACAGTAGAAATTGTAAAGATTTAAAAATCTTTTATTTCTATTGTTTACCTCATAGTTTGCTGGTTTTCAATGTACTACATTTCATTGTTGTTGCTTTTAAGATTCTTTCTAATATATATATATATATATATATATATATATATATATATATTTTTTTTTTTTTTTTTTTTTTTTTTTTTCTGTAGTTGGGTTCCAGAACTTAAGGAGTCATATTTCCAACACCCAAAAGCCTCTGCTCCCTGTCCATCCAATCCCATTCACAGAGCCCTCTGACTGCCATGCATTCCTCCACGTCCTCTATCTTTCTTCTTTGGCCAGCCGTTCTCATCCAACCGCATTAAGTGGCCATACCAATTTAACCTTTTGGTCCCAATCAGGAGAAGAATGTTCTTTTGACATCTGACCTTGTCTCTATTTGCTGTTTTTGGGATCCGCTTGATTGTAGATATGCCACAGCTTCTCCAGAAATCCATTTCCATTGAAAGCAACCTATTTTCCTCCTTTTTTGTAATTGTCCAAACTTCTGATCCGTAGGTGGCTACGCTTTCTTTTTAGTTTCCAATCTTATTTCCTTACTCCATACGGTTCAATTTATCGAACTTATTATTCTTTTCCCATTGTTTATCTTATGTTCGATCTCAACTTCACTACCTCCCTTTGAAGATAGCCAGTATCCGAGGTACTTGAACTGTTGGCTGACATTGAGCGTCCAGTCAATTTCAATGGGTAAATTTGGAGCGATGAAAACCATGCACCCTGTTTTACTTTTACTGATTTTGAGACCCCATCTGAAATATGTGTCTGGCAACTTCCTCATCATATAGCTCACATCATCCGGATCCGATGTGATTATGACTTGATCATCGGCATACTGCAAATTCTAGATGACATCATCTCCGATTTGAACACCCATTCCGCCGCACAATTTTTTCCAGTCTTTAAGGGCTTGTTCTATATAAATTTTGAAAATCAGGGGTGAAAGGCAGCAGCCCTGTTTCAATCCTTTGTTAATAGGGAAACTTCTAGACATTCTACCTCCTATTTTTATAGTCCTCGTTATATTTTTATAGAGCCCTTCAATTGCTCTGATGAGGTATCTCTTAATAGATGTGCCTTCCAATGCTTTCTACAATTTCCCTAGAGGTACTGAATCATAGGTCTTGAGTAAATATATATATATATATCATGATCATGACATTGAATGAATTTTTTTTTTTTTTTCCAGGTCACCCCAGTCAATGCTGGAAACTCCTGTTCGTAGGTACCATCATCGAAGCATGAAATAGTCTTATCAGTGAAAAGTTATATGTATAGATTATTTTTATTTTTATGTAAATAATTATTTTTTTTTATTAAGAAAAAATACTATAATAAAAATCAAAGATTGTATAATACTTTTTTTAAAAATAATTATAATTAAGATCAGTAGATTCTGCTGAAATTATTTGTTTGAACAGAATACATTCATAGATTGCTTTAAAGCCTATAAATTGGTTAAGTAAGTATATGTATATGATGTTAACATAAGTTATTAAATAGTTTTTATCTTTATTCTAGAAACTTGGAATATTCCTCCAACCATTTATTTTCTTACCACGCATTGGATCAGAGCTTTTTGGTTTATTGTAGTACAGGTTTTTGCTTTTTTTTTTCCTCTTCCTATACCTTCTAGAGCCTGTTCGTCAACTCTTTTTCCATTTTCCTTCCATTTTTTCGCATTGCATTTGTGTAGAACCTGTGAAGGATGGTCGATATCGATACCTCTGATTACTTTGATATTAATGTAATAGGTTCTGAGGTCTCAATTCAATATTAATCACTAGTAAGAATTTAATAAGATTATACACTATCTTAATAAAATCCACACTTACTTATGTGGCTCAAACATGGACGATTACTGCTACCATGGCAAATTCGTTAAGAGTCTTCGAGATGAAAATCATGGAAAAATATTTGGCTCCTTATACGATGCAACTACTCAAGCATGGAGGATTAGACCCAATAAGGAGCTATATTATTTATTCAATCATAGTGAAATTGTCAGCTTTATAAAATCATGGCGGATCGAATGGCTAGGGCACGTTCTTAGAATGCCAGATGAGAAAATCCCAAAAAAGATGCTCTAAGGCAGAATTTATAGTGCCTGAGGAAGGAGAAGGCTGAGAAAAAGATGGTTGGAGAATGTGGAGGACGGCCTCAGGTAGTTAAGAGTTACAAACGGGAAGGAAAAGGCTAAGGACAGGGACATCTGGAGAACTGTTGTCCAGGAAGGAAGTCAAGGCCTACCCAGACTGTAGAGCTATCCAAGAAGAAATAAGAATTTAATAATCAAGATTATCTCTTTTATTTATTTACCTGATCCTTTTATATTGTTAAAATGAATTTTCCACTAATGGATTATTGTCTTTCCAAAAGTCAAATTTAGACTATCAGCCATGCTAAAGGGGCCTTTAGTGATGAGTGAATAACTATATATCATAATAAAAAAAATTTAATTAGTTCATTTCTATTCAACAATTTAAATAAATGGATTGTTTTAAGAGAATCTTATGTTGTACTCCAGTTGTACAAAAAGACATCCCCGTTTTTTTTGTTTTTTTTTTAATTCAAGTTATAATAATCAAGTTCTTAAGAATTGGAAAGAACAAAACAAATTATTGAACAAAACAATTTGATATTAGAACAAATTATGTCAGAAATTCCTGATTTGAAAATCGTTTTAGCTAGCAATAACATGGAGATATACTGTTACAAAGTATTTCCAACACGTATGAAGGATTTGCCTAATGAACCCAACATGTGCATTTGAAGCATCTTCCAAAAACAAAAATATTAATTTGCCAATTGAAGTTAAAATCATTAAGATGGCGACAGACCGATAAAATTTTGTCAGCCCAATTGGTGATACATTTTAATTTAAATATTTTAATCCACTTGAAGCGCTATATTTGAAAATGGATAATTACAATGCCACGATAATTCATCACTAAATAATCTTGGTGTTTCTTCCTTAATTTTTTTTTTTATATATATAGGAATCCTTGAATGTAGTATTATTGGAGCTTTAAACAATCATTTAATCATATTCTAGTTGTACAGGTATGACCATTTATTGCGATAAATACAACATTCTTAATGATCTTGATGTTTTCAAGTAAATCTATTCATAACAAAACAGTTGAAGTTCTGGTATCCAAGGGTGAATCAATTATAGATAGCTATGATACCTAGTTCTAAACCAGATGATAGTGAGAAATTCTTTTAGATTTGTCAAGATTGGAAATCCGCAGCCTTGCACTATTCTATACTCAGTGAAGTGATCCTGCAGGCTGTTCCTCAATCTGTGGCACAACTAATAATCATGGAGACATCAAATCCTATGAAATTTTTATTTATTAAAACCATAGTGTGGGAACACTATGCCCCGGAATAGTCTATGGGACGACTAGAGAATTTATATTATAGTGGGCTAAAAAACGTGGAAAACAAGTTGTGATCTACAACTAGCTAAACTAAGACTAAAGAAATTGCTGATGAAGAGCATGAACACTAATCAATTACTCAAGACTCAGTTGGTTCACTATGAAAAAAACCTTGACATAAATAAGTGGGTATCACCTATGGAAATGCACAATCCATTATCAGTTGCAATGCTAGATTTAGAAAAGTTAGTGTTATGGAGGCTGTTGCCAAAAACTAAAAAAAAAAATTACTCATGAAGATAATAGCGGGTACCAATAGAAGGTTTAAAATGGGGGCGGATTGGACGAGTGTAAAACAGGTCATCAAAGATTACTGATTAGAATCCCGGTGTCGGGGGGAGTTTTAACTCTGTTATTAATCCATAATGCAGGGAATCACCGAAAAAAGAAAATTTAAATGGTTGTAAAACATTATTCATTGAATTTATTTAAAAATTATCCCCTTTTATGTTTGATTTACTTTTATAGCTTGACTGCGATTATTTGGTAGTTTGGCGCCAACTCGTTCAGCGTTATGTAGAGATTAACGTTATATTATTTTCATATTCCTCCGATAGATAGACATGACATCATCTCTCAATGTATCTAAATATTTTGTAAGTAATATCGGAGAGTCAGCTAACAAAATGTGATATTTTTGTTTCACCATTCCACAATAAAACGTGTCCAAGTAATACTAGACCAGTTGCAGATCTCCTTTAAAGCTATGTGTGTTGAATTTCTAGGAATATACGGGACCAGAAACTAAAGAATGAATTATATATAGAGAGTTTAAATCAATAACGATTGAAAAAACAAATAATCTAGATAGTGAGGATGCGATTTCAGAATCCAAACGCACCCCTTAGTTCCATCCATAATACGATAACTTGTTAAACATTACTAAGGGAAGATCAGTTATCAAGAGTTTGTAAGATCAGATCTATAATGTGGCTGCTGCGATTCCACCTGGACGAAAAGCTACTAAAGGTATCATAGCGATCAAATTCCATTCACTATTCATAGGAGTGTGCATACGTATTTTCCTTATTCTTATATTTCAAATATGCTTGGTTCAATTCCGCCCAAAGTTGGGGAATAGTGTAGCAAAAATCTGGTATTAATTTCATGAAAGTTTATTAATCAATTAACGTAATTGCTGCCTCTTACCAAACCAAAAAAGAATTGCTTTAATTCTTTTAGACCTGAACCCAGTGCATTGACGTTAAAAAATGCCTAGATTTATTTACATTCTTATGATACCATTACCACAACAACCAATCATCGTTTAATTTATTTCATTGATAATAATTTATTTAATGAATATTAAAATTTAGATAATTTTGCAATTAGTAATCTCTTGCTATTTCCCTCCTACTAATGCCATGCAGATATACAAAATAACAGTATTTGACCGATTATTCTTGATCGAATCGTAATCACTAGCAGTGATGAAAGGTTACTTCAATGTTATGAATTATCAAATGACATATTTCTTTTTTCACTTTTCCTTTCTTTGTCGGATGGATATAATTAGATAAATCATACATATAGTCTTAATTACCATGTTTAGTGGTTTAATGCCTAACATAAAGCTATACTTTAATTTCCAGTTCAAAAATAGGACATTGACTAAATTTTCCTCAGTCTGCAGAAACTATTCGATTTCTTCCAATGTTCATGAACCCCCTTGGAGGGTATTGTTTTTCGGCACTGATGAATTTTCACTCGAAAGCCTTAAGTTATTGTGTGCTAAGTTGTATGTCATGCAAATTCGAATTGATTATAATTGATAACAATTATGGCGATACATTCTAAAACAGTTAATACATTCTAATTTCAGGAGGACTGGTACTTTAATGAAATCATTAGGAATAGTTACCAAAAAAGAGAGTGCTATCGCCAAATTTGGAACCAATGAGAATCTTCCAATGTACAATTGGCCTGTTGATTTATCTGAAATTAAATCTCAGTATGATGTTGGGATGGTTGTTTCTTTTGGCAATCTTATTCCAAAAAAGATTATTGATGAACTGCCTTTGTGAGCTTTTAATCTTAAATAAACTGAAAATTTCCATAATAATATTTTTGTTCTGTATTTAATGTTAGTGTTATGTTCATGTAGGGGTTGTATTAATGTACATGCATCCTTACTACCAAGATGGCGAGGTGCTGCACCCATCATTCATGCTCTTATTGCAGGAGATACAGAAACAGGAGTGACAGTTATGAGGATACATCCACACAAGTACTAAGTCAGTTTATATTGTTAGCATATTAAGAAATGTTGTTATTATAGGTAATCCTCATTGACTCACACATACATTTAAAAGCTATATTTATCTACTAATTAAAACTTTTTAGCTACTGTATATCCACAGCCTTTGGGCATTACATGGCAAGTTGAAAAATGGTCCTTACGAGTTCTGTAAATTGAGAACATCTTCCAAGCCTTACCAATTAACCTTTTAAATACCATGAAGAAGTTGGTAACTCACAGTGCTACAAATTGTAGAGTTCTAGACGAGAACTATGAATTTACTAATTTCTTCACAGTATTGAGAAGGCTTGGAAGATGATCTCAATTTACAGAACTCGTGAGGATGTCTTGTTATGCCTGGAGACCATAGATATATAGTCAAGAATTTTTTAAAAACAAAATTTTCATTCCAAATTAACATATCAAAGGTTTAAAATTTTGCTTTAAAGCTCTGTTAAATTTTGTATTTTAATTTAATTTTTATTATTTTGCAAACAATAATAAAAATGAAAAAATGAAAAGCAACTTCAGCTACTTTAAAAGTGTGAATTAATATCGAATCCATATTCAAACATAATATAACGATTGTAACATAAAAAATTATAACAGGTTTGATGTTGGAGAAATTGTGCGGCAGTACAGAGTTCCAATAGGGTGCCATGATACTGCTATTAACCTGGAGAAAAATCTAGCAATACATGGCTCCCAACTCTTGATGGAGTGTCTGAGGAACTTGAAAAACTGTTTGGTTCATGCAATTCCTCAAACGGAAGAAGGTGTTACATATGGTAAGTACCATAATTTGTTTTTTGCTCATTAGCTTAGGAACTTGCTCCATGTTTAAATGTTTAAACCTAAAAAGGACTCAGTTATCCTATCAAGAGACTGGCTGTTATGTGGTATCCTGAAAATAGTCATTATAAGTTAAACTATTCCTTTTTTTTTTAAGTTTTATAGCACCATGTTTTACAAGAATAGACCTATTTCTACTCAAGGTATAACGGTAATTGAAAGTTGTGTGATGCGGCACATCGCACCAAATTTTTTTTTTTTTTAATTTATAAAATAAAATGTCTATATTTGCCCTTCATAGTCATAAAAGCTGCATTTTATTTTGTGCCAAAAAAAAAAAGCTATGGAAGCACTGATTAAGAAAAACATCACAGGAGCCCATTTATTTAAAAACAACCAAGCTGGCTGACTCTCTGAAGATGGCGTAATGCATTATTCCTAAATACTAAGGATCTTATTTAGTCTGTTGTTGTAGGAATCAGTTTAATGTGATAGTTAACTTATTTCATCATGAATCCTCAACTATAATTTCCATTATAGTGGTTAAATAGTTACTGTCGTGAATAATGAGGAGAAAAATATGAGGAGGTAGTCGAGGGTGCGGTCTATTAAATAAAAAATTAAAATATATTAATTATTTTAATTTTTGCCGACGTTTCGACCCACTTTGCAGGTCGTCTTCAGGGCTACAAAAGATACAAAACATGTTGAAGATAAAAAATAAATATAAGTATATATAAAATAAGAAGAAGTTGTCAGATACAGAAATAAAAGATGGTATCAGAGATATAGTGGGTGACAATGTAGTTAAATATTAAGAATTATATATGTAGAAGATACAAATAAATGGAAAATAAGTAGGAATAAAAATAAAGGAGAATATAACATGTAAGTTAAAAGTAAACAGATTGCGATAAAAGATAAGGAATAAGTGTATAACAAACTAATAGAGATTACATTAGTTAACAGATAAAGAAAATAAATACATGAATGTTAACGAATAAATGAATGTTAACGAATAAATAGATTGAAAATTGAATAACTATTGTTACAGTAACTATTTATTCATTAACATTCATTTATTCGTTAACATTCATGTATTTATTTTCTTTATCTGTTAACCCACAGTTATCTAATGTAAGCTCTATTAGTTTGTTATACACTTATTCCTTATCTTTTATCGCAATATGTTTAGTTTTAACTTACATGCTATATTCTCCTTTATTTTTATTCCTACTTATTTTTATTGCTACCTATTTGTATCTTCTACATATATAATTCTTAATATTTAACTACATTGTCACCCACTATATCTCTGATACCATCTTTTATTTCTGTATCTGACAACTTCTTCTTATTTTAAATATACTTATATTTATTTTTTATTTTCAACATGTTTTGTATCTTTTGTAGCCCTGAAGACGACCTGCAAAGTGGGTCGAAACGTCGGCAAAAATTAAAATAATTAATATCTTTTAATTTTTTATTTATTTGACCGCACCCTCGACTACCTCCTTCTCATATTATATCAACGGACAACCATCTCTACATCATTAGGAGAAAAATAGTTGGGGGGATCAGTCAAATGAGAAGGCAAAAATAAATGATAATGTTTAATTTGTCATTTATTTTTGCCTTCTAATTTGACTGATCACCTCAACTATTCTTCTCCTCATTATAATTTCCATTGTATACTACATCAAAAGGTTTTTTAATCTTTGGTTTTCAATTGGACAAAATTATTATCATATAAATCCTAACACTGCCAGATTCAGTTTTCACAACTTAACAAGAGATTTAAAAAACTAGTTAATATCTCAGGGTATAGTTATTTAATATTTTAATTGACTTTAATTCATATTAATTGATTCTGACCAAACTCATTCTATACCTCTGAAAAGATTGATTAAGCTAGACTCTTAATTTTACTTCTCTAAATAAACTAGCCCAACCTTCATCATAGCACTAATATTAAAGAAATACTAAAATTGGCATTTGCATTTTTTTTTAGAATTTCTAGTTATTTGTTAAGTAGTTTATGTGAGTTGAATTTAACCACCAGAAATGTAATTTACAATTTCATAGAATTATATAACATCATAATTTATATTGCATTAAGCATGCCAGTTGATTAGATTCAGAGGTGGTCTATTTCAAGTTTTTTTTTTTTTTTTTCAGCACCCAAGGTGGTTCCAAGTATGGCTAAAATAGACTGGTCAACATCTGATGCCAAAGCTGTTATAAACCTTTATCGGGGATTGTCCCATTTGTACCTTCCAAAGACTGCTTGGCATGGTACAGTAATCAGGCTCAAAAAAATCTCCCTTGATCCTCTTCCTGTCCAAAGGGATACAGTACTACACTGCTCAAGTGATTCTGAAAACTTGAAGATAAGTGCTGTTGACTTTCTAAATTCATCTTCAAATTCAGGTTTTAACTTTAATAAAGGTCCCCCTCATTTAATGTGTAAAGATAGTGGAAAGTGTTTTTACAATACAGAGAGTAAAGTATTGAGAGTAGTTTGTGCTGATGGTCAGTCTGTTATTATCGAGAAATTGCAGGTTGGCAGCAAACTCCTGACTGCAATTGACTTTTATAATGGCTACATGTCTAAAAGGAAAAAATCTGAATGGTTCTTCTCCTAAATCATGGCTGTAATACTGCAATACCTTTAATTTAACATAATCTTTGTCTTTTAAGTTAAGATGTCCTTTAGTTTCTGTAATTAATATTTTAAGTCCCATTAGCAGATTAATAATTTAAATAAAACTTTAGCTTGACAGTTTTTATTTTAAAACCTTCTGCCTTTTTTCATTGCATGTTTTTTTCTGATAATTTTCAATTTAATTGAATTAAAAGTAGTTATTTCCTTGTTCAGATTATTTAACAGATTTTGCCGATTGTATTGTAGGTTTAAAATTTTAAAAATGCCAATAAGGTACTTTTTGTAATTTTGCTCTAAAATGGAATTTTATTGCAATTTCGCTTTTAAACAGATCTACTCTGAAGTTTTCTCCCAAAATTTTATTCAATCCCCTAATTATCAATAATTGTATGCTAAATTAAATATGTTGTTAAATTGAACAAAAGGGGCAGTATAGGACTTCAGTGGGAGTCTTGGGCCGACCAAAAAAACAAATAACATAAAATAAATAATAATATCCCATGAATAAAACAAAAAAAAATTATTACAATCACATGTAAAACTTTATACCCATTGAGAATATGGAAGATAGAAAAACTCTTTATTTATATTCTTCGCATTACTGAATCTTCATTTAATATGGTATTTTTTATCCATTAATTTTTAATAAAATAATTTTTAAATTAAAAAAATTTTAAATAATTTTTAAATAAAAAAACAGTATGTTATCAATTTAATTATTTATTAATTAGAATTGGTTTAAATTGAAGCTATGTTACAAAATTTGGCTTTTTCTCAATTTTTTAGAAATGTTAGATATCCATGTTTGATATGAAGCCACTCACTTAAACATGAAAATTAATTAGACAAGTTGCTCAAATGTAAAACAAATTTTGCAAAATGTAAATTTTAGTTAAAAAATATATTTCTGCTTAATTTTATGATTATTTATATTTTTTTGTGTTTTAACAATTTTTACAAGTATTGTACAAATAGTATTGTACCATTTAGTAAATGGTGTAAGATGATTTTTAGATCTACAAATTTTTTTTTATCTATAACTTGGAAAATAAAGAACTTCATATATAGGCCTTAGATATGTGCCTTTAATTGAATATGGAGCTAGGTAACTCACTTGTGATACATCCAGTAAAAGTAGATTGCTAACTCGTTCTTCAAAGTTTTAGGAACAACCTGGTAGTTGAAGTTAGATACAAATAGTATCTACCTTTCTGTACAAATGTTAGTCATATATAACTGTATTTCCTTTAAGAAGTACCAACAGTTTTTTTATTAATTACATTGATAATTTTTTTATAGTGATAAGATTGATTAGACTTCTGAAACTATTGCCTAACAAGGCTTTGAGGAAAGTGTCAACTACGATTCTATGAGTTCTGTTCTTCACAGTAAATTGGTAATATTGGACATTGCTGGGACAAATTTTTATCATTAGAGGCCGAAATAAGTTTAGGTAGTGCTAATGGAGGCCCCAATAATTCTTTATATTTTACCATAACTATTTTTATCTCTCTTGGCAGCCTGAAGGGTGTGAACAAGGATCAGGAGAAATTATTGTCTCTGCAAAACCTGAACATGAAATAATAATACACCTTCTTAGGTAAGGGGGTGTACCTTCCATAAAAACATCTCCCATCTAATCAGAGACTGGAAAGCAATTGGTGATAGGATCTTTCTGGTTAATTCTCTGTTCTCTATTCATTGCTTATGGACCCAGTGAAAATGCCATGGCCACCGAAAAAGAATCTAGCTCTTTGAATTGTTGCAGAAAGAACTAGATGATAATGAGGACCTATCTATTATTACAGGGGAAATTAACTGAAGAATTGGGAGGACGTTTTGGGAGTTTGTGGCGAAGAGCGCATTAACAACAACACTGAAAGGATACTGAACTTGTACATTGCAAATGAAATTATATTGCCTACAGTATCCTCCCTCACAAGAGAATTCATAAATATGCAAGAGTAGAGCCTAGCCGCAATGAAGAGTCAATCATTGACTACTTCTTAGCCCCTAGAGACTGGTGGACTGAAGAGGTAAAGGAGAAGATTAAAAAGAAAGTAACTAAAATGGAAAAAAAATTCTCAACACCAGCACCAAGTGCAGATTACAGGCTCTACAAGGAACAGAGAAAGAAGTCATAGCAGCTGAAAAAATAAAAGCCTGGGAAGAATTCAGAAGCAAAATGGAAGAGAATTTTCATCAAAATCAAAAGTTATTTCACAGAAGTATCCAAATTATGTGAAAAGAAAAAGAACCTCCATTCTAGCATATTAAAAATAATCAGGGGAACATTCTTAGCAACCCAAAACACATCATGAACTGATGGGCCTCCGATGTCACGGTTCCCCACCTATGGTATAAGGGAATGTGGTGGTAAAAATTTTACAAAAAATGATTTCATAATTACTAATTATTTTGAAGTTTTATGATTTGGTTCATCATTATTAATTATTGTATTTTATTTAGTTTAATACTTTTATTAAAAAAATAATTATATTATAAAAATATTCTCAACAAATTAGCTAAAAACAAATTGACCATAATAGATTTTACAGAAAACTCTTCTTTCATCTTGTCTTCTGATCACCTCTCAGTAATTATCCCAGGATGACACTGTTGAACCTAGTCCAAGCCCCACAGGATGTGGCTGGTGAGATTCCAGTGAACTGCCATGTGGTGAGAATATTCAGTTGGCTGTCGCCTCACATAGACCTTCCGCGAACCCAGCCTCTGCACTTGCCTGAAGTTATCAACCAAATTTTCTTCTCCGGCTGACAGATGTCTGAACAGAGTCATCTTAAATGTCACAAAAAATTAGTAACGATTTCAAGATATTGTAAAGAATTCTAAAATAAGGTACTCTCTGAAAAAATATTAGACAATTTATTACATTGATCCTTCATATTAATAAGTAATAACATATTCTTAAGAAAAGTCATTAGTAGTTTAATAGTAATTAGTGTTATATTCAAGAGATTGCATAAAATATGGATAAATTCCTTTTTCAGAATCTTTTTTATTCCTTTCAAGACATAAATTATATGAAGGAAGAGGTAGGTTATTCATGGACAAATTGGCAATTTAAAACCAGCATGTCATACTTGTTCATGCAGATAAGAAATAACAAACCCTCTGTGAACTGAATATTTATTACTTATGGCCCAATTATATAATAATACTGGAAAGAAAAAGATAAAAAATTTATACCCAAGTTTTTATAATTGAGAATACCTTAGCTTAAATTTGAAGGAGGAATCTAACCTAGTTATATTTACATAACTTGAGCAACTTGACTTCATCAGCTCAGATACTGGATCAGAAGTAAAGATGAAAATAATTTTTGAATTAAAACTAACCTGTGAGTATGAAATAGGCAAAGGGTCAGGAAAGACTATCCAAATAACAGATTCAGAGCAGGGCGGCGTAGTGAGTGAACCTTGATAACTGTAAAAGATATCTGTCGATTTGGGCACCAACTGGGATAAAGGTAGAGAACCAGTCAGGTAAGTAGTGCTTCCGACTGTGCGTATCATTGCCAATTCTTTTAGGATCTGTCTTAACACACGGCTTGGCTGTTCTTGTATCTGTAAAAGTTGGTTTGAAATTAAAATTAAAATAGACTCAATCTCAGATACAATAAAGTAACATGCATTATATGTTAATGATTACAATATTAAACTAAATTTAGTTCTATGGGCTAAAGCTTGTAAATATGATTTGAATTTGGTTATGTAAGTAAAATTAGGTAGTTTCTTTGCTTTCTAGCTTCCACAATCAATTTTGCTCAGTCAATTTTTGTTTTGAGAAGTGAAGTTTAATGGAATTGCTTATGGATTAGAAATAGATGGATGGAATAAGTTTCCCAAGATGGATTAATACTCTTGAAAGTACTAAAAGAAAAAAGGAAATAAAGAATACTAGAATAATTTTTTCTATCAATGATATTTACTAATACTATCCTAGTACTCAGAAGTATTATAAAAAATAATTGTGTTGCAAAGTAAAGACCATTTGATATGTTGTGTTAAATAAAATGGTACATTGTTATTACAAAACATATAAGTTGTAAAAATTTTAGTACTTGGTAGAACATGGCGAGGACTGCTAGCCCATCAGGATGCTCCATTGCCTGCGATAAGTTGCTATATTTTTGGTTCCTGGTCACCATATGCATTTCCATCGGGAACCTATTTTAAGCATAATATAAATTTCACTCTTACAATTATTGTGATTGTTAAAAGGAATAGATCAGATGTTTTATAAAAAATTGTATAACTAATTTGTGAAGTTGTTCTTTTTTTATATCATTTGAAGACCCTAGAGGAAAAGGAGTTTAATTATGCTTTTGAAAGTAGAGTGCAAGACTGATCTGGAAATTTGTATTAGTTTAAAGAACTCTATGTTCTGTTCATCAATTTTAGAAAGAAATGGATAGCTTACTGGCCGGAACTAAAAATGGTCTGCCTTCCCGCACCAATAGATATTGTAATGTATACCTTTATTGGAAATGAGTAAAAAGGATTCAATAAATTAATGCTGAACAATTAAAAGGCAAGCTAATCTAGTTTTACTAGTGCAGGGGGAAAAAAATGGCTACTCTGTAGTTTCCCAAGAAGGAAAATCTCAAAGAGGAGAGGGACAAAGTTTTTTGTTTTGGCAAGCAGTTGTTGTGTGACTGCAGTGAAGAGAGGATAGGAGAAGTGATCCAGTGGGAAAACCCCAGTAATAGTTTTACCAATTTGGAAGAGTTGTTTAGCAGAACTTTGGAAAGTATTTGAAGGCAAATGAGTTCAGTGTCACAAAGGAAGAAATATAATATAGAAAAAGGTTAGCTTGCCAATCCATATTTGACTTTATTTTAAAATCAAACGGTGTTTAGTATAGTTAATGTTAGTTTGTCTGAGTTGATCTGATTGTCAGTAACCCACACCTGAGATAAATAAATATATTAATTCTCTTATAATTTTGTTTATTATTAAACAACCTCTTATTTATTTAGGAAGTATTCCAATGGTAAGAAGTGAGCTTCCGAGGTTATATTATTATTATTTTAAAATATAAGAGAGATGTTACAATATATTTTTTATTATTTGAAGATCCTGTAGGTATACAGGTATAAGTGCATTTTTTGAAAAACAGAATTATTGATTATTGATTGATTTCCTTTATTTGTTAAAGAACATGATTTCTTGTACAAATATTTACAAAATATGTCTTCATGTGAGTCGTTTTCTGCATTTCATAATAAAGCTTGCATTTTAAATAAACAATCACCATTATAATAAATATAGGCCATCTGAAATTAGATTTTACTTCATTTATGAATCAATTATTAATATATATATATATGCACATATCACGCAATACAAAATAAATAAAAACAACAAAAACTCATAATAAAATAAACATTAACCGAATCAATACCCTAATGACAAAAACTCTGTTAATAACCATTAAATTGTTATGGAATTTCGGGAATAGAGTACATATTGGCTAAGCATAATCGGTTCTCTTTCTCGATACTGTTTATATTGAGGATGTTCTCAACATTAATATAAGGGGGTGAGTTGAATATATATTGCTGCAGGTATCTCTCTTTATGTACTTTGGATGATGGGCACTAGAGAAGAAGATGGTCAAGGCTGTTAAATAAATATTGATTATAGGCACTGCAGATTTTTTCATCTTGAAAAACAGAACTAAGTTGAGGGCTAATCTTCAAACATATGTATAGACCTACTGTCACCTTCACCAATTTTTTTCCTTACATCTTCTTTGGATATTTTCTATTATATAAGCCATAACAGCTATTGTGAAGCTAGGCTCAAGTTACTGTTCCCAATATGAAATACAGAGATTTATATAGAAAGTTGCGATTCCTTAAGTAAAAGGAAAATATTGCATTATTTAAAGGATTTTTTTTGTAAAAATAAATATATGTACATTTAAGTATTAAGAATGCTGTATCCTTATTGATCAAAGTGTACTTAATATCAGCTATTATCTCGTAATAATTGGTAATAACAGAAACAATGATGGCTTTAAGATATATATTTTCATTAATCCTTTCATACATGTATCGGGCATTTAGTAAGTTTATATACTGTAATTTGAAAAGAAAAGATGATTGTTTAAGTGTTAAGATTTAAGTTATTACTCTATACGTCGCCATTTCTGTCATAAGGGAGAAGAGGTTTATTCTACAGTGAGAAGGTCGAGATTCATTCCTTGGATCTACCAGAAAATAAAACTCAACCTATCCAATCCTGATTCTGACTACTGCAGAATGTTATGGCGACTTTTTTTTCACATACTATATTTATATATATATAACGGTAATTAATTTGAAAAAAAAGAAAGATATTAATTACCTATATGAAATGGTGTGTAAGTGGTTCTTGAAGTCCTATTAAATGTAATTACACGAACAATAATATTTTAAGAGATAGTTTTTAATATTTTTTTTCTGTAAAATATGGTTATATTTTATCATGGGGAGAGGACTTCAGCCCTAAAGCCGCCCCCCTCCCGTAGATCCGCTTGTGGAAATCTTTATGGACCAATGAAAGAAAAACAATTTTTCTAGTTTGGAATTGTTTCAGCCTAAAACCCTCACCCGCAGTCCGCCAGTGAACGTAATTCAGAATTTATGTTTTATACGTACTTTTTTTGGGTAATGATTTTTTCTAATAAATATAATTCTACATACTCCCATGGTGTCTAAAAACGTATGTCGAAATCAAGGGGAACGGGAAGAGGGCGTTGCACCGATATACAAGTAAAAAATCTACGTTTTTTTGTTCAGTGAATGAAGGAAAGCTTCTGTTTTCCTCCCGTGCTTTAAGAAGTCGAGGCTCATAGAATGAAGGAACCATCAAATTAAATATGAAGGCAGTATAAATAGAAGAGATTATTTGACGTTTAATCCATAAAGTTTTGCGAAATTTATATTTTAAAAGATCGTTTTAGTGGATGGATGTCAGATTATCTCTTTTTACCTTAAAATAACAAAAACGTATTAATTCTTACCTTATTTGATTGAGAACGTGTTCACTGCCTTTGTTGTTTTTACTTCCCCAATGGAAATGTATTCCTTCCACTTCAAAGGTACCAGGAAGAAAAGCACCAAACACTTGGGCATATCCCTTTTCCAGAGATTTTATCTCCACTGCATGAAATATAATTAATAGATATATTTTTGTTAATACATATACGTATGTTAATGAATATTTTAGATTTAATTTTTTCGTCTTGATAGTACTCTTTATTCAGATGAGTGTTACCAGTCTGGTTTTGAATACCTATACTAGTTGATTATGCAAAACCATCATTTACTCAAATATTGTATAATAGATGTAAAATTAGTTGAGTTACACAGAAATGGAGACATCATATTGTTCCTTATCTTATTTAAATAATTATTCGAATAAGGCGTAATCTCAAGCAGGGGAAGTGTTTAGTCTCTCAGTTTTAGTTGTGTAACGATTTTCTCAGTGAACGTCTCCTGCGATTTTAACTATGTAGAAAAGTCGTTTAAACTCTTCCAGAGGTAAAAATATAACTCTAAGAAATATGTGGCGGAGATACGACTTAAAAATTGATAGTGCCGTTAAAGTAGATCTCTCACAACACTTTAGGCACAATAGATTTGTTGACAAGTGTTACCGTTTATTCACAATTGAACTTCAAATATATGGGTTACTAAATTCCAAGTTGGATCCTACATTGATTACATCGGTTACAGGCTTAAAGCTAATGGTTTGGCTTTGCCAAATTTCAAGTTATACCTCATCTATAAAGCTAGCTAATTAAGTTTTGCTTGTATTTTTGTAGATATATATATATATATATATATATATATATCTGACTGACTGACGATTTCAGTGAGTACTGTATTTGGAACATAACATATTCTCTGAACACGAAATTTTGATGCATTAAAATTTTCATAGGAGGGGGTTTTCATTTACAGCTGTTCCTATGAAACATAGTTTTTCCTCCCCAACCTCGCCTTTTAGGCTATACAGGGTTTTCCTGGGCCAGAGGTTGAGGGCGGGGAATTTAAAATCCCCTCCGGTACCGGTACGCGAACTTGTACTTTTTTAATATTTCTCCCATTTTATCATTCAGCTAATTGTCAAATTCTTTCACAGCTAACATTTATCCATTTACTACTATTGCTAAGAATCAGAAGACGTTTAATTATTTGTACTAAAAAAATTAAAGGTATTTTATAAATTCGATATTTAAGCTCTGTTAGAGAATATCAATGAGGATAAGACCTACCTTAAATTAAAATTCACTTTAATAATACATTGACCTAATGAATTTAATTAAAATCGTTACATTTTTTAGAGAAAATTGTAAAAATGCGTAAAATAGATGATATAAAGTGGCACTTCCAGTTTGCCAATTTTGACGAAAACGCTCCTGTAACATCCCAGCCATATACAAACCTTAAATAAGCAATTTCAGTTGCGTACGACTTTTCGTTATTGAGCTATACTGTTCAAATACATACATAGAATAGAATAGAAAATAATTTTATTCTGGGACGAAGTCCCTTCAGAATAACAAAAAATTAAAATGTTATATCTGGCCAAATAAAAACAAACATAAAAAGTAAAGGTTAAAGCTAAATCAGTAAAGAAAATATTATTTTTACGTACTATATACAAAATAAAAAAAAAATCTATATAAAAAACTCTTGAAACCTTGCCAAAACACTTAAAACTACGTACAATTGTAAAATATAAATATACACTTTTAGAAAAAAAAAAAAAAAATCGAATATGCTAATAAGTATTTCAGTTATGTTACATAAGTTGTTTTACATAAAAGGTTAGCGAGTATCTGTACATACAGGGAACATTTTGCGAAACTTGGTTATTTTGACCCATATTTCGGTTGAAACTCAGATTCGAAAAAATTCACAATCGCAGTACTTTCCCTTACTTACATATAGAGGTAAGTGATAGTAAAAATTAAAGTTTATTCCTTGTTATGGATAAAAAAAAATAAGTAGGATCAGACATATATTGAAAAGTAAAAGTACTAAGGCTTGAAAATAAAAAGTATAAAACTTTTGTTTACCACTTCCCCGTCTTTCAGATTATACGGAGATTTTCCCGAACCAAGGGAAGGAGCGGAGAATATCCCAAGTTTAAATTTATACCAGAGTTAAAGTATAAAACTTTCGATACTGATGGGATATTATTATCTTAAAGAAGGTACAAAGATTTATAAGCGGTTTTAAAAAAACGGCAGTTTTTGAGTTGTACTTCTTTCATTGAAGGATTTACTCTAATAACTCAAAACATTGTGGTTGGGGCAGTTAAACACACAACACGTTTTTCCCAGACTGTAAGTAGAGTATGGATTACGTAGTTATACTTTTTTATATATTTTTTTAAAATAAAGCTAAGCGAGTTACAAACAGTGCCGGCCTTAGGGACGGGCAACCGGGGCAATTGCCCCGGAACGCTGACCTCATCAGGGACATTCGCCACTTATTAAGAAATTCTTAATAAGAATAAATATATATATATACAAAATGTATTAAATCAATCAATTTTAGCCTTAATATTAATATAAAGCAACTGTATTAGAGAAATATTGAATGAAATAAAATTCAAATATTACATAATATAAGCGCTTGGGAAATGAATTTACTTTTTTTAGGGGGGAGGTGACGTCATTGCACCGGTGGGGGGGCGCTAAATGTCTAAGGCCGGCACTGGTTACTAATATATGTTGTTGATCTTTCTTATTTATAGTATTGCGAAACAAACCAATAGATTAGATAGATATTAATAATAACGATAAACTGTATCAAATCCCGCTCCAGCCATATTGCCCCGGCACAAAACAGCAGAACACAATGTATTAAGACGCGATAAATATTAGATTTAAATATTAACTGACACATAGTTATAACATAATTGTGGTAAAAGTTGTGTGATGTGTACCATATTTATTTATTTTATTTTTTTCTTTCACAATCTAGGCTTTACCACTTAAGATGTTTATTATAGAATTTTAATTAAACTTACAAGAGTTTATAGACAGATTTGGTATTTTATAACTGTCGAGACGGATGCTCATTAATAATTCGTTCGCTGGCGGGCATAAATTTGGAAACAGCTGCTGCATAAGAAACTCTTTAAATAACAGAAATCCTTCATTCCTTACAGAAGTAATTTACATATTATTTTTCATTTGTGGATTGTTTTTCGAATAGAAATAACATAAAATTGAAAATAAATTCAAACGAGAAAAAGGCAAACACGTAGAATAGAACGCAACAACTTTGAAAAGTCGTAACTTAAGAATATATTTTTCCTAGGTCCTATCCTCTATACAGTTTATACAGCTGATATCCCAATCCAATCCAACACTGTCATCACCACCTATGCCGATGACACGTGTATCCTGTCTGTTAATAACGATCCTTTAATTGCATCCCAATCTCTTCAATCACACATCACAAGTCATGAAAAATGGTGTCAAAACTGGAGGATTAAAATAAATTCCATTAAATTGCCTTCACTCTTCGTTGTAAACCTATGACTTCCTGTCCTACAGTATCCTTAACAATAGCCATCTTATCTCTGTCGAACAAATCCGATACCACCTGGACAAACGATTCACTTGGAACCCCCATAACAGACTGAAACGACTAGAAACCGCCCGACGTTTTCGACTACTGTAGCACTTACTAAACAAATGCTCTAAGCTTTCAATTAATCACAAACGGCTCCTATATATGACAATAATAAGACCTATTTGTACTTACTGAATTGAGCTTTGGGGCTCCACTAAACCATCGAATTACTCTCGTATCCAATCCTTACAATCCAAAATCCTCAATGCTCCTTACTTTGTCACTAATAAAATTATCCATAAAGATCTTAATGTTCCTTATGTTTCAGATCTGACCCAATCCAGATACCTATCCTTCGATAACAAACTGCAGAACCATTCGAACCCTCTTGTTTCCATCCTTGCTTCCTCCTCGATCCCTGATAACCCTCCGAGGCGTCTGAAAAGAAGATGGTCTCGGGACCTTCTAATATGGAACTTTAATTTGAGTTCTACCAATGGGTAGTTTATCTTCATATCGTACATGTCATGTTACCAATGTCACATTTACTTGTTGTATTTTTCATGTAATACAGTTGTAAATTTCATTAAAATAAAAAAAAAAGAATATATTTTATGTTTCATGATTCCGTAATTTGAAGCATGTACTGATTTTCTAAAAAATATATAATGCAACTATAATAATGTCATAATGATACTTAAAGGGAAAAAACGCAGATATGGATAGCGCAATGCACCTACACGCTTTACTGCATTACGCAAGCTCTCCATTTTACTCTCTTCTTCAGTGCCAAAGTATTAGATTATTCTTTTCGATATTTTTTTTTCGATTTTATAAAATCGGAGAGGGTAATTCTTTACTGTACATAGAGCCGTTACCAACCTGAATGACCATTGTTGGTGATGAACACAGGCGACGGAACGAGGTTATGAAATCCGACCATCTCCAACGCTGGGAAGGGCAGTGGTATAGCCAGCTCCGAGTCAATGTGGATCGGCGATTGTCGCTTCCCAATGGAGCAGTGCTTTTCCCACTTATGTTGCTCTGTAACAGAAAATATCTCTAGCTCTTGAAACATAATTTTACTTAAAGCTAGTAAATAAAGAAAAGAATTTTTGTTTCGACAGTAACTAAGCGTTAGATATCCACCTGTAATAAACTAATGTTTTGCCAAGACATAAAAATTAGGAGTGGTTTAATTACTTTTATATAAATTTTTCAGTTACTGTAGTATGAATTTCGTTTGATTTATAACCATGATCTTCGAATCTATTTTGGTTTATTATTTTCAATAATCAACCATTGTAATCGACAGAAAAATTCAAAAACTTAATCCCCTCTCAAAATTTGAGGTTTCACGTTTCAGGACGCGTAGAATTCGAAAAACGAATACAAAATTTTTTGTCCGTCCGCCGTCCGCGCATTTTCTCCGAAACTACTGGCCGATTTTTTTTCAAATTTTGATATAAAATCAGAGGTCACCCGAGGATAATCCTCCTTCATCGACATTGTTGTCCGCCTTTAACTTTTAAAATGGCGGTCGAAAAACCTGCATTGCTATAGACTGTAGCTCCTAAACGAATGTACACATCTCAATGAAACTTGGCTAAAGTCATTTTCTAGACGCCCTTTAAATTTATCTATATAACATACTTCAAAGAAAAGAAGCTGGAAAAAAAGTTACGAGGGATGGTAAAATTAAATTCCGAATAACTTGAAAAGTTTTTACTTATAGTTTTTAAAAAGTTTACGAAATTTCCTAAAAACACAAAAGAAAAATCGTTAAAATCGGACAATTAGGAGCAAAGATATGGTCTCCGGTTTTTTTTTATATGTTCTACTCCAAATGTTATATCGTTGGTTTGGTTTTTAAATTTTGAATGTGTTACTGAACTAATGCTATTTTTTTTTTAGCATATTACTAATGATTAAAGAAAAACAGTTTAGTCCAATAATTGGAATCACCGTTTTTTTTTTTTCTTTGTAACACGGAATGTAATGTTACTTTAGATGTATAATTGTTTGGAGATAATAAACCATTGTGAAATAATTTGCAGCTTTTTTTTTAATGTAAAATAGCAGAAAGATTATCGGTCGTCGTCAAAGAGAGAACATACGCAAGTTGTAAGAAATTATGTAACAATATTAAGAATAGTATTTAAACAAGATAAAAATCATGCCTTGGGCGCCAATCTTGCAGTAACATAATCACTTAGGTTCAAGGACATTGGCAAATCTGTATGGATTCATGGATTATGGCTGCTCAGCGTTTGCCTGCGCACTAGGGTTTGCTCTCTTTCCTCGAAACAGACCGTCCAAACAAACCTCTGATGGCTACTGATATCCTGGAAAACCACACCGCGATTCCGATTGAAATACACGGGGTATGATCATCCCTCCTACGCGCTGTCCGTGCGAGTTGCCTGCAGTAGAATAGGCTTAAGGATCTCACATAACCAGGAGGATCTCAATATATATTTATGTATTGAGTTTCGTTCGGGAGTGTAAAGTATCCGACTACTATACCCAATTTTGAAACCTAAGAAATGTTTACGGTCTCTCTATCTCTTAAATATAAATATATGTATTTCATAGGTAATTGAACTTAGCAGAATTTAATATTTGTAATTGATCTATATAATTCAATTATTAGCGATATTTATCTAATTATAATTACAATTTTACAATGTATTGAAACTAACTACCTTCATGAGTATATTCTATTAAATTTTCTATCCCCATCACAGAAGGCCAGGCTGAAACAAAGAAAAAAAGAAATTATGAAAACACAGTGAATTAGTCATCGAACAATTTTATGTCTATAAAAATCAAGAAATACGCTCCTTGTCCTTCCCTTGTTTAGTGTTGTATTATGGATCTATAGAATAATAATCCATCCGGCCATTGAATTTAACACCAAGACGAACTTCCAACCAAAAATGTCACGGTCTATCTTCCTCTTGTTCCGCACAATAAATGTTTTTGTGATTTTTTTTTTTTTTGTCCTTTTTTTTTCTACAAAATGTCTTATTGTGTTTGAATGAAAGTATATATAAAATTAGCTGCTGTACCTGTCCTTGACGGGTGTATAGTTAAAATTTGAGAATCTTTTTTTGAGATGGATTTTGTATTATGGGAGGTCCAAATTTAATTTCATAAAATTGGGTTGTTTTGAAATGTTTCAGGGGCCTTATGTAAGTCAAGGTTTCGCAATAGTTATAATAAAAACTTTGTCATTTGGCTATTTGTTTAGGTGCCACACAACTAAACCGACCACCACCGATCCATTAAATTGTTTTTAATTTTCATTTATGATGAAACGAGGAGGTTGAAATAATCGAAAAGAGTTGTAATCTCTCCACTTCTTTAAACTCTGCTAAGTTAATCGCTGGAAAAATAATATTGGAAATTGATTCACCTACACCCGTGTAAAATTAGAACTTGATCTGAATATTGTGTTGTGGTGGGCGGTTTGAAATTTTAGGGAGTTTTTTTTTCCTATTTCCGGTTAATTCGTTTGGTTAATCCTAAAAATGTATACGATTAAATTTGTTAGGCTCGGGAAGTTGGATCGAATGAAACCTTGAACGGGAAGATCGGACTAAGTTGAGAAAGGAGTGTGTGCCCGATGTTCGGAATTTCGGATTTTTCTCGTTGAGTTGTGATATTTTTTCCCATCAGTTGAATAGTACAACTTTTTAATGTGGTTTGCGGTAGAGTAGGTTGCGATGAGAATCGAAGTAACTGCCTAACCGGGATCTCTAGACAAATTAAAATTATCTCTAAAAGGATTATATTAAAAGGATCTCTGGACAAATAGCCCAATGACAATTGCAAAACCTTGACTTCCATAAGTCCCCCATAAAAAATTTGAAAACAACCCACCTCCCCTCCCTATCCGCAACCAATTTTATGAAATTGAATAAGGATACGATAAGACCTGTTTGGACTTACGGAGTTGAGCTATGGGGCTCCACTAAACTATCGAATTCCTCTCGCATCCAATCCTTACAATCCAAAATCCCTCGTAAAATCCTCAATGCTCCTTACTTTGTCACTAATAAAATTATCCATAAAGATCTTAATGTTCCTTATGTTTCAGATCTGGCCCAATCCAGAAACCTATCCTTCCATAATAAACTTCAGAATCATCCCAACCCTCTCGTTTCTAACCTTGCTTCCTCTTCAATTCCTGATAACCCTCCGAGGCGTCTGAAAAGAAAATGGCCCCGTGATCTCATAATGTAGTCATATCATTTGAGTGCTACCATTGGGTAGTTACTCAGCAAGTGTATTCATGTCATTATATCTATTATGTCCAAATTTACTTGATGTAATGATGTAATACAGTTGTAAATGTCATTAAGAAATAAAAAAATAATAAAATAAGGATCCTCCTCCCCTCCCCATAATGCAAAATCCATCTCAAAAAAAGATTCTTAAATTTTAACTATACACCCTTCAACGACAGGTACATAAGTCAGTTGTCAAATAAATTGTTCAGAGTATTATTATATTAGGGTGAACTGATTATAAAATAAATTAGTTTTGTTATTATAATTGAAAAAAAAAAATTATTATGTTATAATTTAAAAAAAAATTAGTTTTGTTATTATAATTGATAAGTTGAATAGTACAACTTTTAAATGTGGCTCGAGGTAGACAAGGTTGGGATGAGAATCGAAATAAATAACTGCCTACCCGGGATCTCTATACAAATTACTCAAGAATTCATAACTTTGGTTCTACTCAATATTTTGTTTTCATTTAAATTCTATGTTTTAAGTCAAGCAAATCTAAACATAATGTCAACTTTTCAAAAATCTACCATTAGCCATTGCTGAGCTTACCCCTGACAAAATTTCGTTGGACAATGATGATATACAGACAAAAAAATTTTAAAAGTGGATTTGATGTCCGTAATGTATGAAACGGAAAGATATCATGAAAAAGGTTGATTCTATTCAATGTACAGACATAACCTTTATTTTATTTATATAGATTTCTGTTTTCATTATTCGGAAGATCATACAACTTTCATTAAGCCTATTTATTTATTTATTTATTTTTGGGAGGGTCCTCCTCTTCTTCAGTTGTAAGGCTATGCGGGGTTTCCCAGGCCAGAGGGTGAGGGCGGGGATTTAAAAGATCCTCGGCACCGGGACGAGAACTAGTGACTATTTTCTATTAATTGTCTTATACATCAGTTGCCGGGCAACATTGCCCACGCATTAAGCCGAACTATGTGATTTGTCAGAAAGATTCTATTTGGTGCCTTGGTTCTATTTTTGTTCTTCGAAATATTGTCGGAGGAATTGATATTCTCGTCTCCTCTCTATTTTTATTGAGCTATCGTCCCCCTCCCCTCCCTCGAAGTTTGCGCCTATGAGTTAAGGTATTGTTGAGACCATATTTGGCTACTTAATCTTTCCTTACAAGTGACTAATATTTTATTTGGATGATACACTAATGGGACTACCCTCTCTCTTTACAGATGAATCCTAGTTTTGTTTAACTTGAAAATTTTGAATGGCCATCGTTTCAGTTCTCACTCTTTTAATCTATTGAATAAATAATTTAATTTATTATAAAATAAATTAATTTAAATAATTTATCATTTATTATCTTTACCTAATGAAAATCAGTACCTGCCTTTGAAATAGGACGCCCCGGGCAATGACGTCATATCCCCTCTTCCTGAAAATATTAAATTTTTTTCGAATATTATATAATATTTGAATTTTATTTCATTTAACATTTCTCTAATAGTTGGTATGTTGGTGGGATAAAATTAATTATTTTTATACGTTTCGTTACTTTTTTTATTTCCAACAAATGGCAAGTGCATCCAAAGGGTGCCCCAGGGTAATTTCCCGGATTGCGTCACCTTAAGACCGGCACCAAGGGCGGATCTACGGAGGGGGCCTTTTGGGCTGAAGCCCCCCCTCCAAATGGTAAAATATAACCATGTTTTATGGAAAAATATATTAAAAAATTATCTCTTTAAGTATTATTGTTCGTGAAATTACATTTTAAAGGACTTAAGGAATCACTTAAACACCATTTCATATAGATATTTAGTTTTTTTCTTTTTTTCCAAAGTAATTATCGTCATTTTTATGAAAAAAAAGAACTTTCGGGCTGAAGCCTCCCCCCCAAGATTAAATTCTGGATCCGCTAGTGACCGGCACTGATGAAAATAAAGCAGATTTTAAAATATAATATTTGAAGTATCAATGTAAAGGGGCATGCCTTATCTTTGAAATCTTAAATTATAGGAGTTCTGGATATCAGGCACCTCGGAGGTCATTAAAACCTGTTATTTTCCATTACATAAGCTTTTAATTATATTTTAAAAACAGAATTCAATACTTAAATTGCCCAGAGGTCCCGAGCATATAATTGTTTTTATCTCTTTTTTAGAAACATTATTGATATCATAATTTTTTTCCATTTTATTAATTATTTAAGTTTCTTAGTTATATTAAAAATATTTTATTTATTGGATGTACTAGATTTGACTACTTTTGATTATACCATGATTTTACCTAGCTACTTCCCTCCCTCAACACTATTACATCAAATAATTATATGAAAAAAATCTTATAATTAATAGAACGAAAAGAAAAAATATTTGTAACAGACTAGCTAAAGAAAAAATATGAAACAGGAAATAAATAATTCAAAATCGATCACATCTTGACATTCCAGATTTTCATCTGGTGTCTGTCTATAACTTTAAAGGGCTGTCTATAACTTTTTAAATAAAAACTTTATAATAGAAATGGTTCATATTTTAGAGAGAAGCATAGGGCTTATTGACTTTATTTACATTACATATTAATAACATAATGATTTTAAGATCTGTCTGTAAAACCACTGCTAAGCTGCAAAGGTAACTCCCAAAAACAAATTTATAAAACAGTCATCGCATTTCAGATTAGGTACACCTTACCAGATTGATTTCAGCAAATAACTTAAATGAATTCAAAATTTATGCATCATCATTAATCACCCTTTTTAACAAAATAATATCTATGCTTTATTCTTTAAAATTATTAACCAACAATTTTGAAAACTTTATGTTTTAAAAAAAATACTTATGAATACTAACAGAATATTGAATAAAACTTCACTTGAAGTAGATATTAAGTCAAAAGTGATAAGTTTTTCATTACTTCTCATTCATTACCTTCTAAGGTTTAAATCTAAGATTATTTTTATAATATCTTATATATTTATGTATATTATATTATATATTTCTAGTGATAATATTTCTCCCATTTTCTCATTCAGCTAATTGTCAAATTCTTTCACAGCTCATATTTATCCATTTATTACTGTTGCTAACAATCAGAAGACGTTTAATTATATGTACTAAAAAAAAATTAAATGTACGTTAGAGGGACAAATTTTGAAAACTCAACTTTTATCTCTTTCAGGTTATTTCAGTGATGTTAATACCTACATGATATTAAAGACCACTTAATTTGAAATAGACACGATGTGCTTAACCACAACTGTTCCAGCTGTTTTTGAGAAAATTATGTAAAATGAAGTGCCATGATAGTATGAAGTACCATTTCCAGTTAGTCAATTTTGACAAAAAGTTCCTGTTACATCTCAGACCTATCTTCCTGTTCCTGTTACTTACCTATCTTAAATAGATAAGTTTAGTTTGTAAAACATTATTTTTTGAGCTAAACTCTTCACAGACAGACTCAAACCTTATTGGGAGACTCAGTTATTTTGATTTAAGAGACCTTGAAACATGTATTTCCGTTTAAAACTCAGATTGCTAACAATCGCAATACTTTCTCTTACTTTATATTTCATATCACGGTAAGTGAAAGTTAGAAACTATCTTAGAAACTATCAAACTATCTTTATAACATAATGAAATATTGAAAAAAAAATGTTTTTTCCTATTTATAATTTTTGGCACCAGGGTCATCAACTAAGCTTGGGACTGAGACAGAATAAACATAAGGTCCCTTTCAGTAAATATTTTGTGTTTTATTTTTTGTGAATAATATTAAAGCATGGATTAGGGCAAGAGTACCCATGCTTTTTACAATATGTGCTACAATCAAGAGGTTGCCACAAGTTTACCCAACTCATATATATACCTGCAACCTTCATAATAATTATTATTTTATAGATAGGCACTTATTTTCAAACATATTTTCTCCTTTCCTATATTTTACTAACTATTATTTATATAATAAAATTTATTGTATTTTGTTGACCTAAATTAGACCTGCTGATTGTGAGTCTAAAATAAACTTTTAACACAGAATGAGAACTTGACATATTTTTTTAAATAAAAAAATTAAGAATAAAAACTACCTGGCAGCCAGTGTTCCAATTCTGAACCCGGATTGTAGCCGGTATAGCTTTGTTTGAGACTGCAGGATAGTATATTATTGACCAATGTGTGGAATGTAAAATTTTCAAATTGTTTACTTTATATAAATAAGTATAATTTAACAATATATAGATGTGTTAAATACCTTTAAAAAGGCCATAAAAAAACAATAATAGTTTCATAATTATGATTGTAATATCAAATCATTATATTTTCAATCAGTTGAAAGTGATTGTTTACTAAATATCAATGCTCTAATTATTGGTGCAACCCTATTGAAGAAATTTGGGTGTCTCTCATGATGGTTACACTAGAAACTCTTCAGTCTAAAAAATGACTGAAATTTTAACCTCATTATTTAAAAATAACTTATATCTAAGTAGTAGATTGAAAAAATTGAAATAAATTCAATCATTCAGAAAATAATTTAATTATAAGTTATCATCAATAAATTGAAATATAACAAAGGAGAAAGATTTATTTCTGTTTGAAAACTTTTTCTAGCAATTAATTCACCTTATTTTTGTTTGAATATCATCTAATAGTTAAGATTACTGTTTATCTATGTATTATAAAGTAATTTATCATCTTTGATTCAATTTTTAATTAAGAAAAATGATTTTTATCGATAAGTGTGTCAATGATATGATTATTGTATAAGCCTAGTTTTCAATGATATGATACTCATTTATAAAGATATCAATAGCAAAGTGGGATTGGAAAGGTTTTATCATGAAAAGGAAATTAACTAGGATGCTCTCTTTTTAAATTTACACAATCTTCAGAACAAAGACAAAGAATGTTGATAAATGATTTAAACTGTCAATATTAATTTTCCTTTTTCAATTTTATAAATTAAAAATATGTATTCTTGGTAATTTCAATTAGTTTTATAGAAGTTGCATGAAATTTAACGTCTGTGGATTTTTCATTGTGTATTTTAAAATACTGCCTGTGACACAACAATGCAACTATTATACAATCATCATAATCATATTAGAGTTTATATAAATATTTGGGCAAGAATTATTCCTGTTTATTTTATTTTGAGAATATGTACTCACAGAATGTCAAACCGTTTCAATTTGAACTGAAAGTAATATATTGCACTGCGACTTACCACACAAGAAAAATAACAAATACATTGTTCTCGATGGCTTAGTGTAGTGAAGGGTTATCAGACTAACAGCAACTGCTTCTATAAACCAGTTACAAATAATGATTTTCAAGGCCCAGTAACGCTAGCATTTGTTTTCCTTTACGCAAGATGTGATGAATTTATGTTTCCTAAATTTTTCACAGTTAGGTGTGAATATAACAATTATATAACATGTACTTGTTGTTATATGCTACTTATACTTATACTTTGGAATCTTTTTGCTCATATTTTAGTTATTTTCCTCTTATCCTGCAGATTATAAATAAAATAAATCAGTTTTTATCCTTCTTCAAATTATATTGAAAGTGATTGGTTTTCTAAAATCTCAAATGGCTATAAATAATTTATTGATGGGAAAAATGTATTAAAGCATTGTAATAAATTGATATGCTTAGTTTTTAAAAAAATATATAAATTGTATAGTTTAAAATGTTGGAGTTAATTATTTTTATATATTTAAAATACAAAAAGCCAAACAAAATGTTTCTTATTACAAAAAATAACAACATTACGTATTTGTATAAACCATAAAAATACAAATGAACATCAGCATGTAGAAAACAAGAAGATTCAATTACGTAGTCCAAACTTTCTTAGAGCGCCTGACAAACTAATTAAGGTATTTTAACCTCTATTTAGACAAGATCTAATACAAAATGAATTACATGGCCTGGGAAATGCAAAATTTATTTTCTCCCAAAATTTATTTTATTTTCACCCTACGAATACACTTTGACAAACTGACTAACCAAAGGACAATGTAGGTTACCTCTTAGATATGTTTCTTTCTTTTTCCTTTTCTGTTCCTTTAGGTTTACTTGTTTTATATATATATATATATATATATATATATATTTACATCATATGTAAATCATTTAACTATATCTCCATTGCATTGAACATTTAAAATGTAAATAAATTTTCTTTGCATGCGGTTAGCACATAACAGAAGTAAATATCTAAATTATATTTATATTGAACTTACAAACACACACGTTCACAATTTAAAAAGAAATACTGTGTAACCTCTTTTTTTAGAAATGTTTAGCAGACAAATCTACAAAGTGGACATCCACATGAATTACTTTACAACCTTTATACAACAAAGTTGCCAACAAAGACTTCATTATAGTGACATTTAATAATTAAAATTATGATAACAGTACAGCAAAATTACTTACAAATAATTTAGTGCATACTAATTAAGCTTAAACTTTACAAATAGTAAGTAAATAAAAAAATAAAAAAAAATTATTCTACACACATTTTGAAATAAAAGGCAGACCAAATATTGAATATGTGGTCTGGTGTTGACCTACTCAACACAATTAAATAAACCAGTCTAATGTATATGTTTTTTTGCTTCTTTATTTTTTGCTTATTTATTCTATGTTATATTTTCCTATTTTAAAATTGAATACTGGGCATCAGCAACTGGCTAAATTCCACACCAAAACAATTGAGTTAGACAATTTTTGGCTACCTAAATGCTATGTACAACAACCTAAAAAATAAATAAATACAGAATAAATATTATGTAATAAATATTAAAGATTAAGGCATTTAGCTCTCTTTTTAGGCTGTTGGCCATGGCATTTAGCTTCTCTAAAATCTGGCAATTGCTCTATCATTTATTTTTAGTCTTCAATTGCTATTTTGAAATATTATTTTTTGTTTTAATATACATCATATTTCATTTAAGTTAGTCATGTGGAATTTACTCGTAAATAATATAATATATGAATGGTATGGAAACAGTTATTATAAAAAATGATACATGCTGATAAATATAATTACAGATTTAGATTAATTAATTTTACTTTATTCTAGATAAAATATGGGTTAAATAACAGTGTTATATTAGATATAAACCTGCAATATACCTTTTTTTTTAACATCAATAAATTGACCAAATATGTACCAAATATCATTATAGACAACAGGTAAGGTGTTTTATAAACTATTACATAACCCATGTTCAGTTTTGTTTATGACATGTAAAGAACTCATTCAATTTGAATTCTTCCACAATTAAGTTATTAAGTCGGACTATAACAAAGATTATATAATCACTGCTGACACAGTAAGTGAGTTTTTGATTATTTTTGTTGAAATGAAAAAATATCTGAGACGCATTGGAGATAAAGAAGCTGAGAGTGGGAGGGAATGTCTGTATAGGCTGTAAATTGTACTCTTTTTTTCTTCCTGTTTAGAATCTGTCTGTGATAAAGAATCTATTGTGTACTGTCAAATTTTGGATGGATAAAAGCTCATCAGATATTAGAAAGGGTAAATATATTTCAAGAAATATAATATAGTGTAATTATTGTCTAACAATATCTATAATGGAATATTTTTATCCTTATCAACTTTCTGACTAATCTTTTAAATTTAAATGTAGAATTGTTTTCTTTCAATTTTATATATATATATATATATATATATAATTCATCTAACAGTAGTTATTTTTAAACAAATTAATATTATTGCATTTTTTAAAATAAACTACTCCTAAATATATCAGCCATTTTTTCAGGAAATTGATTTCAATAAATAAAAGCAATAATTCTTTTATTTTTTAAAAAAGAAATATAAATTTTTTTCATCTCACAATAATGGGCACAAATTATATTTTCAAATATATACCTATTAAAATAAAAATAATTATCATCAATCATAAATTATAATGTCTCTAAATTCTAAAATAAATATTGTTTTATGATAATATTATTGCTTTTAAAGCTATTTTTTAAAAATATGTATGTCAATTTATATTTTATGCCTATCATTCATTGTTGGCAAGTTTACTTTGATTGTCCATTTATAATTGTAAAATAAATTATAAAGTGATTAATGGTCTTAATCCTGGTCTGAAATGATCCTAGAATGTTAAAGTGAAAATATAATGTTTGTTTCTGTTAATATATTGTTAATAATATTTGATATTATTATTAATTATAATAATATTTAGTTGGCTTGGGTAAAAATTATTTTAGTTATTTAACAACTTTTTTTTAAATATAACATATTTTAACTACCAAAAATTTAAATTGCTTACTGAAAAAATATTTCAATATTATAAAAAGAATATTGTATTTTGAATATAAAAAAAAATATATATATAGATATATTTCTTAAGTATTTGGGATTTATAATGATGTAAAGTATTTATTTGACTGCACCCTCCCCCTCCCTCCCCCCTCCCCCTCCCCGACCAATTCCTTCTAATATTTGGGATTTAATTAATTGCTGAAAAAATTAAATTTCTTTTTGTGAGTAAAATTAATTATGATTATATTAGGAAATAGTGGATGTACTTTTAAAATATTTATTGATACAAAATATTTTATTTAATTTACATTATTTCTGAACAATGTAACAACAGTGAAGAATCGTCAAATTATTTATTTTTAAGGATTTTCCAAGTCATTATATAAATTGAATATTTTGTGATTTCTTCTATGAAAAATACTTGAAGTTATTATTAATGAAAAAAATGCTTTTTTTCTCTCAAGAAACTATCTTGGTAGTCCATCTAACCATATTTTCAACTGTAAACGAGTGATAACTCAACAAAATAAATTCTTCCACCTTACCTAAGATACCTGTGAAGGTAAAATATCTTAATAATTTGACATTAGGATTATTTTCATCTCTCCAGAATTTAGACAAAATATCTAATTCTTTTAACTAACTAATGGCCTGATCAAAGAGTTATTTGCATCTATTATTAGTGAAAGGCATTCTAAAGACTAATGATAACGTTTATTTCAGAATTTTTTTAGCTACATACCAACAAAATCCTTTAGAGCTGTTTGAAAACATTAATATAATAAATTAAAAATACCTAAATACAAAAAACAATCGCACAACTCTCTTGAATGACACAAAATTGTTTGTCACTGATATAAGTATTAAAAAACAAAATAAGAACCATCTTGGAATCTGTTGGATACATATAAGTGTTTCATCCATACAGCATAAAGTGTATTTATAAGGCATGAAAATAAAAGAAATATTTTAATTTTGTACCCATTATTTTATGGAAAAGAAAATTTGCTAATATTTTTTAGGGATATTGCTGCTTTGATGAAAGCATTCATCATGTTTTCATCTGTGTTATTATGTGCATATTGTGTTATTTTTAATATTATTTACTTAGTTATTTTTTACACTATAATAACTATTATTATTTACACTATTTTGAAATATATATTGAGAAATAATCTAATACACGACAAAATTTATTTATTTTCCATGAACTTTCAATTGATCTAATTTCGAAAGATTACATGTTTTGATTTAAAGCTACAAATAAAAAATAATTATATCTTAAGTTACGAAAGAAATTCTAGGAATAAATCCTTTACATTCCATATTTTTGGGAATGGTTTTTGGTCCTTTATGAACAATCTTCTGGTCTCCTTCAATTTATTGTTATTTTTGGCTATTTTATTTTTGCTAAATAAACAATTTTGTAAGAATACATTTTTCACTAAATAAAATTAAAATGTTTCCTGATAAACATCCAGAGATCCTGAAAAAATTATATACAGAGATTTTTATTTATGGAAGATTAATATAAATAATCTTAATAAGTAATAAATAATAATACAGTAAAGGTCATAGCATCGTATCCCGGCCCCTATTTCCCAGTATGGTTGGTTCCTTCAGAAATTAGACCATTACCCTCTTAATTAGAAGAGGCATACAAATTGAAACATACTTTTAAGAACAGATTAGTAAAACATAAATAGACTCAGTAATATTTTTTAAAGTAGATTTAAACAATGGGGAAGAAAATACAAACTGCGGATTCGAATGGTACTCACCGCAATGGCTGCAAGGATTGGCTAGTAAAAAAATGTATGTTCTGGTCTATGGATTCCTTGGAATGAATCAAACAGCGATAGGCTCTTACTTTATCGGTACAATTAGTACCATTGAGAAACGGTTCAAATTACCAAGCAGTGCCTCAGGTATCTATGATTCTTCTTCCTAATAATATTTATAAATTAAGATTTTAAATTATAATAAGTTTTATTTTTAGGTTTGATAGCAAGTGCTTGGGACTTGGGAGCCCTCTGCACTGTGGTGTCCCTTACTTACTTGGGTGCTGGTAGCCATAAGGCACGCTGGGTTTCAGCTTGTAGCATCATAGCTGCTATATCCTGCTATCTCAGATATCTTCCTTATTTGTTGTATGGTCCTCAGGAGAATCTTTTTCTGTCTTCCAACTCTAGTTAGTGTATTTTTATGTAAGGCTAGTGTATAAGATTAAGATTGAGGCTAGTGTATAAGTTTAAGATTAAGGCTGGTGCATTAAAACTTCATCGCCATTATTAACATTCAAGAAGATTAAAATGAGTTAAAAAAAGGTGCTTTATTTTTATTATAAATATGGAAAAGTTCCTTTCTATATTATTTGAAGTTACCAAGGGATCATAAGGCTATTCACCTTCATTATTTCAATGGATTTTTAATTTATCATCTTTGGTTACAACACTAGCGGATCCAGAATTTAATTTTGGGAGGGGCTTCAGCCCCAAAGCTTTTTTTTTTTTTTATAAAAATAACGATAATTAATTTGGAAAAAAAGAAAGATACTAACTACCTGTATGAAATGGTGTTTAAGTGATTCCTTAAGTCCTTTCAAATGTAATTAGACGAACAATAATACTTTAAGAGATAATTTTTGTATATTATTTTCCATAAAATACGGTTATATTTCACCATTTTGGGGGCTTCAGTCCCAAGGCCCTCCTCCCCTCCTCCTGTAAATCCGCCCATGGGCTACAATAAATTGTAATCTTTTAAAAACTTCAACGAAACCTTGACCACTATGCCATCTAGGAGACACTGGAAACACAGGCGGATACGGGAGGTTCTCGGGCTGAAGCCCCCTCAAAATGGTAAAATATAATCATATTTTATGAAAAAAAAGTCCCTAAAAGTATTATTGTTCGTCTAATTACAGTTAATAGGACCTAAAGACAATTTCATATAGGTAATTAGTTTCTTTCTTTTTTCCGACGTAATTATCCTAATATATTTATATTAAAAAAATCTTTAGGGCTGAAGTCTCCCCCCCTCCAAAACTAAATCATGGATCCGTTAGTGCATGGGGTGAATAAAAAATATTAAAGTTCCATTGAGACCTAAGAGAAAATTACCTGCAAAACAAAGTATTAACATTGCAAGTATTTCAATGTTAAAAGGCTTAGTTTTGCTAATTATATGTTGTTATATTATATGTTGTTATTTATCTGTTTCATTGGCAGTGGGGCGACCCTGGGTCGAGAGACCCTCCTGGGGCCCATCCAGCCTCTATAAAGTAGGTACCCTTAATTAAATAATTAATTAAGGGGGAAAATCTGGCGGTTGAGCGTGATCTCGGTCAAATCACCTCATTGCACAATCGTTGGCATAGAAACAGTGCTTTCCCTAAATAGTACTGAGCCCCAGACGCTTCATAGGTTGTAGTGGTACAGGTTTTTTTTATTTTATTTTTATATTTTTAATAGAATGAAGTTCAAAATTAATAATTCGAGTTATTATCTGCTTGTAGCTATAAGTCTCTGCAACACGAGCGTTGAAGATAATCATTACTGCTCATTTAACTCGGAAGGGTTTACGACTTGGCTTATTCTGATCACAGCTAACATAGGACTTGGCGTTGGTACATCTACCTACAACACGCTTGGGGCAGCCTACCTGGACGACAACTCTTTAAAGAACAAAACACCTTTTTTAATATGTAACTATTGACATTTACCTTATTTTTTAACCAACATTTGAATAATATTAGAGGGTTAAATGAGAACAAGTAAATACATTTTTTACATCATCATTTTATAATTGTCATCATCATTTTGTTGACCAGCGCATGGACTTTAAGCCTTTATTTTACTACTTTAGCCCATTGAGAAAAAAAAAATGATCCATTCATGATGAAATGGCACAAGCCCCATCTTTCAAGATATTTTATTGCTTACATCTTCTTAAAATGGTGTAAGAGAAAGCAGAGCTATAAAAAGTTTATTTTTTGTGTTGGCATTCAATACAGAAAGCTACAAACAAAATGGAATATGGCTCCCTCTGAAAGACCATCTCTTCATGTTAATGTACCACCCCAAAAATTCATAATTCTGTTAAAATTTGCCGCCCTCAAAAATATTTGTCATTCCTCCAATGATGTATATAACCAAATGTTTTATACATAATTCAAAACAAGACTATGTTCCCTCACACAACTTACCTTATCACTTCTGGGGAAAAATTGTTCACTTGTGGTCCGATCAAGATTTTTGCTTCCTCACTTCCTAAATTAGCTTAGTTAGTATTTGTGCCGGAAAACAAATAAAAATGGTTTGGAAGCTATATTAACTCAAGTTGGCTAACATTTTTATTTTATTTTATATTTTATATGTTAAGCCATGTAGAAAATTAAATTAAGAACTCCCTTTCCCTTGTTGTTGGATTCTGATCACAGTAACAGAGACTTTTTTTCAGCTGTAGTAACATGTCTACGTTATGTTGGCGGAATGTTTGGTTTCCTCCTCGCATCTTACGCATTAAATAAAAATGAAATTCCTGATATCAACAAATCATTCGATGAGAAAGATGAGAGCTGGATCGGAGCCTGGTATCTAGGTACGTTGCACATGAATCTTCAGTTTGTAACTTTATGACAGCATATGTTGACCGGAGCCTATAATTTTCCAGATAATGAAGATTTGTGGCCAATGTTCTAGGATGGATGCCATTGGGAACAGTCCATTTAGTTTTTGCTTTGATGATGGCAGCGTTCCCAGAAATATTGCCAAGGGAAGCCAAGAGGAGGCAGAGTCGCTCAGCACTTTATTGTAACGGAAGATCTTCGACTGGTGGTTTGTATCACGTGTTAGCTTCATTTAAATAAAGAAAAGTTCATTTCATTAGTTAATTAACTTTTTAAAATACTTATGATACTTCATCCCACAATCGCTATGTATGTGCCATGTTCAATGTGTGGGACTTGGGAAAAAAAATTCTAGTTTAGAGTCGATAGTAAGATGTTTTATTTAGTTGACCTTTTCCCAGTACTTGGTCGCACTTTATCTAAAAAGAGGCACTTTATCTTTTTGTTAAAAAAAATTAAGCTCAAAGAAAAGATGATTTATCAGGGGGGAAAATCGCTTAAATATGTTCATTTGCTCTGTGCTGTGAATTCTGTTTAACCCAGACTTTAGACATTTCGGACGGGAATCAGTCCTAATCCGAGATGCTTTACTATATTTTAAATATTTACATATTTTCATTGAAAGCATGCAACAGATCAATCATAGAAGAATTTATTTGTTGTCAGCATATATCAATGTTACTCATGTAAGAACAAACTTTGCTTATTGGATTCCAATACATGTGAATAGAAACTGAAGCAAATAACTCAATTGTTTTTTAGAGCTGAAGGGAACTCTAACAAGATTGGTGAAGAACCCCATCCTGGTTTGCAATGTTCTTAGCGCAACTTCCCACACGTTCGCTGTCGCTGGTTACTGGATCTTCATGCCAAAGTATATTGAGACTCAGTTTCATCAGTCACCCTCGAGAGCCAGCCTAATAACAGGTCTTGTTTTTACACCAATGTATTATTATGAGTATTGTGTTGAATAGTTGATTCTACCGGCGCACAGTGGGATGAGTAAGGGAAAACTCGAACATCTGCTAAATCTTTTTTTTTTCAATTGAACTATTTAATAAACAGTAAACAATGTATATTGTGCCAACTGAAAATATTCCTGGGAACTCCACGAACACCACAAGCTATCAATAAAACAATTTGTCTAATTTTTGGAGTTCTAAAAAAAAAAAGATTTAGCCAATGTCGAGAGTTTTCCCTTACTCGTCCCATTGTGCGGCGTTTACTTGGCTACTCAGTTTTAGCAATTAGTATTGAGCTATACCCGAACCCGGCTGATCTTTTATAGATAAATTTGTCGGTTATTGTGTAATTTAACGTAATACCCGTTATTTTTTGTTTTAGTCGATTAAAATTAAGTTTATTCTTATCTCTAAATTATTGGGACTCGATTTGAGAGGAGTGTGACGCAGTTCTTTTGGTTTTTGTTTGAAGATCTATATGTTATCTAACTTATATAATTAACTAAGCATGACTATTTCATTTTATATTTTCACCTTATTCAGCGTAAAAAAATAATTAAAGTTATATAATATGGTATCGAGGATTGTTTTCTTTTTTTCTTGCAAATAGAACATGATCTTTAAATAAAGTCAAAATAACAGAAATGTTAGATTTCTGCTATATTCTAAGCTAGAACGATTATTATATATTTTACCAGTAGTAAATTGTATGATTTTTGGAACGGGCCAACTGGATTGCACGTTCACCTGTCTATTTAATGTGATCTTGTCTTCTATCCCGTTGTCTTCCATAACAGATCTCATGTTATGTTATGAGTTTAAGAATTTAAAAAATTAAACCAATAAAAATGAAAGAATAAGAACATTTTCATAATTTAATTATACTAGCATGGACCTTGCATTATAGTTAAATATTTACTAGATAATAAATAACATCATCATCCTGAGCTCTCATCTATTTCTGGATCTTCCTCAGGAGTACCCGCCCAATTTTCTCTGTCTCAGGGTATCGTCCACCTTTCCCTTATTCCAATAGTTCTGACATTCCGATGTCATGTTATCTGATGTTATGAATTAACTCCACCATTGCCAACCTAATAATTTGTAATAAAATTAAATAATTGTCAGCTATAAATCCAGAAGCCCCTAGCTCGTTATTATCCGGCACCCGTTAAAATCAATTATCCAGCACACCATTAATAATTGTCATAATATGTCAATATTTTTTTATTTATGTCAGATAATATTATGTTCTCCTTTAGGTAGTGTTGGCTTGTTATGTACGATAATCGGTACCTTTCTCTCGGGTATAGTCATCTCGAGGTACAAGCCCCACGCCCGGTTCTTGGTAGGTTGGAGTATCTTCACCAAACTGGTGGACCTCCTGGCTCACCTTATCTTCTTATTTCTCACCTGTGGAGGCCATCAAACGAATGACCCGAGCACATCTCTTTTGAGGTTAGCTATTGATTTTATTAGCACAGGTATTTTAAGGATTTTATGCTTAAATAATAAGTTACCATACCGACATATAATTCATTTTATATATAACACAGAATGAAAATTCAATAAATTTATAAACTTAAAATTTAGTAATATACTATTAAGTCTAAGATTAAATCAACTGTTCACTTTGCATTTATAATTTATAAACGTTTTCGTTTATCATTTAATTCGCCGTTCCTGGCATACAGGAGGGGGAAGGATTATCTAGAGGTACAACCAAACCTAGTCTTATCAGAGAGAAAAAGTTGAAATGCAGTACTTACATCCATTACGAAATAAATTTAAACCTGTCCTGACCGGATTCGAACTGGCGCCTCTAGGCTCAAGAAGAGGTCATCACGACCTGTAAAATAAGTATTAACCTCATATCACTCAGAGAAACCATTATGGGCTAATAAAAAAAAAAAAATCAATTTTGGGATGACTTCAGACCGAAAACCACTCCGCAGATCCGTCAGTGGACGAAACACAAGATTCACTTAGAGATAGCAGATAGACCAACTTCGTTGAGCTTTCAATATTAAGTCTGCCAAGAGGATTAACATAGAAATATTGATGGACCACTTAAGCCTCGGTTACTCCGAGATATTGGAAGGGAAGAGGTGAAGTATGTTATTGGAAGAAAAATAGGTATGCTTCTTAAAACACAGTCAACACAAAGCTGTTACCCAGACCATTACCCTCAGAATCACTTCTATCAGATCGGCATTGCAACTCCACCTTTCTAAGAATCGAGAAATTATTGGGGAACACTTTGACGCATGTCCGTTACTTAGGTCATATGCCATGTGTACGACAGAAATGCAGAACTAACGAGCTACTAAAGAATGATGGTGGTCGAGCACAGTGAAGCTGTAGCTCAACATCATTTTATCAGAGGCGGTCCTAGTTTTATGTGCCATTAATTTTAACAAAAAAAAATTTGACTTATTTACGAAATAAAGATGACGGACCCATCTACTTCCTCACTCTAACTAAATTGAATAGTAGCGTGTACAATAACAAGCTCACCTAAGCATACCAATACATTCTGTATTAAATTTATTTCACGAAGAGAACATATTTTTATTTCTTTCAACATTATGTAGAGCAACGATACATTAAGGTTTCTATCAATTCCTATGTTTGTGTTGTTATCAACTTCTTGTGGAATATGTTATTTGCCAAGCAGCTATTTTTCAGGTTATCGCCAGGGTCATCAGAATGTGTTGCATCCTGTTATTGTTCTGCTGATTACAACCCGATCTGCTCCACCACCAATAGAGTCCTATACTTCTCGCCCTGCCATGCAGGCTGTACAACTACAAATGTTTTAGGCAATGGCCAGGTATAGTTGAAAATCTTTGTTTTTTTTCCAATATCCGAAATATGTTGAATGTTGATGTTACAAATAATAAAAATATCAAAAAATCAAATTTCAGGCTCTTTTTTGCCAGCAGGTGCTGTTCGGCAATTGTAGCTGTATGGCGGCTAACGATGAATCAGCACTAGCTGGTTCTTGTGCGATGAATGAGTGTTATAACAACAACAGCCACTTCACAATCTTTTTGATTCTTCTGTGCCTTCTCAAGTTCTTGTCCTACAGCAGCAGGGCAGGCAACATCATAATACAATATAGGTCGGTTTTCGAATGAAGGTAGGCATCTCATATATATTAAATAAATTTCTCATGCATAGTGGTTTCGAAACCATAACCTTCACCTCTACCATTTGTTAAACAGTATTACACCATAATTAGCAAACTAAACTGATACCTCTGTTGGTAAGTTATCCATGCCAACACTTGGATGGAACACACTAACTGTTCTCGCAAAAGCAAAGTCCAGAACCAAAGTTGGCGAGCAACCCAGAACTGAATGGGCACTGTGAATATCGAACAGCATAATTTTGTGGAACTTGGAAAGTCCTGAACCAGGAATTTATATGTGAACAGTTATTCTTTATGTAACGTATGTAATAATTTCCTTTCATATTTATCAGTCTCTTATTAAATGAACTTCATATTAAAAACAATTATGTTTAATTCCGGACTCCGGACGGGCTTTATATCATCTATATTCAAGAAAGGTAACAGGAAGATATGCCGAAACTACAGGGGCATCTGTGTGCAGAGTTCGGTGAGTAGAGTCATTGGAAGGCTGCTCCGAGATAAATTAGAGGATAATTTATTTACTCCAGAAGAACAGGCAGGTTTCACAGCAGGACGCTCCTGCAATGACATCTTCGTTCGTAGGCAACTCATCGAAAAATCCCGGGAGATGAACCAGGAGCTATATTAGGCCTTTGTAGACCTTAAACAGGCATACTACAGCGTCCCAAGGAGCACAATGTGAACAGCATTGAGAGAGTTTGTCATCGATGAAGCCTTAATAGGAGCAGTGGGACACCTATACCGATATGCCATCTATCGAATAAAGATTGGAAACCGGATATCTGAGCCTTTCTCGGGAACTAAGGGTCTGAAGCAAGCATGTAACATGGCGCCGATTCTCTTCGAGATTTACCTTCACGTGTCTGTAAGGCAATGGTATGGTCAGTGTGGAGATGTAAGATCTTTTATCCACGATGAATAGCTGGTCTCTCTTTTTTTTGCGGATGACCAGGATGTGTTTACACGGAGGAAGGTGTTTCTTGAGATGATGATGTGCTCTCTGTGGGACTGCTATGAGTCCATGGGACTCAAAATAGATTTCAGGAAGACTAAATACATGGCTATATGTCCTGGAAATGACGGTGATTTTCATGTTGACTCTGAGACATGTACAAAGGTAAACATTTTTAAATATCTGGGATCTCTCAGATAATTTAAATCTCTGGACCCTGAGGAACTGACGTCCGGAGAAAAGCAGAACAAGCTTGAAAAGCCACACGCATGCTGCACCCGGTTCTGTGGAACGAGGCGATTTTAAAGGATAATAAACAAAGAATCCATCTTAACGTAAGCAGCTGAAACATGGACCATGTCATCCCTGCTCTATTCAAAGCTTCAAGCAGTGGAGATGGACTTTTGGCGAAGATGCTTACGTATTACAAGAATGGACAGACTTCTGAATGATGTCATTCGGGAAAGGATGTAGGTTCATATGTCGGTCAACAACAGAACCGGACAGTGAAGGCGGGGACGACCCAGAGGTAGATGGATTAGTGTAGTAGAGGAAGAAATGGTCTTCAGGATGGAGATCCGCGACCTTTGGAGCTCAGCCCTGATGTAAAAGGCAACCCAAGCTGGAACGCCTATAAAAGTAAAAAGTAAAGTAAATGAACAGTATACGAAACGTGCGCGTGCCCCTTGAAATACTATGAACACAAGCTGAATCTACCACAAACCTTTTGCACCAAACTGCGCAGCTATAAGTACTTCCATATTGGGCGTATTCTTTGACTTTCGGTTTTTTTTTTTTTTTTTTGGTTGGGCGGAGTTTCGGCGCCCGGTGTGGAAGCGGCTTAAGGTATGCTAAACATCGTTGTATGTTTCGTTTTTTTTTCATTTTACAAATCTGAAGAACTTTTCCAGTGAAACAAAAAAAATTTCCATCGTCCCAACATTCCGCCATAGGTGAGAGCCAAGGTGTTCTGAACATAAATGGTCATGTTGCTTTGATAAAACATAATTACATGAAAATCTGCGTTTTAGTAAAATACCTCAACTCATAGGTATTCTTAAATTCATATTTAGGTGACATTGTTATTGAGGTGCTATTATTGGAATCCTTAGGTGAAAAGAGGGTGTAGCGGAATGTATAGGCGTATATAATTACGCTGCAGAACCTTCCGAACTCTCTATGGCCCTGACTCATTAATTCCATCCTAAACTTTAAGCATGATTTTCTGTCGTACTGTCTCCTTTTATAATATGTATACTATTTATCTCTGTTGAACAGATCCATACGTAGAACTTCATCTGTACAAGAAACTTGTCGCTCTACAACCCGCTAATGAGTCATGACTCCCAAACAGCAGTCGCAAGAGGTCCCGGTTCTTTGCAGCAACTGTCCAGTTTCGTATATCAGTATTCCTCGCGTTGCAGCATTGCACCATTACGGGATCAGTCTTACATGTATGACTTCTGTTAGTCGCTTCTTTTGGATCATGTCATCGCTCATTCTCATCACTAGCCCATTAGAACCTTCTCAGTTTTGTTATTTAATTACATAAGGACTATCATTTATACTATAAAGAAAGAACAATAAGCTTTTCAATGATTCTTTAACCTCGTTGGTTCTATGTTTTATTTTTATTGTGAGAGGACGTCACCAAGGTTGCATATATGTATACAAACAAATAGATGTTACAAGAACATTTAATAATAATCACATAACGGATACGGATACAAAAGGATATGTCCTGCACAGACAAATAATAGAACGATACAAACATGTACAATAGGCAGCGATTGATAATATTAACTATAAAATATCTAAAAATCTGGTGGGCGTATCACACGACTTTCAATTACCACCCTCTTCTTAGCAGAAATAAGTATTTTTCAAAACTTATTGACGCTATATTTATTTACATTTCATTGTGGGTATTTTGATTTGTTTAAGTACCCTTATATATACAAATTTTAATTTTTATATCGCTGTATTCTATACAATTAAATATTAAATAATAACAACAGTAGCATTTATGAAAACCGCATATGCATATGAACATAATATTGTCGGCGTCCTTATTATATGAAGCTCATGTTACGTATCGAAGTCTGTTGTAATCTTTCGGGCAAGCTTGTATTCCTTAGATTCTTATATTACAACTATTATCAGTCACGATATTTAACTATTTTTTATATCAAAGATTAATGTGAAATGGTAAATTATTTCAAATAAAAAAAAATAAAGGTACTTTAAAGGAAGCTAATATTGAAAACTAGCTATTTAAGCCCTAATAGAGAACATCAATGAGAATAAAAGCTACATTTTATTAAAAACTGTTTAATAATGCACTGATATACTCAGTTTAATCAAAATAGTTAAGAGTCGTTTTTGAGAAAATCGTAAAAATGTGTTAAATCTATTATCTAAAGTACCATTTCCGGTTTTGACGAAAATGTTGCTGTAACATCAAAAGCTTATATAAACCTTAAATATGCAATTTAACTTTCATAGGACTTTTCGTTTTTCAGCTAGACTAATTTCAGCTACTCAGACACACACACACAAATACAGACAGTCCATTTTGTGGGACTTGGTTATTTTGACTTAGGAAACCTCAAAACATGTATTTCCCTTGAAAACTCACTTGAAAATTTTCAGGATCACAATACTTACCCTTACTATATATTGCATATATAGGTAAGTGAAAGTAAAAAACTTAATAACTATGAGACATTACCTGGCCTGGCATGAGTTAGAGCATATTTAATCTTGAACACTTTGAAGCACATTGTCTGTAAACTGTACATACTCATGAGCAACTCCTAGCTAAGGCATCCACAACAATTATCCCTATTCCCATGTCCCAAGCAAAGAAGCTAAGAGAACACTGACCCTATTATTAATCAGTGTTGCCCCCTACATGTTCTTAATAATCCAAATTCTTAAAAAAATCAGAATGTTCCTTAATATTTCTGAATGTTCCTTAATATTTAATAATGAGACTGAAAAGAATTATGAATGCCTTCGTAAGATTTGTCACAGGGGCCCTGAGGTATTTCCGTGTTTCGCACCACTATGCTGAATTAGGATGGCTCTTCCCTTCCATCCGAAGACAATATTTCCTAGGCACATTCCTTTACTACATAATCAATAGTCATCGTCCGTCCTACGCATACAATCTCCTACAATTCAAATCATCTGTCCACATCCTGTCCACAAGATCTCGTCCTTCTGACCTTTATACTCCTTTCCACAGATCTACATCATTTAAACATTCCTTCGTTGTCCGTTCCACTGCATTCTGGAATTCCATCCCACTAAAAATCCGCCATGCATCATCCTTATCCACCTTTAAAACCCTCTTATTCCAATTCCTCTTCACAATCCAATCAGATGCTGGTTAAATACATACTATGATATAAGGATTTAATTTTCTTTAGACATTATTTTTTTTTTCTCTTATTTTTTATTGTTTTATTCTGTGTTGAACGTGAATTTTCATCGCCACTCACTAAGCATTGTGAGTAGATAAAATTTGTTTTTTTTAAGTTCTAATTTGTTATTCATGAAATGTATTTCAGTGAAATGTATTTTATTTCTAATTATCTTCAACATACTTCTCGCTACATGTATATGTACTTTATTTTATTTTCTCTTCTCCTAATCTTTACGCATAATCACTTAAATATCTTAGGGAACATATGTATATCATTATTTGTTTTTTTATATTTTTTTTTGCTTTAGTTTTTACAATTTCTTTCCCTACATATTAACAGTTATTATTATTTTTTTAATTTTTATATTCCATCACTACAATGCTTTACCTATAAAATAGATTCTGCTTTCCTTTCTAATTTCATTCAGTGATTATTATGCAATTATTTTAGCTCCAATATTGTAGTACTGAACCCCTATTACCCAACTGTCCTCGTTAATTTATCCTAAGAGCTTAATTAATACTTAATGTATTACAAGTATTTTGTTATTATTCATTGTAATAAGTCTTTTGACCAGATTTATGGTTAATATATATGAACAATACTGTTATTCTAAAGGGACCTAGTCCCAGAATAAAGATGATTTTTCTATTCTATTCTATTTCACAAATCATTTATATAAAGATCAGGAGGTCTCATAATGAGAGTTGACCTAAAATGATACCTCTCTCCAATTATAAAATAATTAGTTATTAAAATTTATTGAAGTTTTATTATTAAAATTATCCTGCGACTATTTATCAGAAAATAAACTGTTTTGAAGTGACCCCAATGGGTCACTGTTAACTCTACTAAATATATTTTTATTTTAAATGCAGTAGTAAATCTCAACAAATTTTTGTTTTTTTGTAAATAGATCAGTCAGAGCTGAAGATAAAACTGCGAGCATAGCTATAGGAGAGTTTATGGTCTGTGGCCTAGGATTCATCCCTGCTCCTATAATCTTTGGATTACTTTTGGGTAAAAATTACTTGCTTTATCTAGCTCATCATTCTATTCATCAACACTTACTTTTTAAACTTGAAGTATTTGTCTACAAAATCAACAATTTAATACCCATGTTATAAAAGATTTTGATATATCCTATGAAATATTGGAAACTTATAAAATTTAGAAAACTATATTGAAAACTTAGAAAATTATAAGCACATCTGCTTTATAATATTTCAGTAATGCAATGTTATCTGACATACTGACATACCGATAACTAAAAATATTGTTCGATAAACCAGATAATAAAAAAAAATTAATGAGCAATATTTAAAGACTTTCTCTTAGATTATTTTTTGTAAAGTTATTAGTAAGACTCTCAGAGTGTCTCTGAGAATATTATTAATCTGAAGTATTCAGTAATGACACAAATATAAAAAAAGATTTCCTTAAATTAAAAAAATACAAAATTTTCCTTTTTCACAGTTTAATTTTGCTTTCTTTTTATATGGTTCATAATTTAAAAAAATATATATATTTAAAATACGAAAACTTTGCCATTGACACTCAAATATAATATAATAATTTTTAGATTGGTCTTGCCTAATGTGGGACGAAGTGTGTGATGGAGAAAAGACTAATTGTCTTCTATACAACAGCCAACGCCTTAGATATAGCATCAATTTTATGGCATGCAGTGAGTTTTATTATATTTATATACACTTAGAATAGAATAGAAAATTAAACTTTATTCTGGGATTAAGTCCCTTTAGAATAACATTGATGAGTTAATACAAAGTAAAATACAAATCTGGCCAAAAACTAACTTCTAAAATTTTTAATATTATCTCTTTATTATTATTATTATTCACTTATTATTATTGAAATGTATAACAAAAATCAAACTAAAAACTCATATTATTTAAGGAGCCTTATTAATTAAACTTTCTCTTTAAAATAAAATCTCCAAATAAGCATTCTTTATTCTTCAACACATTAAAAAAATTATTTTTAGTATAAAAATAGCTATTCTGGAACATTCCACCCTCAACTACTTGTTGAGTATGCACTCAAGACAACTAGTCTAATTCAAATATCTAACTTGGAACAGAATTCACATTGTCTTAAAATTATTAAAATTAAAGTACCTTATAGAATTATTTTTAGTTTCTCAAAATTGATCTTTAAATTCATATTTTTCACATTCTGAATGAATGAATCTAATCTAAAACACTCAATATGGTGGAAATATTGTTGACCATTCAATGAACTGTATGCAAGATTGGTTGGAGGGACGAAGGGATCTACGGTGATGGGGGTAGGAGGGGGACTTTCGGGCTGAAGCCCCCCAAAATGCTAATATATAACCATGTTTTATCGAAAAAAATATTTAAAAAGTATTATTGTTCGTGAAGTTAAATTTAAAAGGGCTTTAGGAATCACTTAAACACCATTTCATACAGGTAGTTAGCTTCTTTATTTTTTTCCAAAGTAATTATCGTTATTTTTATGAAAAAAAAAAAAAATTCGGGCTGATGCCCCCCCAAAATTAAATCCTGGATCCGCTAGTGGTCGGAGGAAGAGAGATTGTGCGGTCATAGATGAAATAACACATATATATGGGGAAAAAAATTGATGAGGCCATTCTTGCTAAAATAATAAAAACAAGATAATAATCAATATCGGCTCACAATAAAATAATATTTCTTATTTTTGTATTATTTTATGTATGGCCCTCGCCTCCTTCTTCCCTCCCCTACCCCCACTCCATCAATCAACTTTTCTTATAAAATACTCAAACATTGCATATAAGTTATAATGCATTATGCTAATTGTTCTTTCAGGTTTCTTTATCCTTGCAATAATACTAGACTATGGTGTGTTCAAGAATGTTGGAAGCTTAAATATATACGAAGAACAGAGATTACCTCCTGATGAATTTGCAAAAATTAAGCTATGCTCAGCTGAAAACAGAAAAAAAGATGTTTCTGCATCCGATAGTAATCCCTGATTCATCCTATATCAGGTTATCAGAATCAGTGCCATGGGCACTATTGAGTCGTTCTTTCAGTTACATACAGTTAAATTCTTAATTATAGAATGAACAGAATGAATTAATGAAAGAGCAACTATATTGTTAAATCCTGTATTTTTGTATATATTTTTAAAGCATAATTGAAATAACTAATATTAAGTATGTATTGATGGTGACTGCATAGTAAATGAAGAAGGAGTGGATTAACCTATAAAATAGTGGGAACTAAACATTAAATGCTAATATACACCTTCACAACTCCCTGTTTGTCCTTGATGAGGACCTGCATTGTGGAATGGAACATTGGCATTTAATGATTAGTTCATACTATTTTTTATATAATTTTTAACTGCTCCATAGACCTACTCCTTCGTTAAATATCTTATAGTTTTGTACATTATTTTTATTTATATAAGATGTTAACCTTAGTACTGAAAGGAAGAACTAGTTTCACTTTTAATCTCATAAAATTGGCAATATTGAAATGTGTGATGTCAACAATTGAATAAACATATTTTTTAAAAATATTAAATATAACAACATGTCAATTCATCCCAATTTTATTTTAAAATTATTTTATACCTCACAACATTGCCATTGCTGAAAAGCTAGCAGAAATTGAAGGCTATTAAATGGAGAATTTGTAAGATATTTCATTTTTCTTCTTTTTATAAATGATTGTACATAGAGTAGAATAAGTCATAAAGCTTTTCTGCCTTTTGAAGCGAAACATTCTATTTTCTAATTTAATTTAATTTTTTTAATTAGCATTTTGAAATAGGTGCAATAGATTATTTGTTGTACTTCTGGTGTAAGCAATGGTAAATGGATTTCATATAAAAGAGAAGGCCAATGAATACTTATATAGTTTACTATGTTGTTTCCATAGGCTACTGTAAAATACTTTTATAATATTTCTAAGATTACTATGAAGTACTTTTATGTTATTTCTGTTGATTACTATAAAATAGTTTTATAATATGTCTTTAGATTATGATGAAATGCTTCTTTTTAAGTATCCATTTTAATATGAGACTGAGATATGTTAGTTGTAAGTGACTTTACCTTTAAATTGAGATTTCTTTCAAATATTTAATAATTTTGCATTGCAATAAAGAATTGTAGCAATAATATGTTTTAGAAAAAAAAAATGCAATTTTTATAATTTTACACTTTGGGTATGGGTGAACTTAAATATCACTGAATTTATACTAATAATATTCACTAATGTGTGAAATAAATACACACTTATCTCTGAATTCTGGTTTCACTCCTAATTTTCCTTGGCCAATTCTGGACATGTTCCCTTTCCATCTTAAAAAAAAAAAAACTTGTACCACTACAACCCACAAAGGGCCTTGGGTTCAGTTCAATTTAGGGAAAGTACTGTTTCTTGGTCAACGGTTGTGCAAGGAGATGATTTGACCAAGATCATGCTCAACTGGCAGGTTTCTTCCATTAATTAATTATTTAATTAAGGGTACCACTTTATATAGAGGTCGGGTATGCCCCAGGAAGGTCTCCCGGCCCTAGAGATGATGAAACAGAATAAATAATTTATCTGCCATAAGATATAGAATAGGCCATAAGGGATTCAAATTTAGGATCTTGAGCATTGGAAGTTCAGTGCCCGATCACTAAACTACCCCATTCTCCTTAACAGCAAGTTTATTTAACCTCATTCCATCTTAATAGTTTTTTTTTTTCATTGCTGGGATCTATAATAGTTTTCTGTTTGTCTCATTGCTGATTCTATTCTATCCCAGCATGTCCTATAACCAACTTTAAACAGATACTTCATTTCTGCAGGACTTATTCGACTCCAGATTAGAATTTAATGTCATAATCACAATTACTGTAAACACTGTTAAATATAATAACTTCCTCATGATAAATGGTCTGATATTCAGAAGAAAATGTTGAACGCGTAAACAAAATGTCTTCAAAATATTTTCAGGACAGCTGCAGTATAAATTCATATTCATCAAATAAGTTCTGATTTTATATTTTTTTTTAAATCAATAAATGTTCAAATTTTATTTGGCAGATTAGTGAGCAGATATATATTCAGAATGGTTGCTTTGAATATTATGCTACAGTTAATTCTGAGAGATACCAACGGGTCAATTATAAAACAAAGATAAATTATAAAAATAATTTAATTAGATGAGAAATAACATTAAGTCAATAAATCATCTGAAAAATTAGTTAAATAATTTACAAATTCATTTTTTTATCCATACAATTTAATTGAACCAAAACTAACAATAAACAAACATTTAGGATTTAGATTTTAACGAATAGACTGGGATAGTCAAACAAATAAAATAAGATTTAAAATTCTGGAAATATCATTTTGTTCCTTGCTATGTTTTTCTTATACCATTCCATTGCCTCTAAAGCAAGATCTTCTGTAAATTCTTTATTGCCTCCGATTTCACCTAAAACATTTGTAAATCAATTAATGATACATTGAAAAATAATAAAAAATTTCAAGTGAGTACAAAAAATATCAATACTTCAAACCCCCCTTATTCATTATTCCTGTTTATTGGTAACCAATTATGGCCGCTGTAGAATGGCTGCACTGAATAGTAATTCTGGAAGTATGGAGGCCTGAAGTGAAATCTTTGATGAAGTCCCTTACTTTTAATCATGGGATTAAATTGAATAATAATTTTTGCATTTCTAAATTTGTAAATAATTACGGAAGCAAAATTGAAAATCAGGGGTTGTATTCTAAGTTTTAATTGTTTTAGTCAATTATTCCACCTTAATATTGTTACTTGAATTCATTGTTCTATTAAGACTGACTCTAAATTCCAATCCACTTACTGCCACAAATCCATATAATCCGCCCAGAAGACTGCTGAGGCACTGGCCAAGAGACTTATTGCATTGAGCTACTTGCTGCATTATCTTTTCTTTTTTTGTGTGTTATTCTGTTAATATGTATGTGTTATTATGTGTTATTTTACTACTGTTCTTTTTTTTTAGTTGGTTTTTTTTTTCTTTCTGTTTTGTTATTACTATTTTTTTTTTCTTATGCTATCATTTCTTGTCCTTGATATCATATTTGCTGAATACCAATGTAGATGGCAAATTTATTGTGAGCCAGAAATAAGTATATCTAATAATAAAAAAAAAAATCTATGAAGCACTTGAAAGTATGGGCAATATTGATTTCTTTTTTTTACATCCTCTAACATTGGCTATGCGGAAGGTAACGATGTGAAAAGTGTGGTGGATACCAACTTGATTATGCATATCATGACAGAAAGCCTGAAGTTGATTGTCCCATTTATAACACTTTACTCCAAAAACATTTCTCGACTTAATCTTTGTCCTTCAATCTCAAGTTTTTGTTTCTTTCTCTTTTTATTAAATAATCATTATTATTCCTAGTAATTTTTGAATTTCCAAAAATATCTCTGGAACAGAAAAAAATCAGAACTGAAGATTCGGGTGCTCCTTACCGCCCGGAGCTCGGTGGACGTTGCCTTCCTCCTCACGTTCCCACACTCTTGCCACCACTGCCGCAAGATAAGGTTGGTGGCATCATTCCTGAAAACCACTTGTTAACACCACCAAACATTCCCTATTTATGAAGCGTCGATTTACGGCGCAATAGCAACAGCAAGGACTAGCGTCCATGATTTGAGCTCACCCTAAGATCTTTAAACTGCAAAGTCATTGGTAATGTAAACTTGAATTTAAGTAATCTTAACTCTTGGATACCTTTAGGTTCGGAAGCTTAACAAACTACAAATATACATTACCGCTTTCCTTTTGAATTTGAATGAAATAGTTTTGGATTAGTTTTATTCATGAGCTAATCCTTTTCCAAGACCGTTTATATATATATATTCTTTTTTTTTTTTTTTTTCTTTTTTTTTAATAAGTCAGAAAGTAGCACAGGCGGATCTACGGGGGGTGGGGGAAGAGAGGCTTTCATGCTGAAGCCCCCTCCAAAATGGTAAAATATAACAATGTTTAAAGAAAAAAATTATCTCTAAAAGTATTATTGTTCGTTTAATTACATTTAATAGGACTTAAAGAATCGCTTAAACACTATTTCATATTTTCTCTGTTAGTTAGTTAGTTTCTTTCTTTTGAAGTAATTATCCTAATATATAAATACAAAAATAAATCTTCCGGACTGAAGTCCTCCCCCCCTCCTCCCAAAACTAAATCGTGGATCCGTTAATGGAAGTTAGTAGAAGTAAAACTAACTCCTAAGCCACCACCACAGATAAGTGATAATATAAATATTAAATCAATTAAATTACCGTACAAAGTACCTTTCCTGATGAATGAACCTCGGTTCTCATTAGCAATGCCCTTAATGGGAATCTGGCGTGAGTTCTTTTTGAAATTATCGATGTGGAGAAAGTCGGAAAGTTTTTCCACATCATCATTGTTGATTGTCTTGTTTAGGAACAAAGCAACTTTTCTAATCTGCGAAGGTAAATCCTGTAACATGAAGTACGGAATGATCATCAAGTTTTTGAAGTTGAAAAAAAAGAAAGTATTTTTTTTTAATAAAATACTGATTTACATTAGCTTAATACTTTTCACTTAAATCGATAGTTAATAACAAAAAATAAATAAATTATGATAAAATTGGATTACCCTCTTCAAGTCTTCATAAAATAAGAACAAGAGATTTGAGTGGTTTCTCCTTGAGTAGCCAGACTCAACATGAGCCCAATATGGGGCATAAACGACTGAAAAACAACATCGAATAATAATTACAAAGAATAAAAATAAATTGAATGAATATGAGTTAATGGCTAAACCCTGGGAGGTAATTCTAGACAAAATTTCCAACAAAAAAGTTAATGATGCATAGTCCGATCCCGAACGGACAAGGAGTTAACACCAATTTTGTTTCTTCCTTAAGGTGCCTGTAAAACTTTTCAAGTAAACTAAATTCTAATTACACCATCTTAAAGTAAACCAATAATCTTAAATTAGAATTTAATTACACTGAAAAGTTGTTGAATAATTTCTTCTTGTCCAATAAAAACGTGACCACCTTAAAAATACAAAATTGGTCTTGGCTCCTTTTTCTGTTCGGAATTGACCCGTGCATCTAATAAACTTTTTTGTGGGAATTTTTGTCTAGAATCACTCCCCACAGCTTGGCCATTAGGAACTGAGACATCATGTCTACCTTGAATAGAAGTGACATCAAATTACTTTTTGAAATTTCCTTACCTTCGTCATTTTTAAACAACTTCCAGTAGGTGGGGAAATCTCCAGTGTAGTCATGGAGGCGTGCCAAACGGTTGTGGTGGTAATAGGAGACACAGACATCCAGGGGGTTCCTAGCGACATAGACCACCTTGCACTTGTCCAGGAGGTCGTGGGGTAGCAGTTCGAAAGGAAGGTGGGTCTTGATGTGTCGTGGAGACTCCATCTTGTCAATCTTAACACCATAAATTCCTTATTGACACTTTCTAACGATTCTTTTTTAGAATCAATTTTAATAGGGAAAACTGATTTACATTCGAATTTATAACTGAATGTTTGTAACTGAATTGTAAGTGTACAATATAAGATGTAATAAAACTGTAAGATGAAATAAATCGCATATTTCTGTTTTTATGAATAAGACTTTCTTTTCAATTTTTACTGCATGCTTAACTTAAGACAAACAAATAATGTTTTAAATAAGGTTTTTTGTTTGTATATATTAATATTTGGTCATAATTGACCAAAAAAACTCAAATTCGAACTTTCTAATAAAAAAAAAAGTTGAAGGCTTTTGGAGTGTGGTAGTCGAATTATGATTATAAATTAATCATTATAGACATAAACTAATCACAATTATAAAACGATTATGGATTAGTTTATAATCGTAATTAACGATTATACTACAAATAAACATAATCCCTGCTTTACACTAGCGGATCCAGGATTTATTTTTGGGGGGGGCTTCAGCCCGAAACCTTTTTTTTTAAATAAAAATAACGATAATTACTTTGGGAAAAACAGAAAGAAACTAACTACCTATATGAAATGGTGTTTAAGTTATTCCTTAAGTACTTTTAAATGTAATTACACGAACAATAATACTTTAAGAGGTATTTTTAAAATTTTTTTCCTATAAAACATGGTTATATTTTTCAATTTTGGGGGGGGGCTTCAGCCCGAAAGCCCCCCCCCGTAGATCCGCCCGTGCTGCTTTATAAATAATATATATAAAATCTCAACATTTTATTAACGGTGCATACCTGCAAGTCAGAGGTAAACTGTTGTAATTACACACAATTTTGCTGATTTTGATTTTACAACCGTTTTTACATAAGTCTGGCAATATTTTCCGAATAAAAGTTTAGTAAAATTTTTTATTTATTTTTTTTTATTGAATATTAATACATTCTGCCACATTGAAGGGCATTAATATTAAGGCTACATGATTCATTCACACAATATGTACATACAATTAATATCAATAATAAAGAAAAAGAAATATAAAATCGTATATATCGATTTGTACAGAGAAAGTTGGTACAAATCGGCCTCTCGGCCAAGACCAGTTTTCCTAAGTTGTATTATATGAGCATCGCACAATATTGAGTAACTACTATGATAATTAGTAGTTATTATTTTACACTTATTATTTTACATTTTCAAACAATCATATAGGAGTATCGATTGCTTACCAGTGATGTTATGGGTTCCCTCCACGACTCTAAGATCGGCCAGGCTTCTGGGTTGTCTTTGTTCATATCCTCAACTTCTTTCGTCAAATCTTTGTGGCAAAGAAAATCTACACTTGAAAAACACGGATACCAGTTAATCACTTGATCGTAAAGAAAAGAGTTATTTAACTATGGTTTGGACTGTAGTTGGAAGACCTATTCCAAATATCAATTTTCTGTTGCTACAGTCAATTTTCCCAATATCAATGTTTTCCCAAAGAATTTCGGTAGAGAAATCTCTTTCTCTTTATTTTAAAACCCTTGTAATGATGTAAATCGTTAATTAATATATATTTCGTTCACTCTGAAGGACCCTTATAGAGAGAGAAAGAATCACTTTATTATCATAAAAGGATGCTGCCCAATTACATTGAGTTGCTTTAAACACAGCATACTTATTAATCGCTACAGACAATTTTCCAAAACTAATATACAATTATATAGTATTAACAATATGTATGAGCATAGTATAGAATTTTTTATATATATATATATTTTTTTTTTATTTATTATAATTTTTCCCTACATTTTTTTATTTATTTTTTTTTACTATTTCTTTCATTCATTTATTAGCATTATTCATCCCTTTCTCTCCCTTCTCTCCCCTTATACATTTTTCTCATTCCCTGGATTTTCTCCTCTCTTTTCCTAACCTAATTCATAAAATGCATACAAATACATAAAGTGCAGTGGACGTGGTTAGTAAATAATGTAAATAGAATTTGATTACAATACTCTGTTTTAAATTTAAGGAGAAATATACCTTAAAAAAATTGAATAGCGGTAAAAGAAAATTGGAATTCTGATTTTAAAGTATGAGAAACTTTATGATAAATCAATAGGCTCTACTACATGAGAAGTATAGAACAATTTGGTAAATTAAAATGAAAGTAAACATTAGCATTTTTTTAAAAGAATATTTCCATTATTTGGATTAATTCTTTCTAATGCCTATGATTTAAAAAATACTAAATTTTTAAATAAATTATGTAAATACTTTCACAAATTATCTTGCACATAGCATTTGCTCGTTGCATTTTTTTTAATATATAATAATTTTTTTTTTTAAAGATGATTAAATATTTCATATTTTCACGACTACAATGTTTAAAATTGCTTCGGTCCTGTACCCTTGTACAATACATTTTTTAAACATTATTTTCTTGTACAACGTTGCTAAGTCTGAACAGTTTCCTTATAAATGTTTCGCTTAACAATGTCCCGGCTTTAACCGATCTCTGTCTGTATCGCTTTGGAAGACCGCGTTCCATATGGATATGATACTCGTAGTGGAACATATTCAAGTGTGACAAAACAAGATCGCTAGTTGGCCGCGGGCAGCGACTTATCACCGGAACATTTCGTGTTCTGTGAACCCGAGCTCTAAGATCTTATTGTACAAGAGATATGTATAATAAGTACTTACTCTATGAAGGGAAATCTTTCATGGAGGGACTTTTGCAGAGCCTTGTCGTAATCCAGTCCATTGTTGACTAGCCATATCAGTTCCTGGCTCCATGTCGTACCTAACGGAATAAAGAGAATAACATTCTTAAATCATACAATACATATATACAAAAAAAAGTATTTCTTCTTTTTTTATTTTACTTATAATTTTTATAGTTATTGAGATCGAAAATGTGTAATTAAATAAGGAATAACTTCCAATTTATCACTTTGTTCTCTTTCCTTATGTAAATGTTAAATTTGAAACGATTGTACTGAAATTATTCAGTTGGAGGTGATAGTAGCGATTTCTGATTATTTATAATTACTGTGTGGTATTACTACAGTATCGTTGCAATGAAATTTTTATGGGTATGGTTTAACGGTCACAATTTGCGACTCTATCTTTGGCTGGACATATCGCCAGGATGGGACCAGATGAGGTACCAGAAAGCTTCTAGAAGAGTAGCTCTATGGATCAAGAAGAGTTGGCAGACCCAGTATACGGCGGACTGATGGTGTGGCAACCGACGCGCGTACCCTCTTAAACCTCCGCAATTGGAAAGGAGCTGCACAGGACAAGGAAGACCGGCGGACTAAGTTGCAGGCGACCCTGACACTTCGAGAGTTGTAGCGCCGTCGAGGAAGGAAGGAAGGTCATAATTTTTACCGAGTGTAGAAAATTATGACGCTTGAGATATTTACGTTAATGTCGCAAATTCATCTTGTAGGTAGTTGTAAGAATCTAAAAAGCATATTTTTATTGAAATTTTTAAGGTTTATTTTAACTTTTGAGGGATATGAGGTAGTTCAGAGGTAGGGCGTTAACTTCCAGTGCTCAAAGGTCCCAGGTTAGAATGCGGCTGTGGCAGATAAATTTGTATGTTTACTGATTCTTAAAGTTCCGTTAAATTGTATGTACTCTCCCGGAAATGAGTGATAATAATATCTGTTTTAAGACTAAAATGTATACTTAATATAAATCAAATGCAATGAATAGTTACCAAGCTATTTAGTAAAGATCATATATCACTAATAAAAAGATTAACTTAATTTTTTAATTCTCTTACTTTGTTCCGAGGTGGGTACAGATCATTTACAATTAGTAATTTCAATAATAAATGCTTTATTCTCTCTGCACAAAGGAAGATGGAAAAAGCGAAGCTAAATGTTCTTCTATATTACCGAAAATAATAGAAATTATTTAGTCTCAAACCCGAAAGTGAACCCAAAAATTGGAAAAATACATTAAGAGAACGAGGAAGGAACAACCAAGAAAGAAAGGACACAATCCATTGTTTTGTTAAACGAATATATAGTAGGCAGATAAAGAAAGTACCTCAAGGTACTGCTAGAAGAGGGTCATCATCGGGAAATATTCTTGTTCAGTGTGACAAATAAGATCTACTTAAGAATCTTAGAAGTTAGAATAGAATAAGAAGAATTGTCGGTTGCCACAGGCGGATCTACGGGGAGAGCTTCGAGCAGAAGCCCTCCTCCCAAAACAGTAAAATATAACCATTCTTATGAATAATATATTAAACAATAATCTCTAAAAGCATTATTGTTCGTGTAATTATATCTATTAGCACTTCAAGGATCAAACGCTTCATACAGATAGTCAGTTTCTTTCTTCTTCTATCAAAGTAATAATCGTTATATATATAAAAAATATTTCGGATTCAAGCCCCCCCCCCAAACAAAAAAATGTTAAATCAAGGATCCTCTAGTGTCGATTGCCAATGCGATATAGACTCAGAAACTCAAGTTCCACAATAAAATCATAATAGCAGTAAGTAAGTAGAACGTGTTGAAGATATATTCCAATTGTCGGTTGCCAGTGCGATATGGATTCAGAAACTCAATTTGCAATCAGAAAGGAGAATATAAAACGAGTCCTTGTGAAATGCAATTAGATATTGGTATAATCCAAGAGGTGAGGCACTCACAAGTCAGCTATTTCCCTTTCAATAGCCTTCTATAACCTACCAACAGTTTCTTCGTACAGTTCTTTCTTGCTGATTAAATCGTCTTCACCAGAATAAACCTCCATCTTCCCATTAAGCTCATCGTAACTGCACTACCTGTTCTAGCATCTCCTGGAAATACTTCCTTAATTTGTTTACTAAATAATCGTTAAGCCAAAAAATGGATAATGATCCTTGTTTTATAAGAGATTTTGGTTGTTTCGTTTTTGTTCTTTTAATATATTTTTCCAATTTTTGGGTTCACTTTCAAGTTTTCCCCCTTTTTGAGACTGAATACTCAAAATTATTTTCGGTTACCTAAAAGAACATTTAGCTTCTCCTTTTTCTATATTTCTGTGTGCAGAGAGAATATAGCATGTTTTATAAAAATTACTGATTGGACCCACTTCGGGACAAAATAAAAGAAATTAAAACTAATTTTTTTATTAGTAATAAATGATTTTTACTAAACAGTAACTACACATAAGTTACTAACAAGTAAAATAATTAAGTATATCTTTCAGTTTTAAAACTGATATTAATATGACTCATTTTCAGGAACGTGCATAGATTTTAACAAAATTTTAAGACTCAGTAAATTTAAAAAAAAAAATCTGGTCGGGCAACAAACTACTTTCACTTACCCCTCTACTTCGAATAGAAATTATTTTCTACCATGTTGGGCATTTGGTAATGTTGGGGTATTATAAAATTTTTGACGTGCATTTTAAACGAAGCTGAAGCTTAAAGCTAACAGATAACAAATCATTAAGACCATTAAAATTACAAAAAGTTCATTTATTATATCGACGGTAGGCAATAGAAATCTAATTTTATAAACCACATATCTTCAGTCTCTGAGCCTTTCAGTTGAATAAGTACAATGAATGAATAACTATAATTTCAACATTTTTGAGTAAGGTCATTTTAGCGATATTTCAAGTTGGAAAAGTTATATCTATACAGACAGTGAGCAAATTGATTCCAGAATTGGTGATTGCAATGTTGAAATATAGAACTGTGAATAAACGTATAAATTTTGCCACAAGAAATATCACTAAAATTAATAATAAAGTATGTTGAAATTGGAGTTAGTCATTCTGTCAGCCCTAAGGCTCCTATATGCCTAGAGAGATTTAAAAGTATATTTACCCCCATACCAGACTGAAACGACTTGAAACCGTCCGACGTTTTCGACTACTGCAGCACTTACTAGACAAACGCTCTAAGCTCACAATCAATTACAAACGACTCATATATATGACAATAATAAGACCTATTTGGACTTACGGAATTAAGCTTTGGGGCTCCACTAAACCATCGAATTCCTCTCGTATCCAATCCTTACAATCCAAAATCCTTCGTAAAATCCTCAACGCTCCTTACTTTATCACAAATAAAATCATCCATAAAGACCTTAATGTTCCATATGTTTCCGATTTGGCCCAATCCAGATATCTATCTTTCCATAACAAACTGCAGAACCATCCGAATCCTCTCGTTTCAAACCTTGCTTCCTCCTCGATCCCTGATAATCCTCCGAGGCGTCTGAAAAGAAGATGGCCTCGGGACCTTCTAATATAGAACTTTAATTTGAGTTCTACCAATGGGTAGTTTCTCTTCCTATTGTACATGTCATGTTACCAATGTCACATTTACTTATTGTATTTTCCATGTAATACAGTTGTAAATCTCAATAAAATTAAATTAAAAAAAAAAAGTACATCTGAATATTTAACCTAAAAATGACTATGGATTGCAGGACTAATAGTTATTAAACTGTTATTTTGAACTGTAAAGTTTACTAAAACAAGATTTTCATTGCCTTGCCATGGATAGGTCAAGAGTATTTACACTAATTATAACTGGATAATGTTGGGATTTCACGAAGGGAAAATTCATCAAATTATTCACTAATTTAATTTTCTAAAAGGTTACTTGATGATTTTTTTGGAATAAACGGCCGATAGATACCTAATTATTTAAATATAATATCTTATCTAGAGTTAATACTCTACAGTAAATGTATGTAAGGTTATAAACATATGCATGAAATATTTTTACATTTGACTTCGTCTTCTACACAAGTGTAATGAAATAGTATTTTAAACAATGACATTGCCTTGATTCCGTGGATTTTAAATGTTTTTTTTTTTCAATATTAGAAAAACTTTAAATGTTTTTCTTAGCATAATTTTCTTAGCATATGTAAACTTTTAAATAGTTTACATATGCTAAGAAAATTACATTTAATTTCCTTGGAAACATGTGATTTAGGTTAAATAACGTTAGTTTTCTAACATTATTATTTAAAATATTTTCGCCACTCTCCTTTACCTTCTACAACATTCTATATTGGATATTGCTTTTTTCTAAAATTCTTCGCTTTCCAATGGTATATTATACGACCTACCTGGTATTTTCCACGATTCATTTTCGACCTGGATAGGCATTTTTTAAATAGAAATTCTTTTAAAAGTTATATTTAGCAATTTTTTGTAACTCTGAATAACACGAGATGATCAATTTTTTAAAATAAACCTTATCAAAGGTACTTTAGAGGAAGACGTATATGAACATTGGGCATTTAAGCCCTGTAGAGTGACATCAATGGGGATAAGACCTGATTGATATTAATGACCACTTCATTATACAATGATACACCGAGTTTAATCAAAATCGTTAGAGCCATTTTTGAGGAAATTGTAAAAACGTGTTTCAGCGTTGATATAAAGTGGCACTTCCGGTTAGCCAATTTTAAGGAAAAAGGCATATACCTATCTTAAATACATAATATCAGTTTCTTACGACTTTTTACAGTTGAGCTAGACTGCTAACATACAAATACACACAGACCATTTTTCGGTGCTTGGTTATTTGGACTCAGGGGACCTCAATACGTGAATTTCCTTTGAGAACTCAGATTCAAAAATTTTCCACGATCGCAATACTTACACTTACTATATATTACATATGTAGGTAAGTAAAATTAAATTTGAATCTTTTATTAATTTTGATCACAGCAGGTTTGAACAATATCAAGGTCTGTTCACACAAGGTTTGCTACTTTTTCTTTAGCATAATTTGTTTATTCACACCTATTCAACTTCACT